CTTATGAGATTTGATTTGTTGCAGCTGCATACATTGTTGTTGCTGCTCTGGATAAATAGTTAGTCAAATTGTCAATACTTTTAAACCAGTTTTTAGTTAGTCATGAGAATGTGTTTTGGAATACTAATGGGTTTCCTGGAGTTATTTCATCCTACAGATAATAATCCCTTCCTGAAGGTCACCATAGTTTTCTCAAATGCAATTAATTTGGTCCTGTAAATGTATTCGCTGTTATGCGTAGCTGTAAATCTCAGAGTCTGGCAGTAATAATTACAAGTATAATAATTATTTCTTTGACAGCCATGCTTCTCTTTTGTGACGCACAGCCCTGTAAGGTGACTTTAATGTTAAAAATGACATTCATTGCCAGTTTAAATCTGCGTGTAGTATTTTGAGTACAATTATGTTTATTATAAATAAATTATGTTTATTGATATTGAGATCATAATTGATTATAACTACCTTTGATTGATTCTGGGGCTGGCAAAGCATTTGATTTGATGTGCCATTCAGATTTCTTTAAGCACAGCACGCATTTTAAACGTCAATACTGCAGCCGATCACGATCACGTGGGAAGGTCACATTTTGATTGCATATAAGATTCTTAATAATTGTGCAGCAATGGTGGTTAATATTATTATTATATTATAATATTATTATTATATTATAATATTAACTGTCCATGAATGTCTGCAGAATAACGTCATGGCATTGCATGTTGGGAGGTGGATGACAATCATCCCTGCAGTGAGGAACCGGAGAGCTAAAGCTTAAACTTATGAAGAGATCTGGTGGCAAACTTGATGGTTGAATTAAATTGTAATTTTTTTAGCAGTTAGATTTCCTCCCCAGCACTTGCCTCACTTCTCTATACATGTTTCCTCTTCTCCTTCTTTTACTATTCTCCTCTCTGCTCACCCAGCTGTGCCAAGGAGGACTCGGGCAGAATGAATGAGCTGATCTGATCACACTCATGTGCAGAAGTGGGAGAGGTTCAATTTTACGCTTCACCGAAGAGAGCAAAAAAAATATGGAAGCGTTCGACATCGGGGAACTTTAAGAGCGAGTATGCAGACGGGGATCAATGTACAGCGTGACGACTTGATAATATAAAAGGGGAGGGGAGGTTGAAATACAAACACCTGAACAAGAAAGGGAGTGTGTTTAACTGAGTCTCTTATCAGACAGGGTTTATGAAGGAAGTGATATCCACATTGATGGGGAAATTACTGAGATGACAGATTTATATGCAGGAACACTGAGAAGTCCGAAAGGGAAAGAGTGAGGTGAAGGATGACACACACACACACACACACACACACACACTTGAATGTGATTCATTTTGTTATTCAGAGAAACCAGAGAATGCAAGTTTAAGTTTAATTATCTTCACTTTTCATAAACAGAGGTTGCTGTCTGATTTCCCCCTTTACACCTGTCTCTATCGTAACGAATAAACACAAGTAATCAATGTGTTAGTATGACGACATGGTGACTTCTGCGTGTGTGTGTGTGTGTGTGTGTGTGTGTGTGTGTGTGATTATGGGTGTTAGCTGCACGCTGTCGACAACAAGGACAACATCTTTTCTATTTCACTCATGAAACAACGCAAAGAACGTCAGGTTAAAACGTGTCTCCTGTTCCACTCGACTGTGTCCGTGGAGAAAAGTCAGCAGTTTAAAACATCTGTAAGATGTGCAGCCGTGTGTCCTGCTCATTGGCGGCCAAACCCGTGATTAATTAGCCACATGAGGATATCACGTTGATGACATCAGCATCAGACTGAGGTTAGTTAATGTGATTTTTGCTGACACATAAAATGTCTTTGTTTAAGCAGGCAGGGGCAATCTGCTCTTAATGTGCTCAGAACATGTGTGTGTGTGTGTGTGTGTGTGTGTGTGTGTGTTATCTGTGTGATCGCAGCATGCGTCAGAAACCAGCCTGGGTCAATGTTGATTTAATAAACAGTTGTGTTTATAGAGCAGACCTTTTCTCAACAAGCGTGCTTAGAAGAAAAAAACACACACACAAAACAATACAGACACACACACGCATTGACAAAATACACTCTTCAACATGCTTCTCTATCAAAACACTATGTTTTTATCATTGTGAAAATGTGCAGAATAATGTGGCTTCATGAGATAGAATGAAGTCGGTGTACCAACTGACTTCAAAACAAAATGTTTGAAGAACAGCAATTATATGTAAACACTTAGTGTTTAAAAACTGATTTGGTTCCTCGTCAAGGTATTTTGTCATATGAATTTGTGTTCTGCATATTCATGCGTGTGTGTTTGTTTAGTGCAACGTGTAGAAGAGGGAGACTATTGTGAGGCTGCTCGTGTGATCAATCGGCCCCGTGTCTCTCGCTAATGAATAAATAACAGAGCAATCAGACAGAGGCGGTGTGCACCCTGGACAGGCTGCCAGACTATATATGTATATATATATATATATACACATATATATATATATACACTTATTGTAGGTCATATAGTAAGTAATTAAAGCTAAATGACAACCACTCAACAACAAACCGCAACGGCATTTTCTTCCAAAAATGCTTCTCCACAGTGCTGCCGGATGACACTGAACCAGTCATGTTTTACCACAAGCCCACTTATTTGTGTTTTTCTTGTTTGAAAGAAAGATTAGTCAGTGGAGCCTTGAAAATATTTTTGACAAAAGCGTCATGGGGAGGAAGTAAATGACGAAAAAAACACAAGCGGACTTAGCCTGCCCACACGTTTGAAGACCAACGCCTGAGAATCGGCATGTGCTCTTGGTGAACGTTCCCTGTATGCGCGCCGACCCGTCCTGACCAGGCAAATCAAATCTCCAGCCATCATGCCATTACAAAAGAGTGGTCTGAAGAAACCGCGCAGCCCTTGGGCAAGAAGACTTGGGATATTACTTTGAAGAGAGGTAAAGAAGGCATAGAAGGGGGCAAAAGGACACAGAGGGAGGGAAAGAGCCCCGGTGCACATCTGGAATGAGGACAGATGGGGCGAATACGCTGTTGGTGAAACAGGCTTCACTAATGGTCAATTCCATCAGCCTCTCTCGCCCCCCTTTTTAAGAGCAAAAAGACAATTTTGAAATGGCTCAGAATGAGAGCCCAGGTCAACGTATGTGAGGAGAAACCCGTTAGTGAGGGCAATTAAATAATATATGAAAATATAAAGAGCCTGAATAAACCGCCTGAAATCACAGTGAGGGGGAACGTAACTTGCCAATGCATTTATTTTTTTTCATATGGCTGCCAGTCCGACTTTGTATTATTAGTATTATAATAAATATATATATTATTTGAATATATATATATATATATATATATATATATATATATATATATATATATATATATATATATATAATATGTATTATTATTATTTTTATTTACATTTATCATCAGTTCATCTGCTGATGGTTTCCTCGCTCTGTCCCTCGGTCATCGTACAGATTTGTTTGAAACTGAATTTGAAAGTCAGTCAAAACTTTCTGTTTATTATCATATATTAAAAAGCGGCAAATCAGCACAATTGCAACGTTGGAAACTAGATATTATTTGCATTAACATATCGTGAAAATGTGAATTGCTTATCAAAATGGTTGCAAATGAATGTTCTGCTGAACTAACGGAGTAATTATTGCAGCTCTATAATAAAAGGAGAATAATTGTATGATCTTGATGTCAAAGGACATAAGAGCAGCAACCACGTACACAGAAGTACTCCCTTACATAACATTGATGTATGTTGCCTCTATATAGTACTGACACACTCATGATGACTCCGGGGCCACTCTGCGGCCCTTAAGGCATATTAAAGCAACTCTGGTTGCAGCTGCATTCGGCTATAATAATTCTTTTGTCCAGATGTCAAATGTAAGCAGCGAAAGATCCAGCAGAAATGTCTGCTGATTCGAGCTGATTACCCAGCGCAGCCGGACGCATCATTGCCCTTTGATAACAAGACATTTGGGATGAAGAAAGGAAAATTGTTTGTTGAGCTTGCAAAGTATCTTGGGCAGTTTCAGAGGAGAAGCTGCCTTTGTTAATAATGACAAAAACAACAATCCACCAATCGTGTTCAAATCAAACAGAATAAGAGAATCCTGAAGGCAGCTTTCTGCAGCGCTTCACATTAAACTCACATCTTTTAGGAGCACATTAAACTACCCAAGTGATATACATCCTCAAGAACATGTAGTATTGCAGGGAATGGAAAATACATTGTGGAAGAGAAAGAATGATACGTAGAAGGGGCACAAAGAAGTATTTATCATTTTCATAATTAGGTTTCAGATATCGTGCCTCTCATTCACCAAAGAAGCTCCGACACGCAACATCTATGGATTCACATTCCGTCTTTCTTATCAGCTCATCACATTTCTTAAACAACCTTGATGCGTCTTTCCTGCACATCAAGAAGCAAAACGATCACAATCATACACGCCCACCTGCATTTTGTGCCAAGTATTGTGTCACTATCCGAGAAAGCAAAATAAAATCAGACATAATAATTATTTCAAAAATATATAAGATAAACAGCAACATATGACATTTCACAAACTTGTTGAACATTACATGAGTTTAGGGGAATGAAAAAACAGCCTCCGTGATGCAGGAGCGTGAATCATGTTGGTGGATTATGAAGATGTGTCAATGCGCAGATGACGTTTACACACCTCAGTAAACCCGCGTTTCTGTTCATCCACTTTAAATAACAATACACTGATGCTTGCTGGAAAGAGGAAAGTGTTTGTTGTATCTAATTGCTCTAATTAGCTAAGTGACACACACACGCGCGGGCGGGCGCGCGCGCGCGCGCTATGGCTCCCGCAGCATCTCAAAAAGTTGAGGCTGTGCTCTCCGCTTCCAGAATAACGCGTTGCTTTAGGCCACCGGGAGACCAAAAGGCGGATTCTACTTGTTCCGGTACATCCGAGAGTTGTGTCCTCGCGCAGCAAAGAGGTGAGCAGAAGGACTTTTTACCTCAGCGTCCTCCCCCACGCCGCCCGCCGCTCATCTCACCGCCCGACCCATCGCCGCAGGGAGCCTCCAGTCCGCACAGCACCGCCGGCGTTACGCATCGCCGTGTCCGAAGCCCGGACGGGGGGCTGAGAGCTGGGAACCAGCTTTCTGTAAGAGGAAATGCACCGGTGAGCTGTCAACTTGTCCTTGCGTCTACTTAAGCTCACTTTTTCTCTTCTCTCTGTGTGAATCAAGAAGGGTCGCTCGTGTTGCAGCGGAATGGAGCGCGCCGCACGGAGAGAGGCGCGTGCGCTCAGCTCCCCGTCGCCATCCAACCGGCCAGAATGTGAGCACGCGACTTCCGCTGGCAACCTTCAAAATACAACTCAGGGTTAACGTGTTGCAAGTTTCCACCTAAGAAGAGGCAAAGTCTCCGTGCGTGTGTGTGTGTGTGTGTGTGTTTTTACATCATTAAAAGGGTTCAATTTGATCTGGGCCAGAGTTATATACTGATATTCATGCAAAAATGTGATCTTTTGGGATTCCATTAAACATTAAATAATGAATATGAGCCACATATACCCCACAGAATTCTTTTTTTCACCAATACTGTTTTGGTTCTGATGCTGTACAAGGTTTTTTGAATGTAGCAGAAGGCTTGCGTTATCTAAGTGTGCATAATTGTTTTATAAAGCAGCAGAAGATGGTCTGCATGCTGCATTAAACTGCCTTTATCGGCTTAATGGGGATATATGTAATTATTGTAAATATGTTAAATATAATGAGATCCTGCCTAAATATTGTGCAAGGTCATGTATGTAAACCCGATGCTGAACAGATCGGTCCAGCTCATCGAAATGGTAAGGTCACTATAACCTTGAAGTTGGTAAAACTGATGCTCTTTGCTGAATCTCAATGTGGGACGAGGAAGAGGTCCATTTGTTTCAGGGTCTGTCTCTTCCCTCTGAAAAGTTCCCTTCCCTTCTGTCAAACATGCAGGATCTAAACCATCATTGCTGTTAAATTGGCCTTTAATTGGGGAAGTTGTAGTGATCCTCAGCTCCTCGACAGCCATGGAGGAATAAAACATCCCATCATATTTAGCATTTTTCGTCTGGCACCGTGCTTTTGGACCATTATTTTGAAATATCACTCATTGAGCTTCCTGTAGAATTATTCTAAATACAGTTAGTTTTAAGCAGGTTGGTTCCCAGCCGGTGTATATATTTGAATGTTGTTCAGTAAACATTGTTTCAGTCTGATTAATGAAGGGTGGTTGTATCCTGCTCACTCACGGTTCAAAGGAATAACAGCGGCAGGCGTTTATGGATATTTCCCGGCTCTTTAATGAAATACAACATTACCAAAGTTGTTATTGTGTCTGTATATAAGGGGGGGGGGTCACCTGACATGATTTTATGCCGTCCACCTGCTCATCTCTCCACGTTCCTCAGTTCTTCAGTGTATGTTACCAGCTCATATACACAAAGCGACAAAATTGTCGTTACCCTTTCGTTAAAAGAAATGATATAATAAAAATGTCCCGGACAAAAGGGATTGCCTTAACTTAACATTTTGTTGCACGGCGTTGTGAGGCAATCACTGAAATCAAGCAAATTCTGTAACTCTCAATGGGACTTCGGCACCTTTCAACGGGTATTTTGGCCACTCTCCTCGTGAGCAGACTGCTCTGTCTCAGGTTTGAAGGGTGCCTTCTCCAGTCTGCATGTTTCAGCTCCTTCCAAAGATGTCCGATGGGATTTAGATCACGGTCCATGGAAGGATAGTTCAGAACTTCAGAATAGTCCAATGTTTTTGCTCTCAGCCATTCTTGGGTGTTTCTAGCTGTGTGTTTTGGGGTCATTATGTCCATGACCTGCCACTCAGACTAAGCTGGGCAGCACATTTTGCTCCAGAAGGTCTTGACAGCCGTGAGGTTTCATTGTATCCCGCAGAAATTCAAGATACATGTGCCAGATGCAGCAAAGCCGCCCCAGAACATAGCGACCCTCCTCCATGTTTCACAGTAGGTACCGTGTTATTTTCTTTGTATGCTCCTTATACCCGTGAAGCTTATGTGACGTGTCAAAAAGCTTTCTCATCTGTGCGGTAGACGTTCTCCCAGAAGTTTTGTGGCTTGTCAATATGCATTTTTCCAAATTGCCGCCTTGCTTTTTTGTGATGTTCTGGGCTCCTTGGTTACCATTCGTATGATCAGACTCTTCAATTTGTCATCAATATTCCTCTTGCAGCCACGTCCAGGGACGTTGGCTACAGTCCCGAGGACCTTACACTTCTGAATGATATGTGCAACTGTCACAGAAACACAAAGCTGCTTGGAGGAAGTCTTTTAGCCTTTACCGTTTAACATGCATCATTTCCTTACCAATAGAGGGAGAGATAACTCTCCTGTCATGTTCAGTGTGGCACACGCCATGATTCCAAAGGGCACTGCGACTACTTTTCACCCTTTAAATAGGCAGATCGAATGATTACAAGTTTAAAGATACCCGCGATGCTAATTAGAGGGCACGCCTTGGTTTAACATGCCTCTACGGTCAAATTATTTTAAATCTGTCTATGGGTGCCATCATTCAGGGTCAGTACCTTGTATTTGGCCACATAACCTCATAGTCAATCATCTGAGTGGAGGTCTTAAGGGTGATGGCAGGGGGAGAGTTCTTGACCAGGTGAGATAAATAGAAGTATACATCAATATATGAATGGCTAAGAACATCGAGCCGCAGCTTGAGTCACGAATCCCAATAACTGTTTGTGATGTTAAACAATGTGTGACATTTAAAAACCTGTCCACAGCAATGAGGAGACATGCAATCCATTGTTTGCACACACACACACAGGGTCGAACACACACTAACACAAGCATATTTGTGGAGTAAATTTACGCATTTAATCCTAATAATTTGATATGCTGCGATGATGATTTAAGATATTAAATTATATTAAATGTCAAGGTTCAGAGAGAGTTTGAAGTATTAAGCATCACCTGACTGAATATTGTTGAATGAACAAAGAATCGATTTTCTTAGGCTGTCTCTCTCTCTCTCACACACACACAGTTTAAATATTTCAAAGGCTTGAAAGCATGTTGTGTAACTCATTATTATACAACCGTTTTTTTAAAGTATAATAGATGTATTGTATGCTCTTGAATGACGAGAACAAGAAAAGGCTCTCTATCGTCAGAGCTGCTTCACATGACAAAAACTAACATTTCCTTCCCAAACATTTCTATTAGTTGTTGCTTATTATTCATTAGTGGTGACTGGAAACTGTAAGCCAGTCATTCTCTACTCCCACTGTGAATAGAGGGAAAGGTCTGATTCTGAATTTAGCTGTAAATGCTTTGAGTTCATAAAGATGTCTCATTGCAATTCATTTTTAAACATTGTGCAGATGGCAAATGCAGATCTTTATAATAAGACTCTTTGCTGCCATCTGTTCCATTCGATTAGTTTATTTTTAAACCAATTGTGACGAAACTTTCTATAATTTACTTCTGTCTTATACGGTGCATGTGTGTAAAAAAAACTAAATTGGCATCTTAGTCAAATCTCCAGCACTATTTTCTTAAATTTTTGAAAACTACCAACTTAATTGAAACGATGCCGACCACAAATGGATTTTTGACATTTTTGTCAAACCCATTTTAGCCCTTTAGCTTATACATCCCTTTTTGCCGCTTGATTGACAGGTGTTTGCCTTCAAAGTTTTTGTTCTCGTATGCGGGTTTGGGTTTTTTTCAACATAAATGTGTTGTAATGTTAAAACACTTTGAAAATGTCCCACATCATTAACAGTTAGTAACTGAACTATACAAAGATTTCAGGTTGTGCAGACCGAAATGTGTTTTAAACCGTTTATTACATAAAGAATCAAATTCAGTAATGACCGTTGCAGATGCACGCGTCGACTTGTTGATTCTGTTATTTGTACTCGTGATAATGGACGTAGTAAAAGGTGCAGGAGGCCCAGATACATCTGCTGCGAGCAGGATGTGCTTTGTGGAAGCGAGCGAGCAGGCGGCCAACATAAAATATATTTCAAAAGCAACTGTAGTCAGCAGAAACCTTGTCTGGATACAGATAAATATTCCTGAGTAAAACTTATAAAAGTAATGCCTGAGGCCTGTTCTTTGAGATGTTTTTAATCATCGTTTCCTGCTGGTGCCACGCAGATTAACCCAGTTCCAACTCATTATTTTGCCTTTAATGTAAAGCAACTGAGCCTGAAACAAAACAGGCATGAATGGGAATTATCAGATGCATGCCAAAAATCTGTACTTGCCTTTTTTTCCAGCTGGCGTATATATTCTCCCCCCATCTGTTCACAATTCATAAGAAATATGGTTTTAATAGCGCTTTGCTGTGTTGCTTTAACGCCCCGTGAGATGTGGCAACCATCTGCAAGTCCACATTTCCCACAATCAAATGTTGCTTTACTGTGACACGAACAATAAAATCATTATAAACCATGAGTGGAAACGTGAAGACACCCAGCATCATGTTATGGATGGAAGTTTCAAAGACCCACATCACTTCAATTACACTTTAGGAAAACCTAATCAAAGTCAGCTTGCACTCATAGATCAAGCCTGGATATCCTTTCACAGAGAGCTAAGTGTGCACACAAAGACATTAATACACTTTATTAGTTTTTCCACCCAATCCCTCTAATCCTTCCGTCACCCACCTACGCCTAAAACACACTAATCCCCATGATCACACACACACACACCGAGTTATACGTGTCGCAGGGGAGAAAACAGGTAATTACACCAGACGATTTGTCTCCCCCCTTGTTGTGTGACATTCAGTGTGCGGCCGCAGGTTAACAGGGATCGTCTGCCGGGTCATAAACCACAAAGTCTCATATTCATAACGCATCTGATCAGAGGAGAAGTCATTGCTATAGACACACTCAGTGCGGGGAACACATGTGCAGCTCTGCCCTGTTTCCACAGTGAGAGATTGAGTTATGATCATTCAGAAATTCCTCCCAGCAGAAATGCAATGCGAGTGTGTCAGACAGAGACTAAACTCCCCCCCCTACACCCAATTTATAACGTAGTTTTTTGGCAGAGGCATCAGTCTTCTTTGTTACGATGAAGCCACAAAAGTATGATGATGAATGCGCTGTGGTTTGTGTTTTTGAGAAAGAAACAACTTAGTTGCACACTGCCCTCTGGCATTCCTCACACAAATACCTCGGCTACACCCCCGTTCCGTTGTATATGGTTTACTTCCTCTAAATGTACAGCTTTCAGATCCGTCTATGTCCTAAACACTTAACCATGTGATACCCAAACCTTCTATCTTAAAGAATATCGCGTAGCAACTTATTTTGGCAACAGCAGCCACATATTATACATTTACTACACACAGAGTGTCTGCAGACTCTGTGTGATTACATTGAGGGTTTTATCAGCCACTTCACTCTCAAGGGATCAGGTTGTTTTCTCATTGTTTGCCAACTTCTAGTTTAGTATTTGTGCCCCAACGGGCAGAGCATTGTAATCGACCATCTGACTGTCATGTAGTCTATTGATCACTCTTGCCTGCACAATCTTTGTGATGGGAAAGCCAAAGACCTTGTGAGGAGAATAATGAGAGCAGAATGTGAACTGACAGCAGGTACCGAAATCAAAGTGTCTCTGTTTTTCTTCTCTGTTTTCCGGTGACTTGGAGTCAGAACAATATCATCACCCTTTTCACTGATACAGCTGTTTCAAACTGTTTCCTATTCACTCACCCAGTCGACACAGAGCAGCACCAGCGTTCATCTGGAGTACGCTTTCTGGTGATCCAAAGAATTTCAGTCCATCATATTCTCTCCTTCTAGCTCTTGCTTTTCGGGCTCCACATGCAAATGTTTCTGTTTTGCTTCTCAAAGCTCTACGTTGTGCACCAGATACTCTGTAACTTTGTCTGTCTGCTGGACAACGAGTGGCTCCATTACCCAGTAGTTTGCTCATAGTTTACGTTAGTGATTAGACGAATGTAAATAACTCCCAACAGAGTGAATTATTCTCTAGTAGCCATATGGAATGTGTGTTGCCAAGTCACCTTGTACTGAGTAACTTACAGAAAAGGATCTTCATTATTATTCACCCTCACCATGGCTTTAATGTGGCCTCTTAGCTTCAGCGTTTAATCTCATCTCCACTTGGTTCTGTAGCATCACTGTCCAGTGAGAGATGATAATACTTATTATCCATTCTATCTGCTGGGCAATTTCCTAATGAAAGCAAATCACCCACAACCGAGACAGAGCCGTGTAAATAGAAGTACTCACATAACCGTTTATTAATAAAAGATAAATTGAATCGGACCGCATTCAGATGGCAATTTCATGGACATCCCTCTTTAGAATGAATAGAGAGACGACGAGGGGGAGAGCTTCAGCTGTGCGCCCGACGTCCTGGAGCCATGATTGAGTATTGCATCAAAATAGTAAATCATCCACATATAATAGTGGGTAAAACATTAAAGAAAATGTGCGCGAGGCCGTACTTTGTAACTAGCTTCGTGCTCTCTCGTGACCCCTGAAGCCGAAGCTCGGACTCGTGCTGTCACTCGTTTACCCACCAGCTCCATGCCGCCCATTAAAGCTCCGCGGTTTTAATTGGACCCTTTTAAGTAGTTAACCGGCTCCAATTTGGGTTGACAATCATGAAATCAATAGTCTGTGTTTGATAAGACTTATTTTATTGACCTCGGGGTTCGTTTAAGGCGCTAAAGGCTACAGTCCGGTTTGGTCCGTCTTGTTTGTCTTTGGTTTTCAGAGTCTGTGACTAAAGGGACTAATGTCCCACAACACTCTTTGCCGTGTGACTCACGCAAACTTTGTTAAGCAGAAAGAGTACAACTATAAAAGCTCTCTCGGGGAGTGTAACCTTTATTGGAGACAGCTGGTGCAGATTAGCCAATAGGAGAGTGACATCAGCGCTCTTCCTGAACTAATGACGCTATGCTTCAATTTGACAAGCATCTTGGGAACAATTTCTCCTCCACTTATTCTTGTTCAGAGGGACAACAAGTGGCAGTGACGGAGGACGAGGGGCCGGCCGGTCGCTGTGGCAGGATGCAGCTTTTAGTTTGCATGATGATGAACAACGAATGCGCGAGACATGCACAGAGAGTTGCTAGAAGCAAGGCAAACGGACACGATGCTTGCATCATGAACTGCTGTCAACAAAGCAGCAGAGAGGAGGCGAGCGGGCGGCGTTTATTCCCTCTGTTCGACGAGGCCGATGGAACGCAGGTGGTGAAAGAAGAGCTGCAGCTGATGAAGAGAAACTGCACCCGCGTGCTCACAGACAGACTCGATCCCCAGTGAGCTCACAGTCAGTGCGGTCGCAGATGGCAATCTTCCTAACGGCCCTTTGCGTACTCTTCACTTGCCAGGATTAAGGTGACGTGAGCGGACGAGAGCAAAACTCCATGTTGGTTTTGAATAACTTCCAAACTTCAATTTAGGTGATGTAAAAATATTTTAAAGCTCTCTAGAGCTCGTGTTTGGTTTGTTTGCCCTGGGCAATATGAAGACGGCCTTCTCCTTATGCATCTACGCTGATGATGCACTGATGAATAAAATATTCTATGACCTATTCTTCAAAATCCCACACAATGGACCTTTTTTAAAGAAAACACCCGATAATCATCCTACGGTGAAAATCTTGAGGCGGCCTTGTAGCTGTGTATAATAAGAGTTGCTTCTTCTTACATTTCTTAGCTTTAACAAAATGAATGAAGACAACGTTTTATACGGTGGTGAAGTCCTTCATTTGAATTCCAACATGTTAATGAAGCAAAGTGATCTTTAAAAGAGCTGAAAAAGGATCACACTTCAAGCGCCATTCTCCCTTCTCACTGCACACTCAAGCAGAGAGGACTAAAGCGAATAAATCCCCATATTGTATGTGATGGTGGAGGCGAGCGCTCAGCCATTAATGCTTTGCATGTGATGGATAGCGTTTTGATAACGTTCATCATTAAGCTGAATTCCACCCGCGGATGCTCCCGTCACACGGCGAAGACTCAAACTCAGCCAAATAAGAAGTGATCTTCTGTGGGCTGGTGAGAAAGACCATCAGATTTATATTTAAAGTGGTTTGATGAGGGCAAATCCCAGAGGGTGAAGCTGGATTCGGTCCGAACCCCCCCGCTTTGCTTTTATGACATGGACTCAACACTCATCACGAGGCCTGCAGCTGCTTTACAAAATTAGAGTTCTGCTGTTGTGTAGTGACGTTGAAGCAATCTAACTTACAACCAAACGTTCTCCTTAAGGTTTCTTCCCTTTTTCCACCTTGAAAGGGTTTTTTCATTTTGGGGGGAGTTTTTCCAGTGCTGATGTGAGGGTTTTCGGGACAGAGGATGTCGTATGTGTACAGACTGTAAAGCCCTCTGAGGCAAATTGGTAATTTGTGATTTTGAGCTATACAAAATAAATAAAATGAATTGAACGTTTTAGCAGGGCGGTTTTACCAAAGAAGACAATGAAACAGGGTTTTTAATTAGTATTTTAATTCCAAAAATCAACAGTTAGTATTTGCAAAATATAAATTCAAAACACCCAGAATGGTGCGTAATTCCAGTTGCACGACTGCGTAACGCTGGGGTCAACAGTAGTCACTGCGGCTGATCTACAGCACCTGGTGGTGTCGAGGGATGCGTCAGCATTACAACGTGCAGGTTCATGTTCAGGTAGTTGGCGTGTTCTGCCCCCTGGAGGACTCGCATCACAACGCAGTCTCCCGTCTGTCACAGTACAGAGAATGCATTAGATCACTGAACAGGGGCCAAACGATTACTGGCACGCAAATTAAAAAAAAAAAAAAAATTACACCTTGGCCTCTATTGGTAACATTGACATTGCAAAGTCAAAACATTATTTTGATTTCAGAGCTTGTTTCACGTCTGGCTGGCCAGTGTTAGTCGAGGGATTCTAATAAAGTGCCGTACAAAACAGAGTAGCATCCCGAGTCAAAGTCTGCACTCAGCCGAACGAAACAGTAACATCGCGGATGGAAATGCTACTTTTACACTTATACAGCCCTCTACAGGCATCTATATTCATACAGTCAGAACTTGAAAAGGAGTTTAAGTGGTCATATAGTGAAATTGGGACTGGAAAACAAAGTCTAAGCTCCAGCAGTCTGCTTCACAGTTTCCCACCAACTCCCTCCTTATTGAAAACAAGACAAAACAAACATGGTCCTCTTCTCCAAAAGATTTAAGCGTGAGGCGCTTAAAGAGTAATCGGAATGAGGTATGGGAATATCAAAATTCATAACATTTTAACCTGCTAGTTGATTAAAAGTTATAAAACATTAATTGAATGAAGAAAAATCGAACAAATTAACAGTCAGTTCTGGACGCATCACTTCATCACTGTCGAATGACTACTACGTAACTACATAAGTTTGTTATGACGTGTTTTAGTAATGGCTTTTGGGGAAATAGTTTGTATAGGCACAGACGAAAAAGGCTACAATGGTTTGGTTTGCATTTTGTACTTCCACCGTTGAGGACTGTTTGGAAACACAATCGTGACCCAAACTTTTCAAGCCCAGAAAACACTTTGTACCAACGGTGAACTGAGCTAGTACAGAGAAATAATACGTAAATAGTCAAATCGGATTTGTAATTAGTTCAAATTAATACGTTCTCATCTAACTAACCCCACTGAAATCACACTGGATATTGAACATCTGCAAGATCTCATTTCAATCTTCTCTCCAAGCCCTTTAGGTCACACTAAGACACCTCTTTTAAATTTAGCATCTTCTTTCACAGCATCATTTTGACAATCTAGGCCGATAAAGGAAAACATCCGTTCTAGTGTTTGTTCCTTGTAGAAGCTGCTGCTCACAATGATCAAAGCCATTGCTCTCTGTGAGCAAAAAAAGGAGAAGAAAAACATGCACAAGTCCAAAAAGAGCTGTACAAGACTGCCTTTCTTTCCTGGGTGATGCCCGGAGTAGAGCGCTGACGGGGTGCTGTGCGGGTGCAGGGTGGAGGGTTGAAGAGCAGCTCGTGAGAGCGAGATCAGGAGACGATGCGAATGCCAAAGTATTTCTTGAGCTGCTCGAGGAAGATGAAGGTGAGCACCGTGTGAGGAATCAAGCGGATTCCAGCGGGGACGAGACCCTGTAACAAAATGATGCATCAGATTGTCTTTCAGATCCCTCAGTTTAGAGTTGCTGTGCTTAATTGTACTGTCGCTAGTCAGCTGCATCCCCTTTGCACAGCTAACGCAGCAGAAGCATCACTCTGGCTCCAATAAACTTTGCAGCATATCAAGAGTCCACCTGTCATTCATCCCCATTCAGAACATCCCCTGCACTCATATATTGGGATGCAATGTTCGCTGTGGGAGTACTTAAATAATTATTTAAGAAATTCAAGCAGGATCGCCACCGTGTTGTTCTTCCTTGCCTTCAAATGCTAAATGACTGTCAGATTGCAGATGACGATGATATGCGCCAGCTTGTTTTGAGCATATGCCACGGAATATTAATAATATTCTAAATGTTTTCCCTTGCTTTTATAACCTCAGTGGGGTTTAAAGTATAGTGTGCCGTTGTACCTTATAAAATGCCAGCGGACCAAGCTTGGCAGTTTCTCTTAAGCAATGGCCCACCCCCTGGAGACAGAGAGAAACTGGATTAAAACCAACGCTGAAGAATGAAGCGGATAGATGAACACACTAATGGAATAGAGGAGACGGAGATGGAGGGTTTACCCACTCACCGTGTACTCTCCCTTTGAGCTCATCAGCCGTGTTTTTAGGACATCCAGCGGTTGACACAGGAACGTAGCACAGCCGCCCTGCAGGGGAACGAGTCATCGGTTCAACAGAAGTGACTGAATGAGGCTTCCAGGACACACAGAATCAAACCGGATACTCACAGCGATGGAGCTGGAAACAAAGTGCGTGAGTATGTTATCTCCCATCAGGCCTGTTCCCAGCACCAGCTGCTTGGCCTGGTCGTAACACGCCAACTAAATACAAACACAGAGGAGGAAATATTTGTCAATCTGATTATATTTCAGAGCATGCACGACGGGGTTCACACATTTCTGAACTAATTGGATGTGAATAGTTGTATCTATGCTGCAGTCTGAAGTAAACGACCTATGGGTGTGCTGGCCAACACAGACTTCACAGCTAAGTGAGGCGGAGGCTAGATGGATGAAATTGCACTTTCTTGTTTCTTGTTCTTTAGTGTCTGTATTTTTATGGTTGAAATGCACTTATTGTAAGTTGCTTTGGATAAAAGCGTCAGCTAAATGACATGTAAAGGATAAATTGTGTGTATAGGACCATCTGAACAAGCAGCAAATTCATTTTGGAAAAGGAGTCAGCCTCGATTTCAAATAATTCCGTTATCTTATTAAAAAGATTTAGAGATGGATTCTGAATGTGAAACACCATTTCTCATGATTAATATCATCTTCATGTATTGAGTAGAATCTACATTGTGTTTGCAGTAGCCCAGGTAGAATAGAGTACAACGGTAAAGAACCAGACATTGCTCTTCGCTGGCCTCTCTTTAAAACCTGCAGCCATTCAAAAAGATGTGGTCAGTTGCCCTTTGAACCTCGACGACTTGCCTGTCCCACAGTGACCATCGCTCCTCTGCTGGACGCCATGGTGGCTCCTGAAAAGAGTCTCCTCACGCCCTCTGTGGGCCAAGAGACACGAGTCAGACACGACGTCACAATGTGCTTCACCTGATATCACACACACACAACTTTACCTTCTCTGACGACCCTGTAGAATCCATCGATAGCGTGTTTGTAGCTGAAAGACAAAAGATTCAGGCTTGAATTACAGTAACAGGTTCAAAACGTCAAAGGGAACCATTTAGTTAAATAAGAGACTCACTTTCTCCTCAGTTCTGGTGGTAGTTTCATGTCATTCTGCATCCTGGAAGCAGGAGAAGAGGTTAGTTTGTTTGGAATAATTCATGTTAATATTAATGAGGATTAAACGATCATCTCAGCTTACCGGACATTCACCATGTCTGCTGGCGAGCCCACAAAGCCACCAGTGAACCCTGTTGGTAGAGAAAGCACAGCACACAACCCTGAACGGGTGACACTGCAAGCGTGTGCGCGTGCGTGCAGAGAAAGAGAAAGAAGAGAAGCAGAATGTGCGTGTTCCCACCTCCGAAGGCTCCCAGCAGCACCTTCTGGTAAAAGGGCATCGGGCCCTGGCCTGTGCTGCCCAACATGTCCCGGACCGTCTCATAGATTGCAAATCTGGTGAGTGAATAGGACATCTGGGAGGGGAGGAGAAAATAATGACGAACAAAATTACTCTCAAATTGAATATGTCTTTTTTCAACCACTGGAAAGAGCCCACGGTCACCTGAAAATACCAACAACGCGCTTTTGTTAATTGTGCTTAAAACAAACACACACATATATATTTCTTTGTCTGTAAATGTGGTTTGGTGGAAATCATATGCATAAACATGCTCAAAAACAACACGTACCTGTCTGCAAAGGGAGGCAGAGAGGCCACTGTACAGAGCCAGCACGCCGTCGCTCTTAACCACATGAATGGCCATCCCCACCATCCGCTTCTCCACTTTCTGCTGAGTCTGCAGGTGTACCTAGAAGGACGGTGGTGTATCACGTTAGTGACAGCAACCCAATATGGTAACACAACAGCTGGGGGCAACATGTGTCACTTCTTTGAAGATTTTACACCAATTTAGTATTTGAAAAGATAAAAAACAAAAATAATGGCCAAATTCTAGTCGACAGAAGGCGAAAAAAACATTTATTTTTTTATATTCTCCAGGATCACAGAAATCAGGCTGAGTAACACTGACCACGGTGAGTAAAAGGAAGATAGTAATGTGTAACACTCCCAGTTATCACACACAATACAAGCGTTATCTAAAACTCCGCTGTCGTCAGCAGCACCACCATGTGAACTTTGTCCGCTGTTCTAATCTGTGTTAAGATAAGTCTTAAGATATTTGTAACAATGATCTTTTCATAATAGTGAAGATAAACATTTTTCATTCATTCGTGATTGTCAGCATGCTAACATGCTAACAATGTGAGTGCTAACATGCCAACCATGGTAATCGTGTTGGTTTAGCATTGTGAACTTTTTTTTTTTGCAGGTTTGTGTTCACAAACCAAATAAGGTTATTTGATTTTGATTAAGGTTAAGGCAACACAAGTTATCAAAATAAATTCTTAGAGGGGGCACAATGGTGTCCACAATAGGTCACATATTGGCACTAAGGGAAAAATCACAGAAGTGAATGAAATATGAAGTCTTTTCAAGATTTTAGGACAATCCATATTGGTGGACCGACCAAGACTTTTCATCCATAGAGAAAAGGAGCATAATGACTGAAAAGGCACCAGATAATCCCGTAAATTGAACTACAAATATCAAATACTTGGGGGAATTTAATCTAGAAGTATTAAGTGCAACGGTTCTGAAGCTCGCATATTCTTCTTTAATATAACACAACCTGTTCAGCAGCAAAGTGAGTAGGAACACGCACACATGTGTGGGGAAATATTCCACCCAGATGAGCTGATAAGTGACACCCGGGTTTACACAAAAGAGGAAATGAATAAAACATTACTAGGAAAACAGGGAAAGAGCAGCTGAAATGCACCTGATGTTACGCGAATGTAACAGGCTTCACCATGTGAGAACCAACCACTCCTGCTACTAGTTTCGCATACCTACAAAGTGACATATTGTCCTTGAACTGCCGGACATTACTCAAGACCTACTCAGTGTTTCCCCAACAGCTACGTGAAAACAGTTTGGACAGGTACTCCGAGTCGAAATAAACACAGGGTTCCCACATATCATATACCATTTAATTCCAATGTGTATAAATGAGATCTTATATTATTCTGTCACATTGTGACATTATTATCAACTAATGCAGCTTCTCACAAAAATCCCATTCATGATAGTGGACCTGCACAAAACTGAAACATATAAATAATGTAAAACATTCCACATCAAACTTCCACTTTGACTGGGGAGAAACCACCTGACTGGCAGAGCCAGTAAGTATTTGGCCGATGACACGTTCCGTTGTTGAGCCGGACCTGAAGGAAAACAATGACCGAGCACTTCATGCTCATTGAAGTGCTGATTGTAAGCTTTCAAATACAGAGTAAGACGCGGAAGGGGAAGTCACTTATTGTAATTTAACCCGTTCAGTAAGAAGTTGGAGCTGCACAAGAGGCATCCAATGGAGGCGTATAGAGCATGTTATTCCCGTGCTCTATTGAATGAGCCACATTACGTACACTCAATGTGGACAGCCAATCAACACGAAAGAGCATGATTTATGCACTTTATGGGCATCACTTCTTATTGTTGGATAGAACGCAAAAAGACCAACGATCAGGAGAATTTACTTTAGAAAACAGTTTGAGGGAAAATACCATTAAGACACATTTTGTCAATCTGTATCTATACATAATATATATAAATGTTGTCTGGTGGTAAACTAACCAGGAGGAGTTGAATGTCTTGATTTGAATTATGCCATATAATATATATATATATATATATATATATATATATATATATATATATATATATATATATATATATATATATGTGGCATACCAGCTAGCACGCAGGACAGGGCAGACATGAAGCACTCCAGGAGAGTTTTAGAGATGATTAGCGGCCTCGTCGACATAATTACACACGGCACGGCTGTATTCCGGTGAAGTAAGGTGAGGACTGCTTTGGGCGTTAGACTGATTTACTCCTCTGTGCATCACAGCGAGGCAAAGATTAGCGAGAGTGAACATGTATGACTCCACTGGCTGATACAGACAGACACTATGTGGCGTTTCACTTTTGCACAAATTATATATATATATATATATATATATATATATATTATAAATAAAGCAGTGAGTGGCGGTCTGGCTTCAATGGTGACGTCAGCTCTGACAGATTTGACTGAGTAGCAATCAATCGCCATATCGCAGGCCACATCTCGATAGTAGAAATAGGCTGCATTGTGCAGCAATTGTGCCATTCTGTGTGCCTCAAAATAAATACAACAATTGCTTCACCGCATCGTGTGTAGTTATTGACGAGCTGTCACTTGTCTTAACCTCTCCCCCATTTCTGAACGGGCTCGGCCACCCTGACAGACATCACAGTGATGCCATCGAAGACACGCGCCCCGATATCTATCAATCTACAACGGCAACACGACCGGAGGTCACGGGGCTCAACAAACGAATCTCTCCGGCCGCGGGTCTGCTGTTGCAGAGCGCCGCCGTGGCCGCGCACGCAGGCCTCTGTCCTCTGCACGGCGACCGTCGCGCCCTCGGCTCACCTTGATCAGGTCCAGAGGATGCGTGCAGCACGCGGCTCCGCACGACGCGAGCCCCCCGAAATACCACCGCGACATCCGCTTCTCCGTCATGGTTCGTCTCCCGATGCTGCTATACTTCCTCCCTTCCTTCCGTCCTTCCTCCGCTGTCCGCCTTCCTCACGCCGTCCTCCCGCTTCCTGTGGCCGCGGGGCGCGAGCTGCGTGCAGCGCGTGGTCTCCTGGGATCTAACCCGGTCACTGCTCACGCGTTCCTATCGGAGCGACCTGGGAGGACTTTGGGCTCCCGCAGCGTCGCGCGCACTCACGCCACATGACGTGCGTGTAGGCATGTAGAAACACGAGGTGTGTGTGTGTGCGCGCGCGTGCACTGTCTGCTGTGTTTGGGTCACAATGCGCAATCGGAAGCGGTGACGAGCGCAGCCAATTGCCGCCGCGGAGGCCGGAGCTGCCTACTCCCGCCCCGGGGCTTTCAAAGGTCGACGGCGGGGTAAGAGAGCAGTGGACGACCCGAAGAGCGGAGCCCAAAGTCACGCACGGCGGGCCGCTTTCACCTCTACCGACGCCCGTGCGACGCTTAAAGTGACACGTGCTCTTCCGGCAGACGCAGGATCACGCGCGTCACGCGGTCCCTTTAAGAGGAAGAGGCGCAAAGCAAGAAAAATAAAAGTGTTTAACCGTGAAATGACTGGGATCCCATTAGCAGGGAGGTTGGTCGACAAGACGCGTGTTACAAACTACTTTGTCTCTCTTTCAGGAAAGATTAACTTTATATAAACTTTATATTTTTAATAAACGAATCTCTTGAATAAAATCCAGCTTTTCATTCATCACGCCATCATCATATCAAATACTCAATGAAAGACATAAGAGGATAGAAAAATGTAAACTGACCCTTTTTGCTTAACCAAATATCGAACTTTTCATTAAGTGTTTATTTGTCTTGTCCACTCAAGACGTCAAATAATCAGTTAATCTTGTAAGCACATCAGTTACAGTTAAATGTTTACTGCCCCCAAGTGTGCAATGTCTGCTGTCACTACTTCACCACTAAAGGTGGTTGAACAACAGTTTGGATGAACTGGGAATTAATCATTGTCGGTTTTAATGAACATCTGTGCAGGAGTTGAAACCCTTTCCCCAAACTCTGAAAACAACAAACATGTCTTTCTGGTAGGTAATGTGATAACTAGAAGAAGACAGGAATAATCCTGTTCTTCACAGTCCTTAAAAGCGCGACAGGGCTCACTGGTAGAGTATAGTTATTGACACTGGGTGAGTTGATTGAATCAAATAGAGAGAATAGTGGGATGCAAACACATTTTTATTGCGCATAAGTGGTGAAAAATCATTCAATCACGTCAATACAAAAAAAAACAAAGGTGGAAATTGAGATGTCGCACATATGCAGTGACCACTCTAAATAATATGATGTTATTAAGTCAACTGCATTAAATGCTGGATAAAACATAAGCCTTGCTACATAAACACAGTGGTGAGCGTTAGTGCACAGCACATCAAATCAGACAATACACAGGCAACTTTAAAAGAGTTCAGATTAGCAACGAATTATTTTTGTTTATCCAAATGAACATACTGTACTTGTTCTAGGAAAAAGAAAAAAACAGTAAAAATACCAAAAACACACTTATTTATCAGCATTCATAAAAAGTAAATAAAGATGCATCGCTGCCTGCACATTGTCAGTGAACACAGTAGCGTACACAGATGTGCCGTGTACACTGGCTTTTTGTACACAGACCGCCCACACACACACACACACACACACACGCACACACACAAAAACACAAGCAGAGGCAGACTGGAATTTGAGAAATGTAAGTCACACACATTAGTAAACTTTGAAACATTTAAAACCTCCCCCAACTGACGTCAAATCCCACTGACAGCCAATCAATTCCACTAGAAACCTTCAGCTGACCAGCTCTTCATGTCATTTTATTAATAAATGTAAAGTGTTTGTTTGCCAAATTGTATTGGAGTCCACATTATGATCTAAATAAACAAAACCAAACTCCATGATATGATATGAGATACACACACAATAAAGGCCTCTATTAGATGGCCACCTTGTAGTTTGACCTCACATGTCCGATAAAATCATCTCATACAAAAGATTTTTCCTGCTGCTTCGCCTCCCCTGCTGCCCCTTTCGTCGGGTTATTCTTCATGGCTCCGCCGAAAAAAGCCAGCGCTCCTGCTCCTGGTTGAGAGGAGCCCAGATGGAGCAGAGAGCCCCCCACCAGGAGCAGCACGCTGGCCAACCAGCCCAGGTACAGCGCCGGCCCCAGCTCCCTCTTTAAAGGCGCTGCGACAGTCGGGTCGTAGAAGTCCCTGATGACCGCGTGGGCGGTCCAACAGATGGGAATCAAGTAGGCCAAGCCAGACACGACGAAGAGCAGCCCGGCGATCCTGGCCAGTCGAGCCTTGGAGGTCTGGTTGGCGTCCCCCATGCAGTGAGTGCACTTGGCCCCTGCCACCCCGAGCATGAGTGCCAGGAGACAGAGGAGCAGGGAAAGGACGGTGAGGCCCCGGGCGGCCTGGGCCGACGTGGGCAGGGCCAGGGTGGAGTCGTAGGTCTTGCACTGGATCTGGCCTGTGGTCTGAGACAGGCAGTTCATCCACAGTCCCTCCCACAGCACCTGGGCGATCACCAGCTCTCCGCCCACGAAGGCGGACACGCGCCACAGAGGAGCCGCGCACACCAACGCCCCGCACACCCAACCCAGGACAGCCAACACCAGGCCCAGCAGCTGAAGGCCTGTGGATGCCATGCTTTATATGAAGGGAATGTCTCTTGTCTTTGCCTCTGGGAGGTTACTGAGCTCTCAGTAGATGAGTCTAAGCTTCCCACCGCGGGACGTCCAGTGATTTTAAGCTCTTGAGATGAATCCTTTCTTGAGCAACACCCACTGTTAAGATGAAAGATTTCCACAGATGTTAAATTAACTGATTGAATCCCTTTAACTTAACTTCATATCTAAATGCCAGTTCAAACCAGTACAATACAACAGTAGCATTAGTCAGAATAAGGGCATTATACTTAACTGTGTTCTATTTGATTCAATCAACTCACTCATTTTCTCAAGTTGCTGCTAAATAAAGCTCAATAAAACTTACCGTACAACCACTACCAGACGTCCACAGATGGCGTGTTGATGATCCTCTGTGTGTTCCTCGGTGGTTCAGTGGCCTGATGTGAGCAGTCGGTGTCTTTATACTCTTATGACTGGCCAGCTTGTCTCGTTGGATCTCATACACACGAGTGTGGGAGGGCAGCAGTGTGTAACACTGCATACTAACGACACACACACACACACACACACCGATAGTTATGCAGAAAATGACAGCACAAGGACACTTTGTTAGACACTGTTCATTGCCAACACGTTGTCCTTTCTTTCCATTCAAGAGGCCACAATGGGGCAACATGTGGATCCGTGAAGGAGAGCAAGGCTGTGTGGAGCCGTATACACTTGAGGCAATAAGCACAACGTGAAGCAACTCCCATGTCATATTATGTGAATGAATCAAGAGTTGCCCTGTAGAGCCACTAGATGGCGGCAGCCTCACATTAGCTTGTACGTTACGTTGCCTCGTTTTATGATCTTGTGGTCATTATTTGCATCGTGCTTGAGGTGTCTTGGATACTTCTGTGTTGTGATGATTTCACTTAGATGCACCGGAGGTAGCATAATATAAATATATTAATATAAAATCTAATAGAACATGTTCATAATGTGTTTATATATATGAAACAAAACAAAACAACGTATTCTATCTTTCAGCTTCTGTGACTTGATTTGCACGATGTCCTGCTTTCTGAAAATAAATATGTCTGTAATAAATTATTTTAATAAACATCATAACTTAAACTAACTCCTAACTTCTGGATTTGCGGTAGAAATGGAAAGTTGCATACCGGTATACATATACGAGACTGTCTAGTTCCTTTGTCAGTGTATATGTTCTATGTAGCTTTGCATCAGCAAATGAGAAAATACAAATACAACAGCATGCTGTATGGTAGACCCATTGTCCTGAAAATCATGATACGCAAGACTGTCTAGCAGTATAAAACATGTTTTGGTAAAATGATCAAATGTCAGAAATGCCAGGTACTCAAAGACATGACTGCACAGCCACAACAAAGGCTCAGCAGCATCTCTACGGTCGACACAATAGTAGAGTCCATATGCTGACAGACAGAGTGTTATATTCTGCCTCTCCAGGTACTCTGAACCCACCACATTGAACACTGAGCCTTCATACAACCTGGTACAACTTCCTTTTCAATTATAATTTTAAGGAGATGCTAAATTTGATCTACTTGCAGAATAATGAAAATAACTGCAGTTAAGCTGCAATTAAATAATACCTTTTCATTTAGCAGCTAAAGAGCCCAACATTTCCCTGCAGTTGCTGTGGAAAATAAAATGAGAACAAAAAGCAGACTGAATATTGGACAAAACATCCGGTTGACTGGAACATGACACCGGTTGACACTTAGTGTTTGTGTTGCTCTTTGGGTCAGGTGTGTATTAACTGGCAACCGTTTGACTTTCATGTCTATCAATGTTTTCTTTACAAAGTGGCAAAAAGTACAAAGTGGCAAAAGTACTAATAACAGATTCAACAAAGTGACGAAGCATTCATCTCACATACAACAAAACCATAACACCACAGGATGAACACGGCAAGACTCACAACACACAACTCCTCACAATTAATCTTGCACACACACACACGTATCAACACGTATGAACACTTGTGCCTGGTCAACCTTCCTACAACGGCTTTGGCAATAAAAGGTCACAGACGTGTGTGTTTCTGATAACAGTTATATGACTGTTAATCCTTCCTACAACGGTGTTGGTACCTGCAATAAAAGGTCACATACAAGCACACACACACACACACACACACACACACACACACACACACACACACACACACACACACACACACATAAATAAAAAATGTGGACAAATGGCGGCATGTGCAACCCCCCACACATGCACGCAATTTTATTACTACTAGCAAGGCTGCATGGCGCTGTGTACACTGAGGTGGCCTGACAAGCACAACGCCTCTAGATGGCGTCAGCTTCTCATTAGCTTGTACATCCCCTCGTTTTAGGTTCTTGTGGTCATTATTTGCATTGTGCTTGCGGTGTCTTGGATACTTCCGTGTTGTGATGAATACACTTAGATGCACCGTGGTGTGAATGAAAGAAGCAATGAAGCCTTGTGAGACGAACAGATGTCAAGTGTTCTAATCAGACAACTAAATATCAGCTAGTAGAGTTTGGAATGACAGTGCACGTTGATGATCCGAACTTGTTGTATCTTTGTTTCTCTTGAGAGAGAAAAAATGAATTAATAAAAGTTAAAATCGGTGCCAATGTATTGTCATTGTCTGATTCATGCATCTTACGGTAATGTGCAATAACACAACATCAAAACATCCATTTAACAAGTTGTTAAAAGCACAACGTTTGAGATCAGGGTGTCGCCTACTTTGGCATGTAAGAAGTTTTCGTCAAAACAATTTTGTGATCTCCAATGTGTCTTAGTTTCATTTTCCAGGAAACCACTGAGGGGGAGGGAGAACGGGAGACACAGACAGAGAGCGAGAGAGAGAGAGAGAGGGAGGGAGGGAGGGAGGGAGAGAGAGACAGACAAACAAAAGTACGGACATACTTTGATCTGGAAGGAAAGGGGAAGAAACAGACACAAGTCAGTGGTTCAAAGTGTGGTTTGTCGTGTGTTTCCAGCTACTTCTTCAACTACAACCTGATGGGTTTGACCTCAACTGAAGGTGAGTGTCTTTCCTTGTGTGTAGGAACAGATATGTCTGTGCTCGTACTCCTTATGTAAACTGACCAACAAGCTCCCATAAGTTCAAATGAAGTGTCTCTGTGTCTTTCTGTCCACAGATTGCAGCTCTCCAGTTGTCGGTGACCTGAGGATTGTCCTGCTGGGGAACACAGGATCAGGAAAGAGTGCAACAGGAAACACCATCCTGGGACGAAGAGCTTTCCTCTCAGATACTTCTCCTTCTTCTGTGACACAGACATGTGAAAGGGAAAGCGCCCACCGTGATGAAAGAACTGTGACTGTGGTGGACACCCCGGGAGTCTTTGACACGGCGATTGAAGAAGGCAAGTTGAGAAAGGAAATAGAGGAATGCATGTTGCTGTCTTACCCAGGACCTCATGTATTCCTGCTAGTGATCAGACTGGATTTACGCTTTACTGAAGAGGAGAAGGATATCGTCAAGTGGATCCACGACAACTTTGGTGAGGAAGTCTTCAATCACACTCTGGTGGTCTTCACGGGGGGAGAAGTCATCAAGGAGAACATTGAGGATCATTTCGACAAAAGTTCTGAACTCAAGGACTTAATCAGTGGCTATAAAGAAAGGTATGCTGTGTTTGACAACACATCTATGGAAAATCGCACTCAAGTGGCTGATCTGTTCAAAAAGATAGACAAGGTAGTGCACGTCAATGGTCTCCTTTATACCAGAAGCATGTATGAAGAGGCCCAGAGGAAGAGGAACTCAAGGGAACGTTGGAGCAGATGGGCAGGCTACGTGAAACTGGTGGCTCCCTTTGCATTGGGTGCTCTAGATAGTGCTGCTGGTGCTGTTGCTGGTGCTGTTGCTGGTGCTGCTGCTGTGGTGGAGGAGCCAGTTTTAGCTGCTGGGATCGGCCTCATGCTTAACAGCTGGAGGAAGTTTATCTAACGCAACGGAAAACACATTTTTCAACTTATCAGAAATGAAAATGAAGGCATGTTTACTGCTGCATTCATCAACCTACTCATTTGATGCTCGCAGAGAAACTATATGAGATTCATTTGTCACTTGTCAAACTGTCCCCTTAAGTCAGAAGAAACACATTCAAATACATAGAAAATATATAAATATATTATAATACCACATAGCAAACACTTATACAGCATTACAAGTGTGATCGATCCTTTATCAGGTTTTATGCAAATGTTTCCGTAACATAATTTTACTGAAAAATTGCGATTGCTTCCAAAATGCTTTTATGATGACTCATAAGTTCCTTTAAGCAAAGTCAACATACTGATGACGGTTGATCCTGGTAACACCACATTCAGAAACAACCACACCTTTGATCAACAAACCTCTTGAACAACTGGTTCTACGGGAACACGGGCATCGCATCAAAAGCTCTCTTGATGTCCTCCCCTCCCCTTTGCTCATACTTACTGCTATTATAACCAACCTCAGACTAAACTCCTTCAATAGAGAACATTTCGTCACTAGAAAGTACTTCCAATGAAAACCGGTCACAACACACTATTGATTACACAAAGAAAATCTGATTTTTTTTTCAAACAGAAAATGCCCACAAAAGTGCTGTATTTGTTTTAAAGGTTTTGGTAAAAAAATACAGACATAAAATGTCTCCATGTGTATTCTTCTGTTTGCTATTCATTGTTTGCATTATTAGTTCACTCCCACTAAAACCATGGTTATTTGTATTGTTACTTACCAGTTATATTACTCATATTGTTTGGGGGAAGGCACATTGGTGCGTGGGTACGTGTGTATACTTTGTAAGTTTATTAGTTTGAGTTGTACTTTCTTTCTATTTTATTTCCAACTTCTTCTTTTTTTTAACCTATCTTTCCAAGTTTATCCTAATTTAATTACTTTGTCTCCTTTACACAATCTATCTGTGTGCAATGTGGAGGGTGGACAAACGCATTTCTGTATTGTGTAATGCGATAGGATGACCCTCGAACTGTGATTATCAATGAAAGCGACGTATCAGAGGAAAGCTGCCACTCCTCCATATAGAATTTATGCCAAATTTGGAATTAAACTATTTCAATGTATTAAAGCCAATTTTATTTAGTTGGATGTTATTCATTTCCAGACTCAGGACTCCATATAAAATGACAAAGAAACTAAAATACATTGCAGTAGCAACGCATCAAGACACCGGTATTGTCACAAATAATAAATGGATGAAAACACCGATTTCGTGGCGCAGGGGTTAGAGAAGGTGTGCTGGGAAGCACAAGGTTGGTGGTCAGAGTCCAGGCTGCCCCATGTTCCATGTTGAAGTGTCCCTGAGCAAGACACCTAACCCCTACTTGCTCCTCAGGCAAAAATGTGAGAAAGCCACGGGTTTAAAGTGTAATGTAAGTCGCTTTGGATAAAAGTGTCTGTTAAATGATCTGTAATGTAATAATACAGACATTTGTTCCACTGTTTCCACAGACAAGAATAATACCTTGTTTCAGGAAAAGTTAAGGTCTTGATGATCACATGCAACATTTACATTTTCTAGATTCAATTCCTCAGGACAGCATGTGGGCACATCACAAGTAACAAACATATGACTCGCATGTGTCCATCTTGGGAGCTTAAGTAAAATTCTTAAAGCATCATTAGAGACCGCCTGAAGCTTTCTGATCTTTGCGGCTACTGCGGCTAGAGTGGAGTACAGTGTCAAAGACAGACATTTTAACATCAGCTGTGCACATATGGAACATACGTGCCCACATACAGTGGGTATGGAAGGTATCAGGCCCCTTTTAAACTGTTCACTCTTTGTTTCATTGCAGCCATTTGCTAAAATCAAAAAGTTCATTTTATTTCTCATTAATGTACCCTCAGCACTCCCTCTTGACAAAAAAAAAAAACAGGAATGTAGACATTTTTGCTAATTTATTAAAAAAGAAAAAACTGAAATATCACAAGGTCATAAGTATTTAGACCCTTTGCTGTGACGCTCGTATTTAACTCACATGCTGTCCATTTCTTCTGAACCTCCTTGAGATGGTTCTACGCCTTCACTGGAGTCCTGCTGTGTTTAATTAAACCAATTGGACTTGATTAGGAAAGGCACACCTGTCTATATAAGACCTTACAGCTCACAGTGCTTGTCAGAGCAAATGAGAATCGTGAGGTCAAAGGAGCCCAAGGAGGTCAGAGACAGAATTGGCCAAAGTTACAAAATAATGTATGCACCACTGAAGGTTCCTAAGAGCACAGTGGCCTCCATAATCCTTAAATGAAAGAAGTTTGGACCAGAACTTTTCCTAGTTCCACAAAGTCAACTATCACTGCAGCCCTCCACCAGTCGGCTTTATGGCAGAGTGGCCTGACAGAAGCCTCTCCTCAGTGCAAGACATATAAATATCCCACCACTTGTCTCAACAGGAGAGACTTGCATCCAGGGGACACCTTAGTAACCCGAGAGACTACCTTACAGTACCGAGATAGTTCTCTGGTTAACACGTCGGCTCTGACTGTGATCTCAACAGCCGGTTTGGTGAGCGGCAGAACGGGAAAGAAGTGGTTGTTGACCTCGATCCCGTTCTCCATGACACGGTCTGCGTCTTCCACGCTGCCAACAAACACCACCATCTCCCCCACCGCCAGGCTGCAGGCCTCCACCGAGCACGGGAAGTGCGGCAGTATCCTGAAGCCGTGCTTCCTCGTTGGCTCCGTGAGCTTCATGTCGGCGTGTAGTGCAATTTACTCAAAATGACACAAACCCCTTTAATGTGCACTGACACCCCGAACCTTACATAGCACAACATTTATAATACACATTAACAGCAAAATATCGACCGGACTATCAGGCGCTCACAATCACGCATCACAAGCTCAGAGAGTGAGAGCACGAATAACTATGTGACAAATGTGATAGTTAAACCATTATAGATCTTTCCGTCCACAAAACGTCGATGCAAGTGAGTATGGATCCAAACGATGTAAATGTTTTGATGTTTTGTAAAGGCAAAGTTTTGTTTTACAGGAAGTCCTTTAAGTGCAGGGCGGGGAATTGGAAGCAAACAAAAGTACGGACACTTTGATCTGGAAGGAAAGGTGAAGAAACGGAGAAACGAGTCAGTGGTTCATTCATTTAACATTTAAATTGAATGTTGTCAAAGGCATAACGTTTGAGATCAGGGTGTCACCTGCTTTAGCATGTAAGGAGTTTCCGTCCAAACAGTTTAATCACTTTTTGATCCCCCCATGTTTTTGAAAGTCGTAGTTTCGTTTTCCAGGAAACCACTGAGAGGGAGGGAGGGAGAGAGACAGAGAAGGAGGGAGAGAGAGACACACGCACACACACACACACAGACAGACAAACAAAAGTACGGACATACTTTGATCTGGAAGGAAAGGGGAAGAAACAGACACAAGTCAGTGGTTCAAAGTGTGGTTTTTCATGTGTTTCCAGCTACTTCTTCAACTACAACATGATGGGTTTGACCTCAACTGAAGGTGAGTGTCTTTCCTTGTGTGTAGGAACAGATATGTCTGTGCTCGTACTCCTTATGTAAACTGACCAACAAGCTCCCATAAGTTCAAATGAAGTGTCTCTGTGTCTTTCTGTCCACAGATTGCAGCTCTCCAGTTGTCGGTGACCTGAGGATTGTCCTGCTGGGGAACACAGGATCAGGAAAGAGTGCAACAGGAAACACCATCCTGGGACGAAGAGCTTTCCTCTCAGATATTTCTCCTTCTTCTGTGACACAGACATGTGAAAGGGAAAGCGCCCACCGTGATGAAAGAACTGTGACTGTGGTGGACACCCCGGGAGTCAATGACACGGCGATTGAAGAAGGCAAGTTGAGAAAGGAAATAGAGGAATGCATGTTGCTGTCTTACCCAGGACCTCATGTATTCCTGCTAGTGATCAGACTGGATTTACGCTTTACTGAAGAGGAGAAGGATATCATCAAGTGGATCCACGACAACTTTGGTGAGGAAGTCTTCAATCACACTCTGGTGGTCTTCACGAGGGGAGACATCATCAAGGGGAACATTGAGGATCATTTCGACAAAAGTTCTGAACTCAAGGACTTAAACAGTGGCTATAAAGAAAGGTATGCTGTGTTTGACAACACATCTATGAAAAATCCCACTCAAGTGGCTGATCTGTTCAAAAAGATAGACAAGGTAGTGCACGTCAATGGTCTCCTTTATACCAGAAGCATGTATGAAGAGGCCCAGAGGAAGAGGAACTCAAGGGAACGTTGGAGCAGATGGGCAGGCTACGTGAACACTACCAGCAACTACCTGATTGTGGCAGCAGTAGTCGCTGCTGCAGCAAATGTTCCTGTAGTAGGCGTCTGTGCAGCAGCTTTGTCCATGAGACCAGTTCTAATGGTCACTGGTGCCGGTGTTTCTAAAGCCATCGAGTTGTGGATGAAACCTAAAACAAAAGACAGCTGAGAAACGTTTTTTATATATATATTTTTTGCAAAACAAAATTTCTTTGCTATTGTACATTCATACGTTCTAAGCTTCCCAGCGTTTTCAAATTCATTAACCTTTTAAGATCTTTTAAATGCAGATGCTTTACTAAACAAATATGATTCCATTTATCTTAGTTGGTTGTTTGGTATTAAGAACACCTTCCATCCTGATGTGTTACTTTTTACGTTCAAAAAGGTGACCTTTTGTCCATTCTCAGTGTGTATACATGGTTACATCCCTTATGGATGTATGGCAAAATAAGTTGTTCAGTAACTTAGCTGATGTCATTTGACTCCCGATTTTGTTTGTGACTGAGATTGTTGACTAAATGGTTGTCTAAGCTCTGTACTTCATTCTAATACTGTATTGTACAATTACATTAAAGCTAAATCTTTGAACTTTGAGATGCATTTGCTAAAAAGCTTGTCAAATCCAGAACCACTGCAGTCATGAAATACATAAATTGTTTTGTGTGAATGTTTTACCTGTAACATGCATTATTTATTTAAAACATCGAAGTAACTGTCATGAGGTGATAGCCAGAACGAGGGTTGAACTCAAAAGCAGGATTCCGAGGATAAAAAAGATTTTATTTTTGGCAGCAGAGGGACTTAGTTCGGCTCAAGCTCTCGCGATGATTTCCAGAAACAATTAACGTTAAAGGTTTAGTCTTGTGAGTGATGGTAGCCAAAGACACCCCATCCAGGGCAGAAACGGTGATCGGAGTGGGTAACTGAACGAGTGGCCGGGCCAGTAGAGTGGCTAAACCATTATCTAGCTGATTTTTCTCAGAACCAGAATCAATCAAAGCATGGAAAGCGTGGGAGGTTCTTTCAAACTCTAGGGTGACCGGAAGGGTGAGACGAGGAAGGTCAGTTCCCACCAGTATCCCCGCGTCTACTGGTGGGCATAATCGTTAGGTCGAACTGAACAGGAAGAAATGAAATGACGAGGGGAACCACAGTAAAGGCATTCTTTATTACGCATGCGTCTCGATCTTTCCTCGAGCGTTCAGCGGGTTCGACCTAATTGCATGGGCTCTGTAACTTCGGTGTTTGTGGTAGAACGATAGTCGCCCGGACAAGAGACCTGCGGAAGCGGTGGAAGATAGGCCTCACGAGGGCCGTGCTCACGCAGGGGCTTAGGGAAATTTGAGTTAGGCGGAGGATAACCGTGCAATGGCCTATGGGAGTTTGAGTCCCTCTCCTTCCTACGTTCTCGGATGCGGTTGTCGACCCTGACTGCTAATGAAGCTAATTCTTCGAATGAGGCTGGTTCGTCACGGAACGCTAGTTGGTCCTTAATTTGATCATTGAGCGAATTCAACAGGATACCTCTTAGGGCATCAGAACCCCAACCTGTCTCAGCAGCGAGAATACGAAACTCGATGAGAAAGTCTGCGACTGATTGAGTTCCCTGCCGCAAGTTTAATAAGCGCTTTGATGCGTTATTATGGCCAAGTGGATGATTAAAAGTGGTATGAAATTCAACAAAGTCAGCAAAAGGATAAGACTCAAGGGTGTTGGTCCTGGAGAAGGCCAAGGCCCAAGCTAAGGCTTTGTCCTTCAGAAGGCCAATCACAAAATAAGTTTTTGCTGAATCCGCGGGGAAGGAGCGAGGAGACTGAGTCATGGCAAGAGTACAGTGAAGAAGAAAAACCCTGACACCCCCCAACGTCCCCAGTGTAATATTTGTAGGTGAAGGAAGGGCACACGGAGACAGGGAGAAGATACGTCTGCTTGCCGTTTACTTATAACTCGGACCAAATCCGTAGTGTGCTTCGAGAATATTCTCCATTCCATGAAGGATTTGGTCCATTGTGTGTTGGAACACTGCCGGAACTGTGGAGACACCGTAGGCCAGACGGTGGTATCTGAAGAGGCCCTTGTGTGTGTGTATCGTCAGATACTGCTCTGATTCTGGATCAAGCTGCAATTGTTGATAAGCGAAGGACAGGTCAAGTTTACTGAAAACTATTCCGCCAGCCAAAGTAGCAAATAAGTCCTCAGCGTTTGGTAGAGGATATTCCTCTACCAAACGCTGGAGTGTGCATCTATTCACAGTCACTTTGTAGTCACCGCACAATCTCACAGTCTTGTCTTTCTTTGGTACTACGACGATAGGTGCAGCCCAATCACTCCTTTCCACTTGTGTAATGATTCCGTTCTTCTGTAAGCGCTCAAGTTCTTTTTCCACTGCTTCCCTCAACGCATAAGGTACTGGTCGTGACTTGTGGAAGATGGGTTTGGCATTGCTCTGCACTCTAATCTTTGCTCTGAAGTCTTTAATCTTCCCATATCCATCCTTGAACAAGTCTTTGTGCTTTTCAAGCATGTCTTGCAGTGTGAGTGGTTCAGTTCTCTGAAGGCTGAAGATCTTGCCCCAGTTCAGCTTTATCTTCTGCAGCCAATTTCTTCCCAGCAATGGCGGTTTACTGCCTTTAACCACCACAAGTGGCAACTTCCACTCTCGTTCCCCATACTTCACCGGCACCAGGACCTTCCCCAGCCCAGGTATGATATCTCCTGTGTATGAAGACGGGTGAATGGCAGCTGGTTTTAGTGGGCAATTCTTCAGTTGCTCCTGATAAAGGGACTCTGGAATCAAAGATACTGAAGCACCCGTATCAACTTGCATTTTCACTGGTTTCCCAGATAACTCCATGCTGACAAAAATGCCGTCTTTCTTTCCTTGTGCAGTGTATACTGTAAACAATTCCAGCTCATCGTCATCACCATCTTCTGAGTCATCCGTTTCCCTGGTTGCTATGACCATTTGCGCTTTGTCCCTCTGTCTTATTTTCTTGCAGACTCTTTTCAAATGTCCAACCTTCCCGCATCCATGGCATGTTTCAGTGCGGTAGTGGTATTCAGTTGGTTGATAGTTATCTTTGCCACATCGATAGCACTGCCATTTCTCTGAAACCCGTTGTTTTCCTCTAGAACCATCCTGCCAGTCATAACGCGAACTTTGACCTTTCATGTGATGTCGTCTCTCACTTGAAGTATTGAAGACTTTGTTAACTGCACCTTTTGGTTTCTCAGCATGTTCTCTCAATTCTTCTGTGTCCTTGTAGGCCAATTCTAGAGCAAGTGTAATTTCACAGGCCTTTTGGAAAGTGAGTTCTTTTTCAGAGAGTAGCCTTTTGTGATACTGCTCCCCTAAGAGGCCACATACAAACTTATCCCTGAGTGCATCATTGAGAAATTGTCCAAAGTCACAAATGCTCACTAGTTTCTTCAGTGCAAGGATATATTCAGAGACTGATTCATCTTGCTTTTGCTGTCGTTTGTAGAATCTGAAGCGTTCCGCTATCAAGATAGGCTTCGGCTTGAAATGCAGTGACATGGCTTTCGTGAGGCTATCGTAAGTCTCCTCACTGACTTTTTTTGGTCAACCAAATTTTTTAGTAATCCATATTCAGTCGGACCCAAAACACTCACGAATACATCAGCATTCTTCCCTGCATCAATGTCATTTGCAGACAGCCATCTTTCAAACCTTTCCAAATATGAATCAAAATCTTCTATCTTATTGTCAAATTCCGGAACCTTTATAATATATGCCATTTCTGCAGTTGTAGTCTTATTTGAATGTCTCTGCAACTTTATAATTCCCCCTCTTTCAAGAAATCCTTCAGTTGTCTTCCCTTTCAGTTAATCTCCGTTTTTCTTGTCAATTTAAACCACTTCCTTTTTGTCTTGAACCCCATTTTCCCTTTTTGTTACAGTCCCTCACCACAGGAGGGCGCTCTTGCACTTTCAAATGTTGTGCCTTGCTTAGCAATTACGGTTTCTTCCAGACCAGAAAACATGGGAAATCTTGCATTTAGGAGAAGTTATACTCATCAAACCCCTTTGGTTTTCATCACTGATGTGGATTCACTTTGTTACCTCGTCGCCACTGTAATATTTGTAGGTGAAGGAAGGGCACACGGAGACAGGGAGAAGATACGTCTGCTTGCCGTTTACTTATAACTCGAATGCCGGTAAACAGATAGTGAAGTGGCTCATACAGATACCGTAATTACCTTAATACTATGGCCAACATTACCGTAGTATATGTGAACTACTACAACCAGCATAGGAGTCAGGAGTAGGGAAGGTGATGTTCCGGAACTGAGGCTCGGCCAGAGGTGTGGGGGGCACCGGGACTTGAGGTGGCATAGGTGGGTTTCCGTCAGCAGGAGACACTGTGGAGAGAGTAGACAGATGATCATTCATTTTCACAAACATCTCGAGAACTTGGTCCAAACGTTGGTTACAGTGTCCATGTTGGTCATTTAGTGATCGGAGAGCGTTCTCATGCTCTCCCAAGAGCAGTCCCTGGTGGGATAAGGCTGAATGAAAAGCCAAAGCCAAGTCAGATCATGACAGTAACGGCTCCAGCTGATGCACAGCGTTTAATGTAAAGGTCATCCATATAAAGTATTAAAGTAAAATCATCACCAATGGGTAATATTACATGTCAATGTCATAAAGTTAAAATCAATGCTAGATTTAGACTTTTATACAAATGTAAATACTGTAATGAATCAATATCCAATTTGAGTCTCAGCAGTGGGTTGCTTTCCTTAGGTTACAGTCTGGATTTGATGGATGGAAATCCCAAGTGTTTTTACATATATAATGAATGAATATAAAAAAATACTAGAAAAAAAAATAAAAGAAAACTAGTAAAATCAATGGACATTTTGTTTCAGTTACTTAAGGCATTCTATGAATTCCTTTTTCCGTATTGCCATGATCCATGAAATGAAATGAAAACAAAGCCAGCTTATCAATGGATTAGCCATTTTAAGTAAAGGTCATAGTAAAATCAGATAATATGTCAACTTAATGATATGTTTTATTGATGGGTTTGTGAATAAATGTTATTCAGCTCGATTCGGACATTTAAAAGCTAAAGTTCCCTGTCTTAGATCAATCGGTGGGTGACTCACACTGGCCTACAGCTCGTCATGTCAAGGCCTGTGTGTCATTGTGCTGCAGATGTTGTGTGCTAGCTGCTGGCAGGGATGTGCTGGCAGTGCACTGATGTTAACAATACCTCTTCGGTGACGTGTGATCAGCCAGAGGACGTTTGCCATTGTCTCTCGTTTCCTTTAGGGAAGTGAGCTAGTAATGTTACTAATAATAAAGCAATGCAAGCAGCCTGTCACAGTTTAAATCAAGGGCAGTAGGAAATCCGCATGAATATTCTATTTGAGCAATTATCACAAGTTATGAAAGCATTATGAGATCAAAAGCACACGATCTCAATACATTGTAACTGTAACTGTTTATTTGAAATCATGATTCATGTGTAAGCTCCAAACAATGAATGAGTGAAAAGAAAACAAAAACAAAATGCATTTCATACCGTTTGTTTACTGCCAGCATCAAAATCAAGTACTTGTTGTTGCAACTTTGTGTTAAATCCTGACAATTCTGGAAGGGGAAATCAGAAAAGGCCATAACAAGACAGTAATTAGCAATGTGTGCAATACTTCCACAGTACATCCAGGGTCACATACTGCAGATGTCCTTATCACTCGCCTAGCACATTGTCATACTGGGACATTTGGTTTTGCATCTTATGCCCTTCCATAAGCAAAAGGCTGCTAAACCACAAAGCACCCCCAAGACAAGCACAGGGGCTCCTAAAGCCAAAGCCACCGTGGTGTCGGCTCCCACGGCTACAATCACCCCGGCGACCAGCAACAAAACCGCAGCGGCCGAGGCCACGCACAGGTTCTTCCTTTTGAGCTTTTTCTCCTTTTCTCTCTCTTTTTCTTTCTTCTCCCTCTCTTCATCCCACATTTTCTTCTCCTCTTCTTTCTTCTCTTCCTCCTCTTGTTTCCTGCGCTCCTCCTCTTCTTTCAGCTTCCTCTGGGCCTTTTCGTACATCTCATTGGTGTAATGCTTCCCACCGTTGTCCTGTATCATTTCCTTGATCATGGTGATCAGCTCTGCGACCTGCACCCGGTCCTCTGCGTCGTTGTTGTTGAAGGCGTGGTACCTGCGTCCGAATGTGATGGAGAGTCTCCGCAGCTCCTTGCACTCCTTCAGAGCATTGTCAGCTTTGGCCTGATCTTTGCAGGTGAACAGCATGATAGTGTACATGGAGGCATCGTCTCCGAAGTTGTCCTGGATCCACTTCACAGCGTTTCTTTCCTCCTCGGTGAACCGCACCCCGAGCCTGATCACCAGCAGGAAGGCGTGAGGGCCGGGAACCGACATCGTGACGCACTCCTCTATTCGGGTTTTCAACTCTTCCTCTGTGATGGCCGTATCAAAGAGACCCGGAGTGTCGATCACCTGGACCATGGTGCCGTCCACGTCCCCGCTCTGTGTCTCACAGTGTGTGGTCACAGACACGGAGCTCGGATCCTCTTTGAATGCGGCCCTTCCGAGGATGGTGTTTCCTGACGCACTCTTGCCGGATCCAGTCTTTCCCACGAGGACTATCCTCAACCCTCCAGAGAGATCCAGACCTGAAACAGCAGAAGCACAATGGATGCTGAGCGCGAGACTGAAGTGAATCTCTTCGTTCGTTCACTTTTGCACCTCAGTTAGAAGTTCACACGCAGCAGGAAGCACAACTGATCAACAGATGGTGGCAGTGATGTGCAAGAAATAAAGCCTCAGTGGCAAAAGAGAGCGAAAAAATGAAAACGTGGTTTTAAAGCACGGATGTTGTCGGAAACAAGGGTTTAATTGTTACTGTGTTGTATTATTGTAGTGGAAGAAACCCTTTCATTGACAACCATTGAAAAGATGCAGAAAGTTAATAAGTGACTAATAGGAAATTAAGTCCACAGCAATATATATAACAAACTGTAAGGTCATTTTTAATAAAGGTTTGTGCAATTCTTCTGATGAGCCGTCGTAACAGGAAAAGCTTCAAAGAGCTAGTGACACGTAAAGAAGAATAAACAACCGGCGACCCCAAACGTGTCGCTGATATAAAAGCATTATTAGTCCTTGTGTATACGTGATTCAAATTATTAGTGGTTGTTCAGTGTAAAGTGTTTTTTTTTAGATGGTGGTGTACAGATTTAGAGAGACAATGAATGAGCATACCGTCAAAGCTATTCAGACCGCACCCATCCGACCGAGGAAGAGTTTTCTGTTTCTTTTCTCGCAGTGGTATTGCTGTAATATGAAATGTTACCACAGAGACACAAAACCCTGCATTAGTCATCATCAAGGTCTGCCTTTTTACGATTTCCTTCTCATTGACATCAGTGTAACTGTCACAGTAAGTCTTACATCTCACACAATCCAAAATGACTCTGCTGGTTTAAAAAGAGAACATAAATCAGATAGATGTCTTACCTTCAGCCATTACTTCAGATATATATTTTCCAGTTCCCTCGTGGCCGAAATGCGTTGCTCCGGGCCTGAGTTGTATACTTAGACAAGCTCTGCGGCTTCTCTTCAGACATTAGCATTGTGGGAAACTTCTGGATGCCTGGCCGTTGCTCAGGGGGCTTCCTATTTCCTTCTATTGTCTGTAGTTTACATCTGAAAATGTGCATTCCTAAAGAGGCTGCTACGTGTTTGAGAGTCCAACCCAACACAAAAACGGCATTTAAGCTCTTTAATTGATAAAACAGTGTGTTCTGATAACCCCATTATGGTGGGCAACAAGAAAGCTATCACATCTCAAGCTAATTATCTTAGATATAGCTGTACAGCTCAAGCAAACATATAAAAGACAAATGGATAACTCTCTTCAAAGCGTTCTGTCTATATTCTATTACTAAAACAGACGTGTATTTATTCATCTAGTATCTAGATTGTGCTAATATGGCCAGTATTTGGCATCCTGAGTGAATGGGCAGAAATAGAAAATTCAGATGATGAAAATTCAGAAAGCCAGAAGATTAAACACATTGTTGTTGTAAAACATATTTAGCTCACACAATCCCACACAAAGCATGCATTTCAACGTGTAGTCCACAGGATTCTCAGGAAACACGTTCAAAGTACTCCCTCTTTGGTCTTTCTCCCTCTCGTTTCCTAATGGAACACCTCCTGGGCGCATGGCGTCATCCATCGGACTTCACCACGCTCTCAATCGCGTGTCCAAAGTTTCTTGGATTCTGCTTTATCTCTTGTCATTGATGAGGAAACCTTCCCCCACACTGGTTAGTCAGCCTGTGTAGATGTCCTCTGCTTAGTCCTCAACAGATTTTAACCTGTAGCAAGTCGGAGCGGTACGATCCTGGATCCACTTCACAGCAGCCTTCTCCTAATCACTGAATCTTGACATCGGCCTAATCACTTACAGAAAAGTGTTGGAGCCAGGCACTGACTGGTTAATGCACTCTTCACTATTCACTTTTAAGTATTCTTGAGCTTTGGGTCGGACACTGTTCTTGTAGTCATAGACATAGGTGGCATTTTCCGAAACTGCTGGCAGGTGTGTGTGTGTGCGTGTTTGTGTGTGCTTGCTGACTTACGTGACAAGCCACCTGCCTCCGTTCATGTTTATCTCGGCGCCATGATCTCGGCCCGGCTGCTGTGAACTAGTGACTGATTGGACTGTTGACAAACACTCGGCGAACACACATTTACACATTGTGTTTGAAGGTCACAGACAATCCTAAAGCGTCAGTGATCTGCATCAGTAGTGGAGGATCTGATGCCATACGGGTTGTGTGCATCCGGAGACCCAAATTCACATAAATGTTTTCTTTCAAAGATAACAGCTTCACGGAAAACTCCTCAAAACACTGTGCTGAGATGGTGAACGGCCTCCACTGAATAACAATATTTCCTGCGAAGGACGAGGCCGAGCAAAGCAAAAGCGCGACGTTTCAGTAGAAGGACGCCTGCTTGTGTGAGTCAGAGAAACAGACAGACAGAAGAGAAGAACAGAATGTGAATCCTCCCACGTGCAGCAAGGGGCTGGACTGTTTGCCTCTGTGTGTGTGTGTGTGTGTGTGTGTGTGTGTGTGTGTGTGTGTGTGTGTGTGTGTGTGTGTGTGTGTGGCAGGGGTGATTGTGTGTGCAGGGATTGCTATAACAAATGAAAAGGCCTCAAGTGTCACTGCACGTGCTATAGAGTTTTTGGGGCCACACAGGAAGGGAAGTGAACTTTCAAAAGTAGGAAAGCAAACTGCGCAGACAGAGAACATAGGATAGATTGAGTAAACTATTATTTATGTTTCAATAAACAATAACATGAACTCCTTTTAACAACTTAAACATACAAGCAGGGAATGACAACAAATATGTATTTGCACAAGATGCTACATCATCCTACTCTTTAAGTTGTGTCATCTCACATTTCACAGACATTTTACGGTCAATACGTTTTTTATCTTCATTCTAAAAGTATTTATCCTTGCATGTTGAAAGTGCCAGTGAAAGCAGGACAGCTTTAGCAGATATATAGTATGTTAAAAACATTCTGATTATATATTTTCTTATATTACAGGAATATGGCAGTATGGCAGTAAAGTAAGTGTAATTAGCATGTGCTGTAATTGTCACGTTTAATGCTTATTTTAATGTAATTAAAGAAGATGTTTAAGAGTTGGTATAGTTCGATCCCTATTTTTAGGAGGTAGCATATGGGGCTACTAGTTATGTAATTTGAATAGCTTTTTCACAAATGCCGTGGATCATCTGTAATATAAAGTGTCAAGCGTTGCTTGTTAACTACTGCTAGGTGTCTTTGTTATTAACACAAGCTGTTAAAATGAATAGTGGCCACAAACATTACAAAAACAAATTTTATTCAATCATTTTCCGTCCCATGTTGTCATGTCTTGGTGCTACAGAGGTTTGCTTTGTAAGATGAGATGAGTCAGAGCAGACCAACACTTCTCCCTCATGACTGTTCCCAACACACTGCAGGACTCTTCAACTTCACAAAATCAAGTGAGCGAACGCCCACTGAGTGGCGGGCCGGAGGTCACTTGTGTTGGAAGGTTTAACTTTACAACTGAAAACCTAAGCTGATTGCTCAGGCTGTGTGGGATTGTGGGCTTTATCATTCTGACTGCAGGTTTACACCAAACACATTCACACACACACGTTCACACACATGGAGATGAAAAGAAGAGTGGACGTGAGAAGGAGTTGCTGTCGACTATATATTATTTTAGGTTATACAATAGTCATGGCTACAATAATAAAGTTCCTGATTAAACATCCTCCAGTGTTACAGTGAAAAAGGTACAGCACACACACAAGCATTCACTCATGCATGCACGCACACAAACAGCTTTGCACGCACGCAATGGATAGATGTATAAAAATTGATAAAGAAACATCCATACATATATTTATGTATACATACATATACGCACTGATTATTTGGTAAATAACAAAGCATTTATATTTGAACTATTTTCATTTGAAATTGAATTGAATTAGACAATGATGCATTATATTATGTACATATCCTTGTTTTGTCTCTCACTGAATCTGACATTTTTCCAACCCTTTGCCCGCATTTCTTTTACTATGTGAGCCAATAACATGTCGGAGGTCCGTGCTAAAACTTGGCCGACGGACCAGTGGGTACAAGGCACCGCAGGCTTCATCGCGTCCCGCGGTCTGACCGCCCTTCGCAGGCACACGGCCTGACCACATGGCCTGGTAGGATCGGATGGAGAGTTTGCGATGCAGAGACGGGCCAGTTTCAGTCGGAAGTCCACCTAGCTTTGCCAAAGTTTCGAAGACCTTCTCTAAATTCGTGCTTTCCTTTGCAGATGTTTCAAAATAAGCGCAGTCATCTCCGAGGACCTGTAGCACCTCTGCCTTAGATATTCCTCCCTCAGACTTGAGAATATCCACCTTATTGGCGCAGACCACCAGGGCAACCTGTGGCTGTGCGTAACGATCCGGCACCGCGGATTTGGTGAGCTTGGATTTGGCGGCAATAATCTCCATTCGCAGGGCGCAAACCTCTTCGAAAGAGCTTCGTTCATCTACACTGAATACCAAGAGAAAGATGTCACCTGCGAAGAAGAAGGGAAATAAAAAAGTATCCTCTATTAGTTGACATGTATATCCTTCGAGAGATATAAAGCATTGTTGCAGATCAATCAATTATCGTTTTTATATTAAAAAGAAAAAACAAAGAAGCAACAAACTGACACGCATTTTTAAGTTTCTGCAGCGCAGTCGGAGCCGACACTCACCGGTGAGGATAGACAGCCGCCTCTTGGCGGGGAAATCCCTTTCCGCGGATGCGTCCAGGACATCAATTTGGTACGTCTCTCCACGGATATGAAACATTTTCCTGAGGAAATCCTCGGAGGTGGGACTGTACTCCTCCACAAATCCGTCCCTAAGGTATCTTCTCAGGATAGAGGTCTTGCCGACCCGGGGCGCACCGAGAACCACGATGCGCTTGCAGTTCTGAGGCTTGGTCGGTGCTCGCTCTTGGCCACTTTGGCGCTCCGCTCCCCCCCGGAGAACCAGAGCTGCCAGATGATCAAGGGGGGATCTCTTGCAGGGGTGGCAGCTGTTGGCTGTGGACATTTGCTTTACGGCTACATCTGAGCGCGTCTTCTTTTCCCTTTTCCACTGCGACGAGGCCACTTTAAGTATCCCCAAACCCATTTTAATTCCCGACGAAGTCAGATGTTGCGACGCGTTCTGATAAGCCCGTAAGAGACTGGTGGACCCGGCGCACTGCCCGTCCACATTACCACGAGGACCATCAGTGGCGGAACAGCGTAGCTGGCGCGCAACAGGGATGGAGGTGGAGATTTTGCCTCTCTCCATCGTTTCAGTACGACTTTGGCCCTTTGCCTCCACTTGACGTGACTTTTCATAGGCCCACCAAGCTTGTCTCCAGCGCCGAGGCTGATGCCAGTTGTCTTTATATAGTCCATCCTCCACCGCGTGACTCGTTTGCGTCAGGCTGATTGACAGAGGGGGGTCGATGCCCTGCATGAGGAGAACGTCGTGTGTTTGCAAAACACGATGCGGAATAGACTGCATATGGAAGGCTTTAAATGATTTAACCGTCGCTTGTTTCTGAAACCCCCGTATAATTGTATAGTACGTCAATCTAATCTAATCAATTTCCTAAATAATTGTCATTATTAAGTTAAACCTATGTTTGCTATAGTGGGCTGCTGATCAGTCGAAAGTATAAAGTACAAGTTGTTTTTTGCATTACTAGAAGGAAAAAGGAAATCCAAATATGTCTGATTTCGTTCGGAAGGACCGTAACCCCAAATGGCCTTGCTTCTGTTTTGCCTTCTATTTTGTTCCATACATATATAAGTATATATTTTTATTTATGTTTTAAAATTTTAACGGTAAATTATTTTGTTTTTGATATTGCTAATGAAAGAAAGAAATAACGGCTCCTTCCTTGTCCTGCGGCTTTGGGGCATCCGTTGCCATGGTGACCGTTAGAGAACACACTCGGTTCAAGGAGCGCAGCGCTAGCTGGGTTAGCATCGCTAGCTAACTAACGCCACACTAGAGGCCAGTGGCTGTTGTCTTCACCTCATTTAGAACGAGTGAGCCGCGGCGAGAGACCGGGGAAGGAGGTCAGACGGTACGCAGGTCAGCTAACGGTTAGTTAAACACAACTTTCCCTGTCTTCTCCACTTCTGTCCGTACGTGTCCTCCCGTCTGAAGATTGACATCATTGCTAAGCTACACTATTTAGAGTAACGTTCGGTCTCAAATACGAATGAACTATTCTTAACCTGCAAAATAACTGTAATGTTATCAAACAAATGTAACACAATAGTAGAGTAAAAAGTACTATATCCCTCTGAAATGTAGTGGAAAAGAATGTAAAGTGCTCAAGTATACAGTACTTGAGTAAGTGTACTTAGTTGCATTCTATCACTTTTTTAGTTATAATGAAACGCAGTAACTAAAAAATGGATTTGGATTTTGAGGCCTTTAATGTCAGGAAGAAATACGATCACGTGTTTTTGATCAATTCATTTTCAAAGAAATATCTGCAGCAATTTCTTCCCTCAAGGGCAAATATAACACTTATCTGAATAGCCACAGTCTGTGACAGAAAACATGAAGGAAGCGAGGCACAATACTCACTGAAGAAAAACGATTTCTCAATATTAATGTAGCCATGGAAACTATAAACGGCCTCTGGTAGATATAAAGAAATTAACGAAATTGCACATCCGGGACATTATTCCAGATTAATCTCTTTGTCTGTATCTGTGTGTTTGTGTGTGTGTGTTTGTCAGTGCTGATGTGCTTTGCACACAATGAAGTAGAACCTTTTCTCACTTCAAAAACATCATGAATCCATGTAACCTGTGTGCAAGTGATGTTACACTTGGTTTGATAAAACATAGAATCAATCAAGCACACACAACAGCAGTTGCCACCGTATAATCTAAATCTCTCCCTTAGAGAAAAAGATGCAAAAAACATCAGAGGAGGATATCCAAACTCCTGCTATTCACCCACAGGACCTCAATAAAGTAAGTCCACTTCCTCCATGCCCCCAATTTACAATTATTTGGGGGGGAAAATCTTCTCTAAAGTACAACTTGTGTGGTTTTTACCAAGGGTTTCATATTTAAAGCAGTTGTATATGTAACTTACAATGTGATGATGCAGATTCATATACCAAAGCCACCCAAGGGTCGTCAAAAAGCAGCGCTCAGGGCTTGTGTGCGTAAAATGCAGCCAGCTGATGGAGGCCATGTGCTGCGAGGGCCGGTGGCTCATCCAGTGAATCCTGCCCCTAACTCTCAACTTCTGGACTACACAGGTTGGTCAAATTCCTTTGTTCTCATGGACAGTTACACGCTGATAGCCAATTAAAACGTTCCCTCTAGATAAAAAGACATGTTATCCTCGCCATACTATGCATCCACATGACTAAGATTTTCTCTGTCCTATTTTTCACTTTTCAGTTAGTTATCTAGAAGCCAAAGAAAAGACGGAGGTAAAGTCAGAACACATAACATGACCAAATGAAAGTTCTTGACAAACAGCATTTCAAATCTGTCAATAAAATAAACTGACGAATCTAATAAGTGCTTTCAAACAGTCACCTCTGGTTCCTTCTCCGCCATCCAGTTGGTGAAGCACATCCCAAAGTCCAGGACACACTATCAATCCGAGGCCCCGGGGAGTCATCCTTCTGAGGCTGTGGAGAGTGGGCACGGGATCCCTTCAGGCCCCAGAAACATTCAGTGTAATGCGCTGCAGAATTGGCAGACACATATGACGCAGCGTAGACGTCAGCAGCACTTCTTATCTGGTGAGCCGATAAAAGAATACAGCAACCTGCTTCAGAGGGTCTGAATATTTGCAGGATCATTACAGCCTTAAATGTGTTTTACTATGACTAAGTTGTGCAACTGTGGTTTTAATTCTATTGTTTTTACTGTGAGGTTACTGTGAAGTTATGGTGTGTTCATGTCTGGAGCACCAGATAATATTAATTTCCCTGTGTGGGAAATAAAAATGCGCTCTTTCATCATGACTATTTAATTTTGAGAGTATGCATTAACATTCTATCTCTGTCTATCCATCTCTTTCTTCATCACCTCTTTCCAGACTTGCTCGACAGGCCTGTTGAAAACTTAATGATGAACCAAGCTAATCAATTCAGAGAAACCCAGGAGAAGAGGGAGGTTCTAGACCAGGTCATGCCACCCATCCACTCTGGATATGTATGACAAATATTGGCTTTTTGTTCTCCTCTGTGTCTTGACTCATCTGTCAGAATAAATATCTAATATTTGTCATATTTCTACAAACCAATTACATAACTTTCCATGCTGCCTCTGCATTCATGCATGGGCTCACTGCTACGTCCATGTCTTAGGGTTACCGTGTGGGCAGTGAATTTTGGCGCCTGCCCACGTGTTATGGAGATGATACGAGTGGCATCTCAGCCACTCTGACTCAGACAGAGACGGGCAGGCGGAAGCCCGTCACACACGTTGGACAACCGAGAAGCATACGCCAGGAATCAGGTAAACAATGAAAGCTACGCGGTGTCCCAATTTCCCCCCTCTGCTCAAAAACGTTTCTTCTGATTGGGCATTAACCTAAAACCTGGTGGTGTCGCTAATTTGAGAACGCAACGCATTCTCACCTTGGGAAACGTTCCATCCGCTAGGAATTTGTGCTGAGACTCTGTGTCCAGCCTCTCGGACTTGGGACCAGAGTGGATCCCCGAGGCAGCAGTGTCAGGAGCTCAGAGAGGTTCTAGGGGACATGGACATCAAAAAGCCGGTAATGCAGCATACAGATTATAACAATGAATGAAAATGAACATAACTGGTCTTATTGTAGTTTTGGAATAGCCGCTTGCTCCCTTTCATATGCTGAATTTGTAACATTTTCTAATAAGTTTCTAATGAGTTCAAAGGTTTTCAACTAGAGATACGATATACGATAGAAACAATATAGAGACCAAAAGCAGTTCATGCGTTTGCCGATCAGTAAGTGTTTTAAATATAAATAACTAAAATATAACTAAATAGATATCTTACAAATGACCATACCTCAAATTTTCAGCTAAAACCACAACAGATAATGTATGTTTGAGAAGATTAATCAGATTTTTATTTTTATTTAATGTAAAATGTCCCAGTCACACAAATACGAATCTGGACTTTACCAGGCAAACACTTGACCCCATAAAGAATTTGATCAAGTTGAATTGCTCTCCTTAAAACATAAGTAAATGCAGAAACACATACAAGCCAGAGATGTCTGTTACTTGTGTCTTAATCTGGTGATTGTCTGACCCGGCGCCATCTGATGCACAACGTACGATGCCTCCAGCGAACCATCTGGAGCAATAATCTAGCCGTGGCACCACAATCCAAATCCCATACTATCCACAGTACACTTTTTTCTATTCTCGCTAACAATGTACAATAAGCGCAGGTCTAGATCTCTTGTTTGAACACAAACACTTATTGTCCATCCACACTGCCCTCTGAAGCCGCTCACACCCACAGGACACTCTGTCTCTGCAGCTGCTTGCTGCAGTGTGCGTCTTCACAAACAGCATGTGATTATCCAGCCTCGGGCGCACTGTTCTTGGCTTTCTGTAAGTGGGCAAGGCAGACAAGCACATGCACACGCACGTGAAAAAAAAAAATACGTATGCATGCAGGCACAGATTAATGAGGCACTGGAGCCCTTCCACAGGCACTTTGTGTCCACATTATTTACATTTATGAAATGTGGAGCGTGTCCAGTCATACAGTAGCACTGGTGAGATCCATGGGGTGACAGACCATCCAGGCCTTGCTGCACTCTATGCAGTACACACACTCTCACACACACACACACTCACACACACCCACAGATCTGTGCTCGTGACATGTTTGGAGAGTGCTCTGTCGAGCTGGTGGCTAATGGGATGTCGAGGGGTTTTGGGGCCTGAAGTACCTCCTCACAAACTCACAGACAGTGACGGACTGTCCTGTTGCCCACGACTTTGTGCCACACTTGTTATGGCAGGAAGGTGGTTGGAAAAGGGTGAGCTTGCTGAGCTAAAAAAGAAGAGAGAGGGAGGTAAGTTGACCAGGAGGAAGAAAATAGAGCTTGTGTTACTCAAAAGAACGTTCCAGTTGGTTCCCGAGGAGGAAGGGGAGAACAGTATATTGCATTCGCATTGTTTGTGTCACTCTTCCTGTCACATGATGTAAACGCACACATATATTTTCAACACTCGTATGTGTAACATTGTTAGGGCAGGGGACGTAAAGCAATTACAACACAGTTTTAAATATGAGTGTGGCTTAAGGACAGCGCTTTAATTTAGCTTCCAGAACACCTTGTCCTGTCATATTAATGGTTTTAATCAGATACCTCATCTTTTCCTCTATTGCTGTTCTTTCTGGGTGCACGTTGAACACACGTTTCCAAATACGACTTGGTATCACTTTTCAGTAACAGGAAATAGTATGTTTCCTGTTACTGACATACGAAGCTGACCACTTTGTTGACAACTCTGTGTTACTCTGATTGCAGGAAATCAGTGGACTGGAGATCATTGGGTCAAGCAAGCCGTTCACTTCGGTCTCTGAGTGTGGTTCCCCACTTGAGGAGGAGGAGGATGATGAGGAGCCAGAGCATGGAAAAACAAAGAAGAACCCGTAAGCTGTGATTTACGGATTTCAAAGCCACAAAAAAACTCAATGAGTGAATCCACCAGCCAGTAATTAAACGTTGCGTTCATTAAGTAGGGAAATGCCATGTGACCAAGTTGGTTACCAGGTTTGCCCAACAAATATGCAGATCTATTGTTGTATTGTCCTAAATGTTATAATGTTACATGTGCTTCAATACTCATGCTGTGCAATATGTCTTTGTGTCATTGAGAGAAGCTTCCTGATGCTAACCCTGAGATTTTCAAGTTGGACAACAAACGCTGCCGTCCGTTTTTTTAATCTACATTTCCTCCAGCCCCCCACCTGTAATACCTCTGCGCCCCACAGTTTGAGAACCACTGGTCTAACCGGAGTGCTACTGCTGCTGTCTCATTGTCTCCAACAGTGATCTGGCACAATGTGATGGTGTTCAGTCAGATGCTCTGCTCATTCCTGCCTTGAGGTTCTGTGGTCAGCTTGCTAGATGGACCGGAAACTCTATGACTCAAAAGGTATGGAACAACATTTACATAGAAGGTGGGTGTGAATGAATTTTAAACAATGAATTGGTGTGTGTTACAGATTGACCAAAATCCTGCACTCTGTCAGTTGCAAAATAACATTTTTATTTAAGACATTTTGGTACTAGACCTTGGTACAGATCATTTGTGACAATGAGAAGCCTTCTCAAGAGGGAGCCGCTGCAAGTCTGAAACCAGTCACACATTTCATACCTTGCATGCAATATGCACGCATAAATATACAAGACAATGACCAATATCATCAAATAAATAGAAAAACGTTTGCTCATTCTTACAAATCATTTGCCTCCAAAACATCACAAATCCTCTCTAATTCACTCCTTCATCAGGGAAAAGTAGGACTCAGAGCCACATTATTCTTTGAGGCCCCGACTGGAGAACTTGCCTTTTCCCATCTGGAGCTGCACAATGAGGGCAGCACAGCCATCTTCTACAGCTGGGAGCAGCTTCCTGTGGTGCACAGCTTTGCTAAACTGATATCCCAAACAAAAAGCCTGCACTTCTACTTCAACTCCTCCCCTGGTACACACTAGACACCTGCTTTCCAACCCTACTTCCGTTGCCTGACAGTACAGTGACGCGGCCTCCTGCTTTACATTTTTGCTTCTCCTCCCGTCCAGGTGTGATCCGTCCCCGTGACACCCAGCGGGTTGACTTCATATTTAAGTCGGAGGTCGCAGGCATTAAAACTGAACTGTGGCAGCTACACACACACCCTGTGCTGCTGCAAGCAGCCTCCATGCAGGTCACGCTGAAGGGCTTGGCTCAGTACCAGGACAGAACTGCAGACCAGAGGCTTTTCTTACAGGTTGTGTATGGTGGCACTGTGTATCTGAACGGTAGACAGGACAATCCATGGACAGATGGCACTAAGGTTACCATGACCTAAAGGCCATTCTTTTTCTGTCTACTTTTCTGTTGCGTGTGCACGTGCAGACAAAGCTGGACGAGAAAGTGAAGGTAAAAATGTGCCAGTCGATTGTGGATGAGGTGCTTTGGATGGTCAGAACCCCAGAGAGACCATGCACCCCGGCAGAACTCGGTGTCAATGAAGAGCAGGAGTTTTTAAGCCAAAACCCCAAGGTAATTTTACAAATGAAGCTCATACTTCTTAGTGATCGGTGGAGTTTATTACTGTTCTATGTGAGAGGATGAGCAGCCAATGGGCCCCAGCACAGTGTTTCTCATATTGACATCAACCGGATTATAGCTGCCCCACCTAACCTGGATTTTATGTTGGTCCACAGATCTTTAATTGATGTTATAATTTATGGGCGCTAGTTAATAAGTAACTAATAATAGATAATACCTGATTAAATCTTAAACCAGTCATTGTTGTCTCTACAATGTACAAAGGAGGTTGTGTTGCTGTGGCAGTGTAATAGGAGCCTGGCTATAACTGGGCTAATGGGCAGGGAATATAAAGCAAGATAATAGACAAAAGCAAGAGACATGGGAGGGACTCATTTGTTACAATACTGCCAAGAATGACCAAACATGACTCATCTTACTATGAGCTTTACAATTGGGATAAATGGAGGACTTTCAATTAATAGTCACATGTGACATTCCCAAACATTACAATGATTATAATTCTCTTAACTTTTCATGTGGTCATAGTTTATCGCCCCAAAGGGCGGCACACTCATTTTCTTCTCTTCCGGCGAGGAGAGATGAGAAATGAAGACGTGCATCAGAGCTGTTAGAGGAGGACAACTTCCTATGACTCTTATATCCCTGGACGGGAGTCTTATAGTCACGTGTTTATACTCCTCCTCAATAACTGCTCCATGCATTGTTTCAGTTGCAGTACCTTCGTCAACCAGTAGAAGACCTAAAGAGACTGTGGCAGGATTGGCAGCCGGAGCGCCCCTGGGACTTATCTGTTCACACACTCCGACAGGTACGTGCATTATTTGATGTTACGGTGAAACTTGGTTGGTGCAAAAAAAAGCTGCAGTAAGCAGTAAAGCCTCTTTGAATGCACTGCTCAACCCTCAGGAAACTATTATACCATGATGATGCATCAAAGACACATCCTACTATAATCCATTTAATCAATTCTCTACTTAAGGTTGTTCTGTCTCCGCATGGGCAAGAGTCAGCGCAGGAGGAGAGCCTGGCCCAGCTCAACTCCCTGCTTCTGCAGCTTTGTGAACCTCGTCAACGGAATCACCACAAGATAACAGCAGCAGACATAGGGTGAGGCATCGTTTAGCAAATCCATCATAGCATCTTGATGTGACATGAACTCATAATCCACACTCACACACTTGATGTGGTAAGCCTGCTGGTTATTTTAGTGTCTGGTGCCCCCTGCAGGCAGCAGCTGTGGGCCAAACTGCTTGACACGATGGATGCTGAGGCCACGAGGCTCAGAGACCTGCTGGGCCTTCCAGTGAAAGACATATGGATGGTAAAAAAGGAGAAACCCTTAATCTCTGATACTGGTGAGACCCGCAGACTTCCAATCGGACATAGACGGGTGGAGAGTCAGTTGGCCGAAAACAAAGATGAGAAGAGTGAGAAAAAGGGAGAAGCAGCTGCTGAAGTGGAGATTATTGGAATCAAAAGGGAGTCCCAGTCAGCATTAACCGAGGAATCAGTGGAGGTGAGTTGATAAAAGCCATATGTGTTGGGCTACTATAAGAAATGTTGCCACTGAGTGGCAGCAGACTCAAAAGTGTTTATGAGCATGAATGAAGCACTACTTCACAACTTCAAACAAGCTGTCATTCATTCATTTGTCAACAAGACGACTCTGGATGTCTTGTTACTACAGACACCATGCTGCCTTTTGTGTAATAATACATTTGAGGATTTTTGACTAATTCATGACTCACAATGACAGCACAATTGTGTTTGTGTGTGTGCCAACCATTGGATATGTAGAGATTAACGAGTCCTTCCCACTGGGAGTGTAAGATGATCCTCTCCATCCAGAGTTTTGTCCACCAGAGAAGTCATTCGAGTCGCTGAGCAACAGAATACGCTCGTGGCCATTCATGTTTTTTTCTGTTTGGATCCAAATAACGGGCAAATGCTTTCGGGTAGAATGCAGATGTTTCTCAGCAGCCATCCCCATTAAGCCCTCCCACTTTGCATTGTCCTATTCATGAATCTCACTTTCAGCGCATTTTTATTGTCAGCGCTTCACTGGTGACTGCGTTACTCCAGTACAGACGAGACGATGCATCTTGGTGGCTCAGCTGGTCGGCAATGTTTTGGGTGTGAATCTGCCCCTGGACTTGTTACAACACGTGTCTCTACATGGCTTGTGTCTCCATTGCCAGCCATCATCGGCGAAGTAGAAAGACGTAATATATTCCATTCAGAGATATTTCAGAGACGCAGTCTTGTTGGTGTGTCTGTGTGTTTTGCTGATTCTCTCCTCTGTGTGATGAGTCATATTTAAGGTACAGCTTAGTGCTCACAGGGAACCATGGTAACAGGTCTCTGTGTGAAAATGCGCACCTGCTCTCCAACTGTGCATCCAGGGTGTGAATTCTTAGCACCCTGACCAGTCCGAGCCAACTGCAGCGCACGTATGCACACAGAGATACATTAGCTCAAACAGTCCCACAACATCCGATATATGAAACACCGTAAAATATGCGAGAGGTCATTTTTCATGACATACGACGCATACAACTACCGGCTGTCAGCTCGTTTTGGAAATTTGACCGCACTCAGTAAAAGCTGTCATTTATTGGCAAGTTTGTATTCAATCTGTACAGGACAGCGAAAAGAAAGGGGATAGAAAGAAGGAAGCGGGGGAACGTCCTCAGAAGAAGCAAGGAAAGGAAACTGCCTCGCTGACTGACATCCTGCCCGACAACGTCAGTCAACAACCTCCAGATGTGGAGTTGATGGACGTTTACACAAGGCAGTTGCACAAAAAGGCAAGTCTAAACAGTATTTATTTGAAGGGGCTGTGTAATATATCTGCTTTGACTCTTGAGAAGATTGGGAGAGTTAACCTGATGAGGTCGTCTCTAGTCGGGTTTGAGGGCTTTTTAACAAAAACACTGTATTACAAACTGGTGTTGGTTTGGAATGAAAGATACTCTCCGGCTGCATGTGAAATGTAGAATATTCTTAATCTAAACCAGTAATGAAAAGTCACAATATCCCTGTTTCTTCTCTCATTTTGACCACTGTCTTTCAACAATCCCCCAACTTTGCAGCACCCGTTTAAAGAAATCCCACAGATCTGTGCATCCTGTACACATGAATCGATATTTATCACCCTGACAGGTTTATGTGCTGATGGAAGACTTGGTGGAGAACCTGTGTGACGTGATGGATGATCTCAATGAGAGAGATGAACAGGACCCACACTGTTAACACGTAAAAGACTGGCACGGGAGACGCACTTTGTTCTTTCTAAATCAATAAACTTCGTATTCTTCTGGTATATTCGTCATGTGTCAATCACACTGTCACACGCGCGCATCAGCGGGCGCTAGGAGGCTTAACGGCGCCGCTGACTCTGCAAACGACGCGCCCACGTCCTTTTACGCGCGCCGTTGCGATCGTGCACGGTGCCGTGTGCGTGCGTGCGTGGCCTGCCGGCGCCGTGTGTGGACGAGGCCGCCCGAGTGAGCGAGTGAGAGAGCGAGAGAGGGAGAGAGAGAGAGAGAGAGAGAGAGCGAGGTAGCCGTGTGCTGAGGCTTATCCCCGTCCTATGCGGATTTCGCCACTGCGTGCCCGAGCGGCTCGCACCATCCCGGGTTACAGGCCGGGGTTCGGACGCCCGACTGTTCCCATTCAAGGAAACCCTCGGCCGCTCGGCTGCTCCCTCACGTTCGCCGAGTACAGGAGAGAATCGCGGTGGCCCTGATTCGCCGATCCGAGCGCAGGGGGATTCATCATCGTGACTCGGGGGGGGGGGAGACAGCGGAGAGGCGAGGATGCTCAGCGGAAAGGGCGAGAGATGAGCGATGGGCAAGGTAAGCGGCGCCATGTGACGTTAGTAGCTCGGCTTTTGCGTGTGCCAATAACGCTCAGTGGAAGCGGGAATGTTCAACACGCGTATAGTCCGCAGTGTGCGTGGGAGCTGCGTGTTGCCGACACGTTACACGCAACACGCCAACCGTAGTGGCAGCCGGCCTTGCGCATGAATCCGTGCCACACATGGTGTCTCTCACAGGACGATCCAGCGTGAAGCTGTGCGAGCGCGCGCTTGCGCGCGTGTGTGTGTGTGTGTGTGCGCGCGCGCGCGTGTGTTTGGGAGGGGGCGGGGGGCATTACGTAGAACTACCGCGCCTCCTCCTCTCCATCGCGGGTTGAAATAATACAGCAGCCTACTTGCGCTGTCACGTCACGCATGCGCATTGGTCAATGTGGACGGCGGGTTGACGTGTTCTCTGCGTTCGAGCATGTTGTCGCATCGGACCGCCGTGTCAGGTCTTAAACGAGGTAGTGTTTGAAGTTAAATACTAATGAGCACAAGACGTAATTTCAAAATCGGGTTGAAATGAGGTCTGAACGTCTCAGACCTCATTTCAACGTCTTTTCAACCGGTGGATGAAACACCAACGTGTTGTTGTTAATAAATGTGTCATGTTGTAACGTAAGGTTGAAAGAGACGATATTAACATTACAGTTTTTTACAGCCGCTAGGACACAGTTCTCAATACTTAGATCACTTTTTCAAAACTCTTCACACAGTGAGCACAACACAAGTATATGTGGCCTAAACTGAGGATCAATTATTATTGCTTTGGCACAAAATGCATTCAATGACTACATCTTTCAAATGTTATAATTTCTTTTCTCACTCAGACACAACAAACTGTGTGTACCTACAGGCCAATTTACACATGCTTACATACTGTTAAAACTGTTAAACTTATGTTCAACACAATAACATAATATAAAACTGAACGTCTCCTTGCGTTCCTGCATGATCTCTATGGAAGGGTTGTGCCAGGTGAGGAAAGGGATGCAGAGAGAAGAAATCAGCCAACATCTATATTTGTATGGGACAATGTGGCATTTCACCACTCCCGTGCAGTCACTGAGTGGTTTGCAGCCCATCCCAGAATGGTGTCACTTTCACTCCCACCTTACTCTCCATTCCTCAACCCCATAGAGGAATTCTTTTCCTCAGGGAGGTGGAAGGTTCATGACCACCATCCACATGATCAAATGTCCCTCCTGGACACAATGAATGCTGGATGCCTGGACATATCAGCAGAAGATTGCCAGGGATGGATCAGGCATGCCAGAAGGTTCTACCCCAGGTGTATTGCCCTAGATCACATAAGATGTGATGTGGATGAGAACCTGTGGCAAAATAGAGAAGATCGAGTAGATTAGCATTACTATTGTATATGTATCAGTAGATGGTGTATATACAAATTCTCGTATTTTGGAATTACTCAGTGCAAAAAAATAAAAAAATGAATAAAGGACATGGAATATATTGAAGCTTTCTGCATCATGTCTGATTAATTCCAGTAACATATATTACAGTGAATTATAAACAGAGATGTGTCCTTGTTTTACACAAGAAAACATTGTATAATGCTACATGTTAGTGTTTTTTAGGTCATTGTTTTGTGGGTGACAAAGTGTGTTTGTTGGCTGTCAACCTTTGCTAGTGCTCTGGAAGAATGAGTTGACTTGAGACATGAATGACGTGTTTTGGTAGTTTTAGTTTTGAATGTGAAATGAACTGCTGTGGCGAGCTGAAAGTTGGTTAGGAGAACTGTGTGAAGAGTTTTGAAAAAGTGACCTAAGTACTGTATTTTCCGCACTATACCGGATTATAAGGGGCACCTTCAATGAATGACCTATTTTAGAACATTTTTCATATATAGGAGCAATAAAGTCTATGATAAATAAATAAACAAACCAACGACTTCCACACACAAAGACGTGACTCTCTAGTTCGTCTTCAACAAAAACACGTTACTCCGCCTGTTGTTCTGGCGGTGAATTGCTCTGCAACACACGCAAGACTTTAGAACCATGAAGTGAAACGAGTGCGTCGACGCAGACGCAGAAGCATGCGCCAGCCTTTAGAATAACTTATTTTCCCCGTTAAGATGGTTCAGCTACTGTAAAGAAAAGGGCACCGTCTCTCGCTCTTCAATCTCATTATGTTCTCGGCGAGAACGACAGCTTTCCATATCTCACGCACTTGAGCGCCCGCTCAGCATCTCGCCATCGTAGACCGAGCTTTGGCATGTTTGGCAGAGCGCCTTGAGCGCCGTGTACAACCTGTATGGATCAACCGATTAACTAATTGATCCATATATAAGGCGCTGCGGATTATAAGGCACTGTCGTTTTTGAGAAAATTAAAGGCTTTTAAGTGCGCCTTATAGTGCAGAAAATACAGTATTGAGAAATGTGTCCTAGCAACTGTAAAAAACTGTAAGATGTTCTTAATTAATGAACTGGTCTGTGAAATTACGTAAAACGTCATACATATGAAACCAAGTTTTTTTCAATCGCTAACAATTACTTACCCATACTTCAGAAATTTTTTCTAAACTCTTAACACAGACTCACACCTACAAGACACAATTGGCCAAATTGATAATTTTCTTCTCAAAAACACATTTTGTTAAATATATACTAACTCTTGATTTCAAAACAGAACATCTTTCTCTGCACACACTAACTTTACCAAAACACTGGAAATCTGACTCAAAATGAAATTATTCTGTCAAAGAATAACATTTGTTTTCACTTCACAAGATACATGCAGTCAAACAAAGTACACCAGGTTTCAAAATTCTGGCTATTGTTGACATTATAAACATTGCATAGACTTTTATGTTTCAGGTAACATGCAATCCACCATTTACACCAAATTTATTGGTTTGGAACTGTATGCGCACATGTACAGTAATGTTCACATTCAAACGCATTCCAGTAAAAAGCAAATCAGTTATTTAGTTTCTTAACTGTTTACCAAAGAAGGTACAGTAGAAACAGAATAATAAAACAGAAAGGTTTATTTTATTTTAACAAAATATTCATGAAACACACGAGCATTCTGAAAAAACAACAACAGCCAAAAGCCCTGATGACAAGGGGGGAACTAAAAATGGCAAACAATGTATGCATCTAATTCCTGCGATCTTCAGGGTTCGGCCACATGTTTTCGTCAACATCACATCTGACATCATCTAAGGCGATGCACCTGGGATAAAACCGCTTGGCATGTCGGATCCACCCTTGGCAATCTTGAACTGTGATGTCCCTGCAGCCAGCATCCATGGCTTCAAGGAGGGAAATCTGGTAATGTGGCTGATGGTCATAAACCTTCCACCTCCATGCAGAAAAGAACTCCTCTTCCTGCTCCTGCTCCTCTTCCTGCATCTGTACCTCTCACTGCACCTCCTTCTACATCTGCCCCTCTTACTCTTCCTCTCATTGCACCTCCTGCTGCACCTCTCACTGCTCCTCTTCCTGCACCTGCACCTCCTTCTGCACCTGCATCTCCTTCTTCACCTGCACCTCTCACTAGACCTGGTCTTCTCCCTGGGCCCCTTGCTCTTCCTCGTCCAGACATTACAGTGTTTGTCTTTTTCTGTTTCTGTTTCCAAAAACATCACTCCTCAAAGTCCTCCTTAAATAAGCCAGACTGGAATCAGCTGTTGATGGCTCAATTTACCCAACATAAATCAGCTGTCAATTATTCAATAGTTTGTTCATTATCAGCTGAGATATATTGTTTTTGAACTGATATCATTGCCGATTGAAAAAAACTGCAATAAGATGCTTTTAGGACATAATAATGCGGGTAGTTTCAAACACATACTCGTAAACACGTCCGCTGACGTCTGTAACACACATGCGCGAGTTCTTAGACGCTTGCAGAGCTCCGACCGGGTTGCAGCACGAGGCGAAGTTACGGCAGCAGAGCGACATGAACGGGTTGATAGAACCACGACTACCGGCTCCAACACTTTGAATGGAGCACACGTGGAACTATAACCAGTTGTTTTACTTCTGCTGCCCACTCGATACGGGAAACACTGTTCTTTTTGGTAAGCTAGTTAGCACGGGTAGTTTGCTAGTTAGCATGCTAGCTTGGAGCATGCTAACATGCAGCATGATGACCTGGACCAAAAGTAAACATCCCAGAATATGTTTTGTGTGTTTGGTGTTGCTAATGCGTTAGGTTGTTGCTGTACCCATAAATATTATTGCCTTTTCCCATTTCATATCGAAAATACACGTTTTTTAAAGCAACGGGGGCTAAATACAGATTGCGAATGGCTGAATTCAACAAGTTGTGGTCTGTAAACGTTGACGTTTAGACCCGTTTTCAACGTGATTTATCATATCGGGGGTAAACTTACAAATGTGGACGTAGTTTCTATTTAAACCTCTAAAATGATGATATAGCACAAAAAAGAGGATGAAATATTACCGTATTAAAAATCACGTTGAAATGTGGTCTGAACATCGACGTCTTTCACTTTTAAACCATTTTGCAACGTCTTTGCTCGCACCAAAAATGCTCGCTTTGCTGTTTCAGCTCAGGCCGGTCCCAAAGGCGGAGGGTCTAAGAAGCAGTTAACCAATCACGTGCTAACTCAAATTAATGAGTGACATTATAATTTCAGCGCCCCAAAATACAGCACTTTGCCGCCCATTTAGCGACATGACAATGGCGAGCAGTATCCCTCCAACAAGACCAAACCCTAAATCGGTACATTCTCTTCTCGAAGAGCCGTTTGGCAGAATAACTTTCGTGGAGAAACTAGAGGTGAAAGAGGTGGACCCGGATCAGCCGGACCTCACAATCAGACAACGGAACGGTGTGAAAGAGAAGCCTTTCTGTAGAGACTTCTACACCACGATATTTAGCTATCTAGTTAGCTGCGTGCTATCCCCGCCGGTGCGCTGTGTTAAAGTAGACATCGCCACCCAGCTGCGACGCACACAGGACTGCGGTGAGGACACACAACCAGGACGTGGATGAAAACAGGCCTATTTTATCCAAAATAGTTCATTGTGTGAAGTTCTGTGGGGCTTTTGAGTTGGTCTTTCCTCAACACACTAGGTTCATAGGTGCATCTAAATATAAACATATATATACATGTTCTAATAGATTTTATATAAATATATTTAAATTGTAATATATTTGTTAGAGCCATTTTTGTTATTGTTCGATTGTTAGGTTGCTAGGTGCTGGGAGGTTGTGTTTCGATTAGGCCGCAAGTTCAATATCAGGCATGAAAATCCCTCAACTTTCGGCAAAATTTGCCGCTTTGAAACCAAAATAGGTGACCTACGTGAATTGTGTAGATTCAATGAGGTTTTTTTGGGAGGGGGGGGTATTCATATTGGATTTTTATAATAGTCATGGTAGTTATCATATTCTGAATATTGTTTTATATATATTAGTTTTATTGATATGCTCATTGATATAATGAATTTTTTGAGTAAGATGTCCTTATTATGTTAAACTGTTGGAAGAAATGTTAAATATTTAACTGCAAAGTAATAATGCGTGTTCGATACCCATTTTTCCATTGAATCACACAGGGATGTTTACTGAAACTGATTGGCGGACCAGCCGTCACTGATACACATATATAAACGTAATTATATGTATGAACAAGGCCGACGAGGCACCGGAGGGGGACGTAGTAACTCGGACGGTCGCTGGTGGGAGGCCTTGTTCTGGGTGCAAACCGGACAAGCGGCCACAAACCCCCCGTGTCCCTCTCGAGTGACGGCTACCAGAAGTTCTGCCTGAAGAAGCAGACCATTCGCCTGACCTCTGGCTGGCATCTGATTTAAGGGGCATGTATCAAGAGCATCCTTTTTTAAATTGGTGTAAAAGATTTAATAAAGAATAGTTGATAGCTTAATTAATAGTAATTAACGTTAGACATTTTACATCTAGTAAACAGTACGCAGTAGTATAACCCGTGTTAGTTAATTAGTTATATCTTAAATAAATCAGACAGGCAGAAGCTTAGTTTAACGTTTAGCCAACATCAAATATATTTTAGCACGAAATCTATTACGCTAACAATTTAACGTTAGCTAACTAGCGTTGAGCTTTAACTCAAACATAAATTAAGAACCTTTTAATATCTCAAAGAACCAGATGAAAACATGTAGAACCATCTAATAGATAAAATGGTTCTTTAGAAGGTGTTGGTTCTTTGTAGAACCACACTGTCTTCTAAAGAACCATTTAAGAACCCTTTTGGCTGTCCTGTGGCTGGCTAACACTATTAGGCTGTAAAGCCATTGTATTAGTGTTTGATTAAACATTAGGGTTTTTGAATCGCTCTTAGTCTGGACTCTCCCCTGAGACCTGTTGTCCACCGTACAAGGTGCTCGTTCCACCGACAACACAGATCACAGGATCACTGAGCCACTCAAACTCCTCCACCACGTTAAGGTGGCGATTCGCAGAGGAGATAGTTTTTTTTTTTATGTGGGAAACCCATAGATGGAGGGAAAACCCACAGGGTGTGTGTGTGTGTGTGTGGGTGGGGGTCTGTGTGTGTGGGGGGGTCTCAGCGCTGTGAAAGGCGGCGAAGTGTGTGTGTGTGTGTGTGTGTGTGTGTGTGGGGGGGTGTGTTGTGCGTGTGTGTGTGTGTGGAGGGGTCTTGAGCGCTGTGAAGCGCGGGTGGAAGGGGGGTAGATGGATGAGGTAGGACGGAGTGGTAGATGAAGGATGGTGTTCTTACTGGTGTCCAGTCTCAGGCACGTTGATGTTGACGTCCTGGATGGTCTCCTTTTTCTTCTCTTCTCTCTTCTGTTTCTTTGTCTCCTTGTTCTGCATCTTGCGTCTCATTTTGTCCATCTCCGTCTCCCGGTCTTGCAACCGTCTCCCAAAAATGCCTCTTTTCTTTTTTTTAAAGTCGAGGCAGATGTTCTCAAGGACTGTTTTGTCGTCCTCTAAATCTTGGATCCTGGCGATAAGGTTCTGATTTACCTCCATCTGTTGGATCTTTGAGTACTGGCACAACTCACTCTTTGTGACCATCTCGTGGTAGCTCTGCTTTAGGCTCTTTTGTGAAGCAGCCAGAGAATCCCTCTCGATCTTCAGCAGTTTGTGTTCTGCTTCCAACTGCTGGCAGGTCTGGTTGTTGACCGTGAGTTCAGCACTTTTGACAGAAAGTTGTTCTGTGGTCTCGGTGAGCTTCAGAGATAAACCCTCGTTCTCCCTGATAGTCTCAGCTAGAGCCTCTGTCTTGGTCTTCAGCAGTTTGTGTTCTGCTACCAACTGGCGGTTGTTGGTCTGCTGCTTGTGCAGCTCCTCTAGTAGAGAAACGTTGGTGGAGAGTAAGCCTGTTACTTCAGACTTCAAGGACTGTTGTTGGTAATCCAGTTCCTTGGATGTCTTTTTCTCCAGATCTTCATACTTCTGCTGCCAGGTCTGGTTGTTGACCCTGAGTTCAGCACTTTTGACAGAAAGTTGTTCTGTGGTCTCGGTGAGCTTCAGAGATAAACCCTCGTTCTCCCTGATAGTCTCAGCCAGAGCCTCTGTCTTGGTCTTCAGCAGTTTGTGTTCTGCTTCCAACTGGTGGTTGTCGGCCTGCTGCTTGTGCAGCTCCTCTGGTAGAGAAGCGTTGATGGAGAGTAACCCTGTTACGTTAGACTCCAAGGACTGTTGTTGGTAATCCAGTTCCTTGGATGTCTTTTTCTCCAGATCTTCATACTTCTGCTGCCAGGTCTCGTTGTTGACCGTGAGTTCAGCACTTTTGACAGCAAGTTGTTCGGTGGTCTCTCTGAGCTTCAGAGATAAACCCTTGTTCTCCCTGGTAAGGTCTGAAAACTTCTTTTTGTACTTGGAAACCATCTTCTCATAGGCCAGATCTTTGCCTTTTAACTGGTGGAACCAATTGTACTTTGCAGCTTCAGCTTGAGCAACGAAATTGCTCACTTGCCTTTTCAGGTAGTGCACTTCATTCTGGGCACGAGAGAGTGCCATGTTCACATTGTATCCGGTCGGAGGAGTCCCAAACACTGAAGCGCCAGCTCCAGGTCTCTGGTTGTTTCCACGGGACATGTTAAATAACACTTGTGTAGTCTTTAAAAAGAATGATGGTATCTTTAAAAAGGCTGGTGGGTTGCCTGTAAAAAGGCTGAAATCCTTGAAATGTTTGACGGTTAACGACTCAATGTGGTCTTTGAAAAATGATGATAAATCTTTCAAAAGTCTACTTAAGTCTTGTTAAGGACAAACGTCGCTGAGTACTTCTCTCTTGAAAAAGAGTGCAGTGCTCTGTTCTGTGCTCAGAACTGCAATCTATTTGTGGAGAAGATGATGATGTCATCCCGTTGTCATGGCAATGCTTTGTCATGTTCTCTGTCATGTTCTCTGTCATGATGTCATTCCGTTGTCATGACTCCCTTGAGTTTCGAGTAATTTTTACAAATTAGATTTTTCTCTATAGTAGTATTATTATTTAGCCTACTTTGCTGAGGGAAGTGAGCAGAGGGAATTAATCTTCCTCTGGAAATTTACCCTAAAGACCACGCCTAATTTCAAACCCTTATTCACAATGCAAGAATATGTTTTTTGCACAAACCTCTATAAGGTGCGTTTAATTCTAAATATCTTTCTACAATTAATGTTCATACAGAACAAACAAGACTGGAAAAGATCCTGGCAACAGGTCAAGATAAAATATAAAAACATTTTGCAGGCTGGTAAGTGCCTAGTTGGCAAATGGTGTAAAAATAACTTGATGCCTGCTTACATATTTTATCTAAACTGATTGAAGCAGTTAAGAAAAAGGCTCATTTGTCTGTCACTGGGGGGGCACCAGGCTTCACCCCAGCTGAGGAATTGGCCCTTGTTTTAAACCAAGGGAGGCCTGTGATGGAAGGGATTCCGGGAGGGACAGCTACTGACTCTGTTCCACCTGCAGAAACTGCCCTCTTCATACGTGCTACATGTTACAGTACATCAAATACAATCACCCATTTATACACTGACAGTACGGCAAATAGTGCCTTTATTTACAGTTTCGGCATATAAATACATGTCGCTTGCAAAAAAGTGCAGTGCCGTACAGAACATCTGTGGGAATGTGAGAGCTTCGCGCTGGTCTGATCTGTCCCGAAACATCCTCTCATGTCTGAAAGCACGTGGTTCAGAAACTGGCATCATGGTGCAGGAAGAAACACCCGTGAATGGGACTTTATATATCGGCCTCATCACGTTTACAATCGTTCATTCCTCACTGCGCATGTCAGTGTTAAACACGTTTGTTTCAGATCAGAGCGGCAGCTGATTTAACACACGAGTCTCCAGGATTAATCTGGCCTGGCTGTTAGCCTGGTCTGGAGCAGGCAAGCTGCAGAGAATAAATCACCATGGTTACATGACTGAGTTTAATTCAACCTGCTTTCGTGCAACCAAGTCCAAGCTAAATTCATCCAGGCTTAATCCCTTGGCCCCTGAAAATAAGTAACTTAAGAAAAAGTGCATGTGCATCTCTTCAGCCTCACAGTTGAATATTAGTCAGCATGAACTATATTTTATACCTGTGACTGACTAGAACTCTAACGTGTTATCTATGTTGGTGAAAGGAGCAATAAAAGTGATTACATCACAATTAATAATAATCGTTTCATCAGGTGACGCTTGGTGTCCATCGTGATTATTACTCCCAGATGAGTCATTTGAATGTTGAGCTTATGGCTCTGAATAAGAAACCACCCCATTAAACCCACCGGGGGTGCTGTCATCGTGTCCAAGGAGTCGTTGCATTAGTTTGTCATTGGATGACTTCCATTCGTCTGTCTCTGCATGTGACTTCAAGAAATTCCCTCTTAAAAAGGGACACTTTTTAGGAACGTCTCTTTCAGGGGATTTTACCCTTAAACTTAAAGAACAAATAAGTTGTGTACATTCATCTTTGCAGGCAGATGAATATTGATTTCACGATCTCTTTACCTTTCATAAGTAGTTTATTGGCATTTCAACTAATCTTGGTTGAGTTAATTTGAGTATTGCTTCCATCTGATGGCCACCTGGTTAATAGGAAAGAATAAAATAATAGATTGTATAATTCTAAATACAACTTTGAGATGTGTTTCAGAGTTGGATCAATCAACTCGGAGTAGGTTGACTGAGAGTTGAGCGCGTGCACCACCACAGTATGAAGGCAGCATGAATGGAGCCACGATACTATGATTCACCATGGCAACAACCACAAACCACATATTCGCCCCTATTGAGCTGGAAATATTCATGCAAGCGTACGGCGAGTAAGAACCCGTAATTAGAAAAAAAGCAACACTGCTACTGCAGCAAAAGACAGAGAAACTGCGTGGGAGAAAATTGCTGTACTAATTCCCAGTTTTCACACAGTTTGTTAGAATGCAGTACACACAGGCTTGAAATACACACCCATGGTCATATTTAATCACAAGAACAATATCGCTGGTAAAAACTGGTACAATGGTATTGAACATATAATGTATTTTAGGCCTACTAATATTATGTTGTAAAGGAAACGAAACACGAAGAATGTCCTCGTACCTGAGAGCATGTCTACGACGGGGGACGTCAGTTATATGAGGACGGGTGAGGTTATGTACGTATTTGATGGACTGTGAAGAAAAACGATACAGTTAAAACAAGTAGTTATCTGGAAATGACAATATATCTAATCGGGGTCTCAATATTCTCTCCCGACGTGTTTAACACCCTGCAAAGTAAAACCGCTTCATCAACAGGATCGTCTAGAAAAGGACGCGCCTTGTTCGAGAAAACACTTTAGTCTTTAATGTAACATCTTATTTTGTTCATATGTGGAAACTGCGCTAAAATCGGCCCGATACAGAGTACTTGAATGAATGAGGAAATGAAAGCGCGCCGTGTGATTGGCTGGGCTGCTGTCAGAGGGACGAGACTGTGAAAGAAACTCAAGGTTTGTTGAAGCAAACCTGCTCCCGACCAGGTTATGATCAAAGGCTCAGTTACCATGGTGACTTACCCTGAGCTTTAGTTACCTCTCTTTGTGAAACAGACAAACCAGAGTTTCCCTCAGCTCAGGGTTAACAAACTCTGAGTTTCCACTAAACCCGCTTTTACCCAAATGCACGACTCCTCAGACAAAGTTCCAATAGAAATCAAAGTTTATTAACGAAAGGGAAAGTGCCACTCAAATGAAAATCACTCGTGGTCGAGGAAAACCCTACGTACTATACCTAAGAACACAAACGTGGTAAAGCTATGGATGCAGACCTACACTGGTTCCTTGACGTGAGACAAGACGAACTGGCCCAGGACAAAGGGAGACGCAGACAATATGTACACACAGGGTGAGGACACGGGTGGAAACAATCAGGGGCAGACGATGAATCATACTCCCTTGTGAATTATGCTGTAATGGTGTGAGGGTCAGATGAAGGGTTTAAAACAGTTTAAAAAACTTTGCATTAGACAACAACAGCATTGATAACCTCTACGTCTGTGTGTGTCTGTGAACACAAAGCTGAAGATGATCCTGCAGAAAGGGGACACTGGTTGAAATAGCTGAGCTTCACTCTTTTCATCGTGCCCTTCATTCACTGTGTCTCTGTCTCTCTCTCAGTCTGTCTCTGTCTCTCTGTCTTTCCTGCACATGCACACAAACACGCAGACTCGTTCTCTTCTCAGTTTTCTCTGTTCCTGCTGTGTGCTTCCTAGTTCCTCTGCACTGATGTGCTGATGTTTGCTGTTTGGCATCATGTGACTTGTTTCAGTGTGACAGCCTTTGTGAACTGTTGTGCAGCAGCAGTGACATTGAAGTTAAATCAATAACTCTTTAAAGGTTAAGTTGTTGAATACAATCATTGTTAATCATCCTGATGATAGCAGTCTGTTAATAATGTTGACTGGACTTACTCTCTACTTATTTAATTGTCCGGTCCAGCTCAGTGAGCCAATACTGAATTTACTGTCAATGTTAAACTTGTCGTCCATATTATATTTCTTCAGGCCAATGATCATATTTGTTTTATTCTTACACATCTGCTCCTACTTGAAACATATTTAATGAAATTGAGGTAAATGACACTTCCACTTTTTGGACTTGTACTCACATAAGTTATGTAATACCTTTTATCTAGAATTAAATAGAGGATGTGGGAATAGAAATCTGCCAAATCAAGCACATAGAAGAAGAGAACACCTTCCTGAATGAAGTAAACACATTTTTTCACGTGGAAAAAGACCACAATGCCCCTCGCAGTGAGAAACCCAGCTCCTCACAAGCATCCGTACCAACCCACATCGTATATTCTCCCGTAAATTTGTCTGAATGATCTTATCCAGACAAATAAATGTCTAATAATGGCCTTTTTATTGGAGCATAACAGATGTTCTGATACTGGAGCCTCGAATAGAAAAATAAGTATCTCAGGAACCATTAATCGATTCCCCTGTGTCCTCTCTAAAAAATTAATTTGTTGGAGAAAATGGGTTGTGCGCGTGCGTGTGCATGGGTTTAGGCAGCTGGATGTGAGTGTTGGCCTGAATAAATTAAGCTGCCAAGAAGCTTCATCAGACGCCTGAGTGCCAGAGCACTCATGTCCTACTTCCTAAGCGGGGACAAATTGTTAGCTCGTCATTCAATCACTATGCTCAGTTTGTTTGGTATTAAAGTAAACAGCAAAGGAATAAATCAACAACTCAGTGTTCTTGGCCGTGCTGTCGAGCCGGCCCTGTGGAAGGCAATGTCCTTTAATGTTCCCTTCAGCATGAAGTGGGATAGCTTTGGTAGCATCACGTCCAAATTTCTACTCGTTCAACCAAATACCTAAACTATCGACCATCAAACTATCATGTGACATCTGCTTAACATATGCAATTTCTGTGCAGCCGAACAGAATATGCATAATCAACAGACTTTTTTTGGTGCCAGTTTCCCGAAATGTAAACCAAATGAATAAAAACAGGCGTGGAGTTGAACATAGGGGCACTCCATGAATCCATCACATTATAATTACTGTTTACGTCCCAAAGCATTGAACAGCAGTCCTCCAAGTTTCACAATATCCCTCCTGCAGGCGGGGGGCTTTGAATTTGCCAATTAAATTGAACCTTAAAGAGTGAGTATGACCAAAATTTACTTTTAAATATAAATATATATTCTCTGTCTCTTTCTTACAGGGATGTCCTGTAACTCCAGACAGAGAAGAGGAGCCTTCTTTGCCATAGCCACCTCCCTTCTCCTCTCCTCCTCCCGTCCCCACCCCCCTTTTCAGCCCCCTCTCTTCACCTGTTGAGTGTTTTTACCCCCACTTTCTATCCCTACACGTCCTCCATCACCTGTGACCATGACAACCTCAGCCCTTCGCCGGCAGGTGAAGAATATCGTGCACAACTATTCAGAAGCGGAGATCAAGGTATTGTTGCTATTCTGGTTTAGACTGGAAATACAAAAAAAACACTTCAGAAACAAACTCTCTTCCTACTGGAGTTCCCTGTCATGAACACACTTCTCCCTTTTTACATGCATGACATGTAAACATGAATAGAAATGGAAATCATTGATCCTCTGCTGCTGGCGTGTAGGTTCGCGAGGCCACCTCAAACGACCCTTGGGGCCCGTCCTCGTCCCTCATGTCGGAGATCGCTGACTTGACCTTCAATGTGGTGGCGTTTGCTGAGGTCATGGGCATGGTGTGGAAACGCCTCAACGACAGCGGCAAGAACTGGAGACACGTCTACAAGGTGAGCTCGCGAAAAGATTTCAGTTAGAAAGCGAGCGTGTTGCTTTTAGAGCAGGATCTTCCTTCAATCATAAGATCGGCGCCTTTGATTCCCCGTCTCCCGTAGTCCATGTCGATGTGTCCTTGAGCAAGACGCTTAGCCCCGAATTATTATGAATGGGTATGAATGATTAGGCACATTCTATGGAGCCCCTTTTGTCAGTGTAGGAATGTGTGTGAATGGGTCAATGATAATATGTAGTGCTTCGCTTTTCTTTCTATAGACTCTCTCTGACGCTCACCATCACTTTCCCTGCTTTAATAATCAATTCAAGATTATTCTCTTACATTTCTGCTATAGGTAAATAGGTTGTATATTGGACATCAGAAATATCTGATTTTTAGGTCTGTAGAGGACATACTTTAACAGAGTTTCTGACACACGTTTTCACTTACCCTATCAAATATCTCAATGTCCACTCTATGGATTGGCACAACCTTTGGTGCAGATATCCATGTTACCCAGAGGTGTATTTTGCTGACTTTGGGGAAACTGTGACCTTCTCTCAGGCCTACATGAAGTTAACCTTTTAGTTATTAATGCTATAACTGTGTGTTGCTATGAACCAACACGGTGAATGTGATACAAATGATGATGTCTAACTATGACATTGTGGGCATTTGCATTTGAAGCATGTTAGCATGCTGAAATGAAGCACAGAGACTTTTACCACTCGTTTATGTGTCCATCTCATTTCTCTACGCAATAGATCGATTCATTAAAATAATGTTTTTGCATTTTGCATCAAGTATTAGTGTGGTAATCAGCACTTTGACTACAGGCCCTGACTCTGCTGGATTACCTGCTGAAGACCGGATCAGAGAGAGTGGCCCAGCAGTGCCGTGAGAACGCCTTCACCATTCAGGTACTGGACTTCAACAAGAAGAGAACTTCGGGCAATCCAAATTCCTCAGTGATAGATGGTCTTTACTGTTCATCATTTGGATCCCCTGTGGCTGCTACCGTGGCAACCACTACTCTAGATATTCCATAGTACAAACTCTACGTTTGCTTTTCTTGTCAAACTCATTCCTGAGGATCACATTATTGAGGTTTTCCTCCATCTTCTCAACCACAACTTGAATAAAAAAATATTTTCTAAAATATCCAATATATCTAAAATATCCCCAAATGCCATTTGTCTTTATGTGCGGTCCAGACGCTACGGGACTTCCAGCACGTGGACCGTGACGGCAGGGATCAGGGGGCCAACGTGAGAGAAAAAGCACGGCAACTTGTGTGTCTCCTGCGGGATGAGGAGCGGCTCCGGCAGGAGAGGAGTCAAGCCCTGAAGACCAAGGAACGAATGGCCGGGGGAGGCAGTGGAGGGGGCGTGTTCGGAGGTCTTCCTCCGTCTTACCATCCAGGCAGGCGCACGAGCCAGCCCAGCATGGCTGTGCTGTACGGGGAGGAGTTCAGCCGCTCCCGAGGCTCTCCGTCCTCCTTCAACTGTGAGTATTCAAAGCATTTAGTACTTTGAATGATTTTTTTCGTCACTTGTAGGAAGCGCAAACAATTTGAGTCAACACAGACATTTTAGGGTGGTATGTGTAACTTCATCCAGTATCCTCTCCCCTTATAGCCCTGTGTGTCTGACAGATTAATTCTTGTTCACCAGCTTGTCGCTAATGTTGTCTGCTCTTTGGTGCTGTGTAAGCAGTGTACAGTGGGCATTCATAACCCATTCTTGACTTTTCATCCACGCAGGAGACACAGGAAAACCACAAAAACAAACACCCTTGTTTAAAAACCCTTCTGATGAAGAATGAATCTAATTTTTGTGTTGCTTGATTAAAAAAAGTTCTGTGGCGTTGTAGCACATTCATGGTAGTGCGCTCAGGCACGGTTGGTAGAAGAGGCCCTTTTACCCTCAATGTCACAGTGTATCATCCGCTGTGTGGTAGACGGTCAGCTATGTTTGTCCCACGTGCATGTGAGTCCATGTTTGTGTGTAACGTCCACCCTCCGATCCCCCCCAGGGTAACCCTGTTAGCTCTGGTTCTTTCAGCCGTCGACATGTTACCAACTGTATGTAGGCGTATCTCTCAATGATATGCTCCGAATGTTAAATTCAACACTTCTAGAGTGTAAACTGGAGCACTGAACAGCAAATTGTATGCGTTGGGAATTCATAAGTGGATGGAGTGTTAAAAATACACGCTTGTATTCAGGCTGATCCCTATTTAAATGATTTTGTGCTGTAGCCTGGCACTTTGGACAATCCACCACATAGATTATCAATACTGCAGCGTTGGCCTGAAAATATTAATACCATAACTCCTCATCCCGGTACGGCTTCCTCCCCCCTAAACCTCCCTCACTTGTTCCCTCTGCAGCCTCGTCCTCGTCTCCTCGTGCTGCTTCAGACCTCGAGCAGGCTCGACCACAGACCAGCGGCGAGGAGGAGCTGCAGCTCCAGCTGGCTTTAGCCATGAGCAGGGAGGAGAGTCAGAAGGTAAAACCAAACACACATACACATATTATGATAATGTCTAATCTCCCTTAGCTCCTTGAGTGGACAAGCAAACTCTCCCTCCACACACACACACACATTCCGATAATGAAAATGTTGTTACAAGCGTTCTGAACATTCGCCCACCTTAATCTAGCTAGCTTTGCCATCCCCCGTTGCCATAGAGATGGATGAAGACACGCAACTAAAGATTGCTTTAAGCCTTACCTAAAGGAGCATGAGCAGGTACACACACACACACACACACACACACACAGAAACACAACTCACCTCTTATCCTTCAGTGTTGTCATTTATTAAACACCCAGTTAACCAACATGCTTATATGTGGCCACCCAATAAATCTCTTCTCTTCTTCACTCTCTTTACATCTTTCCGGAACCCCCGGCCCTCCCGCGACGTTAAACATCTATAAAAATATCCTCTGCATTATCGCTCTCGTCTTTCCTCTAAACCAGCCTCGGCTCTTTTTTGGTCGTCAACTAAATATTTAATTAGAACAAAAAAGCCGGCAGCGCTGCTTTAGTTTTCCTGTGCCAAGCCAACCAAACACTGTTTCACTAACGCGGGCGCGCGTGTATGTGGATGTTTGTGCCTGCGTCCTCGTAGCTGTTGCCATAATGTTCATGATGTCACAATGCCGCCCCTACAGGAGCAGTGCTGTCGCCAAGGAGACGAGTCTCTGTTACAGAAGGCCCTGGATGAGAGCCGGAGAGAGAGTCAGTCGGAGATAGATGGGGTGAGTTTCAAAAAAAGGTCTGTATGTGTGTGTGGAGGCTTGCATGCTACACGAGCATGTGTTTGCATGGAGAGGTGGGCAGGTGCATTTATGGGTGTTTTTTAGCAGGCATTTAGAGAATGAATTGAGAGCAGAGAGGAGAAAGAGGTGCCTTCTGAATCATGATGACTGTCTAACCTTGAGCTCAGCATGACATTTCCCTGAAAGCACGCTCCTTATCTTGAAGCACCCAGCTTTACTTATTGGCCCTTCAACAAGCCGATCAGATTCACCAGCTGTCTTATGTAAAGGTCCCCACGGCTTGTCATTGGTCATAATATACTGCTTAGCATAAAATCAGCATGAGGAAAATATTTCATAATTTCTTCTTATGTTGATTTATAGACATTTATTGCGGTCTCAGTTGCTTAATTTAATCTTGAACAAGCTGGTGGTAAATAGTGTTTTAAAGTTATTGTCGTAATACATTTACAATCACTATAACCTCAAGAGTTTCAATTTTTTCCTTAATATATCTTTCATTTTGCATAGTTCAAAAACTCATCCAGGAACATGAACTCTTGAATGTTTGGCACAGAGTCACAGAAAGGTTGTCTCTCCCCCTGTAGTCAACCATGCTGGACCTGGTTGACATTTTCGGCACCTCGTCTGAGGTCCCATGTCAGCCAGGTGACGCTTGGAACTCTGCGCCGTTTGCCGATGACATCACCTCTGACCCCTGGGACTCTGTAGGTGGGTGGCTCCTCACAGGCACACCCATTCTGTGAGCGTGTCTGTCTCCAATGCTTCACTCAAAGCTTTGTGTTGTCCGTCTGCCCCTCACAACAGCGGTCCACTCCAGCACTCCTGTGACTGGCAGCCCTTGGGCGGCCCCTCCCTCGTCCTCCGATGCGTCCAATCCCTGGGCGCCACATGCTGACTCACGCACAGATCCCTGGGAAGCAGCGCCAGTCTCCTCCAGTCCTGCCAATCATGCGTGGGACAGCCCAACAGAAGGAGGTACCTTTCAGAAACACCAGTCTCATCAATATGCATTTACGTTTGTTTCAAATACAGTGTGGCTTCAATAGCTGTCTACTCCTGCACACCGGCTAATGTTTTCAATTTGACCGGCAGGAGGTGATGGGACAGATCCGTTTGATGATCAGGAAGAGGAGAATCCCAAACGGGAGATTGTTCAAGTGTCTTCCCCACAACCTGCCAGTCCCACAGGTAGTTCTACAGGTAGTACGATTCAGCCAGGATTTGACTGTACATTTAGAGGCAGTAGGTCTCTTATTCATGTAATATGATGCCATTGAAACTTAAGATAAAAATTTACCGCCCATGCATCATATTGCAGCAATAAATAACTACTCTTTAAACCGTTTTTCTGTTCCTGCTGAAGATGCAGAGTTGTTTGGAGTAAAGGCAGATTCTGACCCATTTGCTGGAACGGCTTCCAGACCGGATCCATTTGGGACAGACGCTGAGGTGAAACCCCTGGTAAATGGAAGAGAATCGTCCAGCCCGGAGATGTTCGACCTGTCCCGGCTAGCACCCCCGCTCAGCGCCCCACCTTCACGCATGTGTCGAACCCCAGAGGCCTTCCTAGGACCTACGGGGGCCTCGTTGGTCAATTTAGACGCTCTGATACCGTCCAACCCCCAGGGGAAGTTGCACAACAACCCCTTCCTCTCAGGTAACAAACTGCTTCAACGCGTGTGCTTAATTCACAGGTACGGTACTGAGATGTCATTGAAATCTGATTTAACACTCAATTCCGTCTCCTCAGGTCTGAGTGCTCCGTCTCCTAGCAACCCCTTCCACTGCGATCAGCCTCGCCTCACCCTCAACCAAATGCGACCCTCCTCCACATCGCCTCTGCCCCCCCACATGCTCTCCTACAGCCCGTCGCTGCCTCTCCCTCTGCCCCACCAGCATTTCGTCCTCCCCTCGTCTTTCACGCAACCTCCCGCCGGACTCCTGGACCTTCCCTCCAACCTGCCACAGCCCCTGCTCCCCCTTTCTCCTCGTCATGCGCAGCGCTCCCAGTCACAGACACAGAGCCACAATCCTTTCCTCTGAGGCCGCCTGCGTCTTCCTGCTCTGCAGGGTCTGCAGAGTTAGACCACAGGACGGATTCTCCTTGGATTTATTTATGCAGACTACAGCGAGAATAGTTTAAATGAGCCGGAACTGGACGTCTTTGTGCGCGCTTCAAGCGGACAAACCTCAGATCGGACGTATTTGTGTGTGTCTAAGCCACACCAGCTGCTATATACCCTGATCTCTTGAAGAAAAGTTAACTCTAACACAAACACATGTACGTACACACACGCGCGCACACACACACACACACAACACACACACGCACACACTCAGGCGCACTTAAGGGTGCATAGACACAAACATGCACAGACCACCGAACTAACAGGGTGTATCTCGACATCCCCTTTGATGCCTTTTCCCCATCAACAGTGATAACTCCAAGCACCCTTTGAGCACAGAGCCAGAACTGGTCCTTTAGAAGATCGTGATGAAGACACTTACTTTGATTGTCCACCAGGATTCACAAGGATCCTTACCGCTGCTGCTTCACCGACAAAAGCATGAATGCATCCCACCCCCGAGACTCCAAACTACTCTATTCCGATGAACACCCGAGACTAGTTCCTCAAATGAATCCTCTTTTCCTCATGGGTCAAATAGTCCCTTAAAGCTTTATTGGCACAATTGAATCACTGTTAGATTTGAAGCAGTATTCAGCACTGTGGGAGAGACTCACGTGTTCCTCCCTACATAATGATATCATTACATAATAGCAGGCTCATCAGTAACTGGTCCTGGGTTAGATACTTATTTGTGATAGCAGCCCCAAAAGGATCCTTCAAACTAGACCAAACCAGCTGAGGCCAAACCTCACTATCTCAATCTGGGCCTGAATTTATTAAGTCATTGTAACCGATCTGACCCGTGCGTCCGTCTCCACAGCCGACCACAAAGCATTCCCTGCTGGTTCATATTGCCGCCATAACGGAGGACCTCAGGGAGACTGTCCCTCCTCCAACTAAATTCAACCTCGGTAAATGGAGAGGCATTGGTCGGCAGATAAAACAACGGAAATGGGCATAAAACTGTGAGCAGACAAAATACGAGTGAGGAGGAGGGAGGAGTAAAAGAAGTAAGAGGAGAAATAAGCTAAAACGACTACAGATGATTAGTGATGTGTCAATGGCTCCTCTGGTTGTTAGGAACAAGGAATGTAACTAGAGAGATGTTTGGACATCACCGCACTGAACCTGAATGTGAAATGCCTGCCTATAGATACACAGGCCGAGTACAAATGTATTTACAGAATGATACCTATAAAGTATTATAAAATATTATGCCAATAAATGAATGGTGTTTGAATTATAATTTCTGAAGTGTTCATATGATTGATAAAATGATTCCCGTTATTGTTTTTGCAGGCAGGATAACTGCGATAGTTATTCTTTCTACGCGTGCAAATGTTTCGCTCATTCAGCAGTCAGTATTGTATCATTTCATATAATTGTTACGGTATTGGTCTTAAGTGGCTGCTGTTCAGCAAAGATTACGTAGTCTGACTGTGCAAGATCAAAATAAAAACACTACAGCTGAACATCAGGCAGTAAAACCCATTTTCTTGAAAGGATACAAACATTATCATAAAGATATGACTTAAGGTTAGGGCGTTAGTATTACCAAAGATTGGTCTTTATTGTCTTAAGTCAATTAAAGCAATCTTCCTCTGCTTTGGTGGCTTACTAGAAAACACAACCAGAGGTTACTTTTAACCGTGTAGAGTCCAGCCTGATGAAATGTCTAACACTTGTGTAGCTAATTGCTCACCAGCTGGCTGAGCAGGAAGCCTCCGTGTAACATGAGAATGCTGTTGCTGGAAGAGACGCTATATGAGCCGCGAGAGTTGTGAGTACATTTAAGGCCTGGAGAGGGAAACAAAGCCGACAGTAGCTGCCGTTTCAGATGATAATTATATGTGGATTCATCTCTCAATCCCTTTCACGTTGTCACATTTGTTAACCATTAATTGATTGTTCTGGGCAACATAAGATTCACACATACTAAATGTGTGTGTGTGAGATTGGGACTGAAAGGGCTTCTACCTTTCTTTGGCCACACACTACCAAAAGCAGTAACTAAGGTCGAATGACTAAATTGCTATTTAAGGTTCTGATTGGTCACCAAGATTTATCAGAAATGTAACAGAAAAACATCAGCGGAAACCAAAGCAAAGGTTTTCATTGAAGCTGTATTATGGAGCTCAAAAGATGGAGAACTTTGATGAGATCCATTTCTATCATGGACCACTAGATGGCAGTATTGACACTGTCATTTAACCTTCTTTTTTATATTCGGTGAATATTTTACGCCCAGGTGACCCCCCCAGATGAGGGTGACAACTATCATTCTCCAAAGAAAGGAAAGTGAAACTTTCTGCTGTCAAAGTCGTTCTCCTTGTGTAAGAAACGTAGCGTTGCTTGTGCTAAAACATCGAAGAGAAGCCCAGCATCGTGTTAAAGTGGGATAAAAAAAAGTAAATCACCTCGCTGGCTGTTGAGACAATTACTGAATCCGCAAATGCCAAAGAGGCAATGGAAATTGTACATGAACTTTTCCAAACACACCGTCCTGGATTTAGGTACGACGGTATCGGTTTTCTTGGCAGTCACTAAGTTTATTATAACTTAACTAAAGATTGATAATGGCATCCTTGGGTTCTACTGCTGGTAAAACATAAGGTAACAGGTAATCCAGTCATGCTGGTTCGCCCGGACACACTCACACACGTCTCCTCTCTTTAACGTCTGGCCTTTCTGTCCAAACAAAATCAAGTGAAGCCTGATTACGAATCCAAACAGCTGCTGTCTCAACCTCCAGTTACAGCAACCAAACTCGTGTGTACATTTGGTTTGCAAAGTTGCCATGTGGTGTTGGTTTTTTGGAGGAAGGGGTTGAATAATTATGAGAATGGTTGTGGGACTGAGTGTGGAATAATTGCCAAAGAAGAACCTGGGAAAACAAAACATCAACAGTCAGAACCTCAACCTGAACCTCTGGGTGAAACATCTGGGTGATGTAATTGCTTTTTTGTTAATCATGCATTGCTCTCGGCAATACATCTCCATTATCCAGTGCTTTGAAAAAGACTAACATGAACATTTCATAATACCTTTGATAGCTATATACTTCCATAAGAAATACAGTTTATTGCAGTTGCGTTTACACTGTTGCATCTGTACAATTAGGCCTGATTTTGTCCCAATGCCACAAATCATGCACTCAAGCATGAGAGAATGAGTCCTGATTTTGGTCCTGGTCTTTGCCCCCCCTGGAGCTGTTGTTTCTGGCCAGTCGTGAGGCGTTTGTTCAATTTCAAGAAGCATTTAGTGATAACTTTAGTTTTGTCTGATTAAGATGCCGCTGCAATGTGGAAACAATTATTCCCCAGTTAGATCTCTAAACTACATCCTGTCGCAATGGTCCCTGATTAAGGAGAAGTGTGTCCGTATGTAATATAATTCAAACTTTTTACTAACCATCAGTTGTTTTATTAGGGCAGATATAACAAAATAAATAAACTAGGATGAAATGAATTGCATTTAAAAAAAATGAAATGTATACCTAATCAATTAGTGTTCATGACTGATCTTTAAAATAATAACAGTTGTCAAACTTCACCCGCTAGTGAAGTACCATGCAGTGTGGATGAAAGCATTAAGTGGACACTTTGCTAAGACTTACTAATGATGACTTACTCTGATAAATAAACTGTATATTTCTAACAAAAGAATTCTGATTAATGATTATTTGTCAGTTTAGAAATGGGAATATCCCACATTGTGTTTTATATTTACTTGCTTACTTCTTTGGAAAGAAACGTTCAATATATGTTTTTTTGTAAACTAAGACAAAAAGCTATTTTATGTAATGTTGGTGACGTCACTGATCTTGAGGATTGACAGTGAGTTACAGCGAATCCGGCGTCCGTCCGTGTTTTGCAGGAGCCAATGAGCGTCCGGAATTCAATGTTTGCGGAAGCTGTGGAGCTGTTGCCCGCGCGGCCAGTTTTGACTACACGTTTTGCTGAAACTGTCACTCTGAGCGTCATTAAAATAATAGAGTATCGTTCAAGAAATGGCATTTTGTCGACGTGGATCTAATTCACATCGAGACACGCTTAAAACACTGCCGTTAAGGCGCAGCGCTCGTGGGTCACTGGTTTAAGTTAATCGATCGCACATCCCATATCCGACGGACTAAACAGAGGTGTCGGCTGACCAGGACGAGTCACCAACTGGAGGTTGACATGAACCCACGCGTCGCAGAGAACGAAGCGCAGCGCAGAGCCGTGGACGTGGTGCGTGATCGACTGACCCGCACAGCGAACGCTGCTCACGTGATGCTGCGAGGTCACTGACGCAGAGCAGGAGACTCTCGATGTGTCCGCTCACTCTGCGCTCTCAGCTCTACTCGTTGCAATTATCTATTGAACTTGATGATGTGCAACGTAATGCAAACAATATTCTCACACACGTTTTGTTTTTGTTTTCAAACTCTCCGTGTGTTTTTATTGTTAGCACTTAACAGTTTTATCATGTAGCACTTTGGGATTTTCTTAAATATAAAGTGCATTACAAATTAAACGTATTATTATGATTTGTTATTATTACACGTGTATCCCAAATCCCCAGCAGCTTAAAACGAACTTTTCAAATGAACTCCTGTGAGCTAATTGTGTTGTCCTTTATGTGAGATGATCTGCTGGCTGACTGTTACTCGATCTGCTCAGAGTATCATCACGCCGATGTACAATGCATCCGGTTGGCTGGATGAATGCCTGCAGGCCGTCATACAACAAGACTTCACCGGAACCATGGAGCTCTCCGTCTTTGACGACGCAAGCACTGTACGTTTGTTTGCATATTTACAGGCAGGTATGTAAACATTGAGATCTCAGTCATAGTTCAACGTGTGTCTATGTGTGTGCACGCGTGTGTTCTTTAGGATGACTCAAGGAAAGTGGTGGAGGGTTGGAAGAAGAGGCTGCAGGCGAGGGGCATCTCAGTTGTGATCTCCGGCCACAACTCTCCCCGACCCAGAGGAGGTCAGTAGGATCTTGTCAAACTCTGACCTCAGGAATTGCTTTTACATTGAAGATGAATGAGATGGTGGACAACCGAAAGGAGCTGAAACATGAGACAATTGTGTTTAATTATCTATGCAAAAGACATCTTCTCATTTTCTTGTGCTTCTTCTCATGTTCTTGTCCTTTGTGGACATTGCTCATAACTCCCCAGACCAGTTTTGGTCGGGTGTTTACAGGCAGCTGACATTGTCTGTTTCTAGAGTATCATGCTGGGAAGACATTTGAGGGAGGTCGAGAAGTGTTTGGACCTTGAGGTTAAGAATGTTTTTGTAAAAAATGCTCATAATTCAAGGAGCGGCAGAGAAAATTGAGTAATATGTGTTTGCGATCCGTAATATCTGTGATTGGGTCTTCACACAACTTTCCCTCTTGTGTAGTGTCTCGAATTAAAAAGACAAATGACATGTTATTACGTTATGTTTATGTGTTGAACAGAATAATGACTTAAACATGGAAGTAGTGAGCACACAGAGGCCCACACAAAACAATCAGCAAACACAAACATGAACATACTTCTGTTTTTCAGTGGGATATGCAAAGAATAAGGCAATAACTCAGAGCTGTGGACAATACTTGTGCTTTCAGGATGCGGTAAGTGTTAGTTTGTGTGGGTTTGTGTGTGTTTGTGTGGGTTTGTGTCAGCCAAAGCAAGTTTAATTTCACCTTCCACGTGTCTTTCATAACTCACAATAGTGAGGCAACAATAATTTGATCATATTGCTTTGTCCAAATATACATGGACACATTCACACACAGACCTCAGCAGCTCAGCGAGTGTTTGACAGACATGTCAGAACTCATGTCTAATGAGCTGAGCTTGATACATGTGTGTGTGTGTGTGTGTGTGTGTGTGTGTGCGTATTTATGTTTATATGAGTGGCAGCTCTGTCTCTGAAACAGTGCTTTGTCTGTCAAATTACTGATCTTTGTTTTTAACTGCTTAAGTTACACGAAGTTGCTCATGGACTGTTTTATGCTGGAAGAATGAAATACGCATAACAAGATTGCTTTAAAAGAAACCTGCCATTCGTACACATAATAGCTGAATGTTTGTATCTGTGACTTGATTTTTTTGTAATCCAGGACGACGTTATGTTCCCACAAAGAGTTCGTCTGCAGTATGAGGCAACTTTCCTCCAACCAAACTTCGGTAAGTTCTCCCTCAAGTATTTGCTTGCTAGCTTCCTTTCCTCCTTACCCCCCCCCCCCCTCCCCCGCTTCCTCCCCCCTCACTTGCCCTCACAGCCCATCCCTTTCTCTCTCACCCTGATCATCTGACTAATCCTTCCCCAAAAATATTCATGGCTGTGTGCGTGAGCGTGTGTGTGTGTGTGTGTGTGCGCTCGCTTCCATGCAGTTGGCATGCAGAACAGTGTGAGTATCCGGTGTTGATGCTTTCTGTGGTCTGCCAGGTCAGAGGTTAAAGGTCGAGTGTGGGAGGGAAGTGAGGGAGACAGCATGGAGACAGCGGTCTTGCCGCCCTGCACAAACAGCCTGCCTCGTTCTGTTTGCGCTGTATTATTTTAGGGTCCTGGATAAAATACGATCCTCTGTTATGTTATTCAGTTGCGTATAACCTCCTCCTTCTTTATTTCAAGCCCCTCGTTACTTCTCATTGACCTTCCTCCTCTGAGATTTGTAAGTAAAAATAAGGGCACAGCTGACGGATCACATTTGTTTTCTGACAGTCAAGAAATAACTAATTGAAGGAGTGTTTTAGCCATTTTTGAACTTTAAGTTTGTAATTCACACATCCATTTCTTCTTCTTCATCTTCTAAAGCACCATGTTATTTCTGCAAATGTTTTTTCCCCGATAGCTGATTGGCTGTAAAGTCCGGAGGGCTCCAGAGGGATCGACTGAGCGTTACACTCGCTGGATCAACACAATCACTCAGAGTCAGCTCATCACTCAGGTAAGTAGCTTCAAAAGGCTTGTGTGTGTGTGTGTGTGTGTGTGTGTGTGTGTGTGTGTGTGTGTGTGTGTGTGTGTGTGTGTGTGTGTGTGTGTGTCAGAGGTCATGTGCCAGGCATCATCCAGGTTGGACAGAAACAGGATGTCTACCTACCGTCCGCAGTTTCTACGGAAACGTGGCGGTGGCATGGACGGAGGTGGTGGGACTGGGATGGACCTCTCTGTCCATCCCAGTCCCACCAGAGCAAACGGGTCCCACTGACAGCTGTGTGCTGGGGGGAGTCGTAGTGGAAACCAGTGACATGTTTTTGTTTTTTTTCACTGACAAAAGAACTGCAGGCTTTTCTTCTGTTTCAACTGCTCCTGCAATATGTGTTTTGGTATGTAGTGCACACTGTGTGTGTGGAAGTTCCTGGAAACAAACCCATTCCCAAAGTTGAATTCACTTTCCCCACTCATCCAAGTTGCATTTCAAAGGAGATCATTTTAATGGCACAAAACTGGAAAAATTAGCTTGGCAAAAAATGCATAAAGATGAGATTAATTTGTGACCCCACTGGCAGCATTTCTATTTATGTACAGAAGGAAGTCTACAGTTTGCTGTCTGAACAAAACACACTGTTACCAAGGAAACAAGACGACCTGGACCCACTCTCCCTTTCTAACGGACACACACACACACTTGTGTTTTCATGACTATGACTTGCACTCATTACTCATTATTCACAACCAGTCTAATCATAACTCTGGTTTTATCCTTAGACCAAGTCTTCACCCTAAAATGTACTGAATAGGTGCATTTTGTGTGAATGTGTAGTCAGATGTGTGTCCCCACAAGACGGTTAAAGAGCGGACACACACACCGTCTGCATAACTCCTTAGCAGGCATTCCTGGATATTTATGTGATATTAAGTTTCATGGGGCATGAGAATGAGATCACGCATAGATTCTGCAGGCTGAAAGGCCGCTCGTTTCCCTTTCCACTTTTTTTTCCTCCCTTTCTTTGACTTTATAAAGACACAGAATCTAAACGAGTTAAAGCCGAGATTTACTCCGAATGGGGCTCCTTTAACTGGATCCAGAGGTGGACGGTTCATCTGTATGACATTAGACATGGTCATCCCAAACCTTCCCCACCACTCCGACTTCTCACATCTACACCAACTCTCCCGTTGTTTCTCTCACTCTCTCTCCTCTGGTTTCCAAGAATTAGTTCTTAGTCATGCTTTTGGCCACAGCGTCCATCTACAACATGTTGCAACATTACATCCGAGGGAGAGAAGATGTACGTAGGTGGACAACACACACACACACTCACTCCCTCACACTTTATTCTGTCCAGCTGTTCAACTGTCTGAATCCAGATGTTTTTCCCCATTTTCTTCATCTGTAATGCATTTCAGTTATGCAGCAACCAAGAACAGTCACTTTTCACACACACAAACCCACAGCAGGGGAAGCACTGGAACACAGTTAAAGGAGAAAACGTGTCAACCTTAGATGACCCATCAGATTAAAAACACAACAACACCTCTCAACAGAACACACACACACGTACAAGAAAGGAAGAAAAGAAGGGAGGTGGAGGAAGGAGGAAGCTGTGAAACGAATAAAAAGTGAAAGAAGTATAGGTGCCTAATTATGGTCCTGGAGTATTACAAAGGTTGCCGTTAGAAAGAGGAGGAGAGGTCATAAGAAAGTCATTAGTCACGTTTGTAAGACGCCGCATGCGGCTGCACTCTGACCTGTTTTATTTGCAGAATTAGACGTTTCGTAGAATTCTTCTCCATTTGACTGAAATGCCTAATAGGAGATTTCCGTGGGCGGTCAACGACATCCTGGTCGGATTGCGGCTGATATGGATGTTGTGTTCTGAGAGAGAGAGAGAAACATTTATTCACTTTAATTTAAGCAAAGCTTCTGAACTCATCTTCCACCCATTAATGGATATTTTGTCAGACTATCTTTTCTATTTCCTGACCTGTAATACAAGTAATTAGCAACTTGTCATTGCCGTCAGATCTTCACTCAGTTAGAACACTTATTGGAGGTATTGGATGAAGGTATGATCTTTCCACCACTACATGACTAAATGTAGAGTATATTGTGTCTCTCTGGTTCTTGCCCTACAAAACAAACTCTGTTTAAAATAGAGCAAGATTCAAATTATTTGTTCACATTGACCAGTAACCATGTAACTATGTGATGTACATCAGCAGTCAAATGATCGGAACTTTTAATTGGTTTGCCCTAAAAATTGTAATTCCTGGGTTTTTTGTCCAAATGTCCAGTGTTATAATCTGAGCTGTTCTCTGGTCTCAGGTGTACACGTCTCATGGGCCCACAGTCGTCATGCCGACATGGTTCTGTTCAAGGAACTGGTACCTGAAGGTTGGACCGTTTGATGAGGGGGGCAAGGTGAGGGTACACGCCCAAACGTCTTTAGAACTCCAAAACGCAGTCCAACCATCCGCCCATCCTTTGTAAGCCTCCATTATTCATGTCTATTTTTAATTTTCTTGTCAAAACTTTGCACGTTCATTACTCAAAATACATTTTGAGTGAGGACAGTACTTTGGGAGGGTGAGCTGTGCCAGTAGCGGCTGATGTAGCATTGAGCTACTAGCCTCTAGAAGACTCCATCAACTATCTTGTTTTCATACCTGTTCTTCACTCAGATTTCACACAGTTCCCTCTTCCACATCCCCAAGACCTTTACACACACTCACTATGGTGTGTGCATTTGTTGTTTGAGCTCACCTTTTAAAACAGGATGTTTTAAATCAATGGTAAAAATACTAAACATTTAACTGCTACTAACTTAACTTACCTTTACTCAGTCGTCTCATGTATTACACTTATGAACTGTCATCTCCATCCTCACGCGCTACCTCCTCCTCCCCAGGGAGTCCCAGAGGACTTGCTCTTCTTCTACCAGAGTCTTCGTCAGAGAGGGGGCGTGGCCAGAGTCGATCAGTGCCTGCTGGTGTACCGCTACCACGAGAAGGCTGCCACGCACTCTGTAACAGAGTCAGTCTCACTACGCACACCTTTCCCTGCTGCGCACACACACACACACACACACACACACACACATATATATATATAATCCTCTACATACTCACAGCTGCCAGCTGGCATCTGATCTTCTCAAGGCTTGATTCTTTTAACACACAAACAACAGAAGATTTCCAGAATATGTTGGATGTGGAATTCCAGACACTTTCCCAGCAAATGAATCAGGGATTTCAACCTCTTCACTTCCCTCTGTGGAATGTTCAGCATCTCTAAGACGCTGTGGAAATCTGATCTGTTGTGAGCCCTGTTGGTGTGTGTGTGTGTGTGTGTGTGTGCATGAGTAAAAGTGTGTGTTTGTGTCTGAAGGATCAGACCCTCCTGCTGCTGCCTCTGCTTCAGCAAGGTCATGTAGTGTCTGTAGCCGCGTGTGAGCGCCTCAAATGTTAAAACACACCAAAGGAGATGGTCTTTCCTGCCCCCCCCCCCCCCACACACACACACACACACACACAGACCTGCCTCGCCTTCCTTCTCTATTTCCTTCTCTAATGCGTATGTCTTCCCGTGTTGACGCACTCCTTCACCGATCCTCCTCCTCGGTCTTCATTTGTCACCTGTCTATTTTTGGATACTTATTTCAAGCTTGCCTTTCCTACTTTCCACGTCCCCCTCTTTTTGTTACCCCTTCCCATCCATAGCCTGCCTACTTCCTCTCTTTAGCCAAATAAAACCATCATCTTCTCACTGTCTCTCACACACACACACACACACACACACACACACACACACACACACGCACACACACACACACACACACACACACACACACACACATTGTGAAACTGTGAAGGGTCTCTTAGTGAGGTGAGAAAGGCTTTAAAAAAAGTTAAGTATGGTGCCAAATAGTAAGAGGGAGGCTTCTGGACACAGAGAGGCTGTGTTTATGCTGCGCATGTGGAACAGAGTGCATGAAAGTGTTTGCATTTGATCCACAGGGTGTTAGGAGGATGAAGGCTTCAGTGTGTGTATACAGATACAGATTACAGTAAATCTCTGCCACATTACTTCCATGTCTTAGAATCAAAGAGCAAAGAGAATGTCTAGAAAAGGAATCCGGAGACCACCCGCGATAAACCACGGTGGTGGGTTTGTTTGGCATATGAGGCCCACTGTTAGACCCAGTCAGGCGCTCACATCAGGAGATGAGAGCAGAGAACCTTCCGTGATTGTGTCCATATAATTACTCAACAGCGGTGTGTGTGTGTGTGTGTGTGTGTGTATTTGTACTAGGGAGCGAGACCGTGTAGGAAGAGAGTAAAAGCATGAATGAAGTTCATGTGAAGGAAGGTGCGTGTGTGCATGTGTGTGTGTGTGTGTGTGTGGCCTGTACACAGCTGTGTATACCAGTCAAAATATAGGCAGCAGCAAAACAACTTAATCTAAAAAAGGCACAATTTTCAAAATAGTCAAAATTCACAGAGATTAAAAGCAAAGTATGAAAAAATGAAACCTTGTTTTCACTCTGAATAAACAATCTTAACAGTTTTAGTTATTTTTAAAGGACCTTCTGTCCGTCCTCCATTCATCTCCTTTTCCAGGGAAACCATTTGGAAGCTGAGAGTTGACTTCCTGCAGGAGCAGGTTCTCAGCCGATGGGAGAGCTTCACCATATGGAACGCTGGGAAACAGGGCCGCAAGCTGTTCCGAAGTCTGAGCCCGACCAATCAGGAGAGGGTATGCTACCTCAGATGCAAAGTCAGATGTGAGACATACTGTATAGAATCGGTGGAAAAGGCTTGGGGGGGATGTGAGTTTGTGCCAACGCCTTTCTGCTTCATTTATCAGGTAAAAGCTTTTTGTGATGTCGATGACAACAAGATCAAGAAAGGCTTTTACACATATGAGGAATCCAAGGTGAGACCAGCCACCGGGTCACCAAATACAACATGTTCATTGATGTTCAATGGAACAGGCCCAGATCCAAGCGATGATTCAAATAAATGGTCATCCAGTGAATTAGAATTTTATTTGAAGCTGTATCACGGTGCCTTGGTGGTTATCACTGTCGCCTCACAGCAAGAAGGTCCTGGGTTCGACTCCGCCCAGTGGCCTTTCTGTGTGGAGTCTGCATGTTCTCCCCGTGTCCGTGTGGGTTCTCTCCGGGTACTCCGGCATCCTGCCACAGTACAAAGACATGCTCTGGGGATCAGGTTAATTGCCCCTAGGTGTGTGAATGGTTGTATGTCTCTGTGTAGCCCTGCGATTGGCTGGCGACCAGTCCATGTACCCTGTCTGGGGAAGTTGGCTGGGATGGACTCCAGCCCCCCTGCGACCCTGTGTGCAGGATAAGTGCAGGATAAGGATAAGCGGTTTGACGATGGATGGATGAAGCTGTATCAAACAATTAGCAAGTAGTAGTAGTATCTTGTTGTCTTGTTGTCATATGCATATACTCTTTATTTTGATATTCTGCAGCAAAGACCAAAGCCCAAAATACCAGTTCTGCACTACAAAGACGCCTCCGCTCCCTTCGTTATCTGTGTTAAACTGGTGAGTAGAAAACCTGTCTGCGTGGTGTCGAGTTTTTGACGGCGTTCCCAGAGGTCTTGTTATTTAAATAAAAAATATAATGATCAAGAGAGCACACAGGACATGACACACACACACACACACACACACACACACACACACACACACACACACACAGTGGGCAGGCAGGAAACGGTAGAGACAACACCCTGGTTTTTGATCACATGACGGTCATACAAACATCTGATATTTTTCCACTGTTTAGTTTTTTACATTTTGCACAGTTTATATTTATTGCAGTAGCTTAGCATTTCCCTACGGTAACGAGTTTTTATAGTCTCTTTTTAGTCAAGTTTAAAATGAAAAGAAGATAAGACACACACACACACACACACACATTCTGCTGTTTTGGCAGCCAAATCACTAATTGCCTATTTATCACCAAGCCAGACGTCAAATCTAGACGGACCCCACCTACGGGGGCTACTAATTGCTCAATTATGGGAATTGGGAGAAGTGATTATTTTCAAGGAGACCTGGACTCAATCATTCTTCCTCTCCCGTACTCTGTGACACACATTCACACACTTAACACCTGGACTGACTCACACAACTTTATTTGTATTCTCGAATAACAAATATTTAAATCATTTCAACTTTTTACATTTTCTATGGTCGCACTTATTGTATTGTTGTTGACTAAACTAGTGCAAAAGGCTAAATCTTTACGGCATTGCAGTTAATACTGAAGCCAACCGGACCTTCATTAATGAAAATGGAAGCGTTTAATTGCAAACAAACATTCTTCCTAATGTGCTCTTTTGTGTGGATGTCTTTTTTATAGCCTTGTTGTTTCTGTGATGTTGTTGTTTCATATGAAGGACATGACGGGAGGCGTTCTGGAGGAAAACCTCAACTCCTTGCTGCTCGAGGAAGGAACCGACTTTTACCATTTCAACTGACGGAGGAGTAACGGGAGGAGCCCTGCAGCTCAACGTGCTCAGAGGAATGCACTCAACCTGAGGGAGAGACAGGTTGATGCTCAAAGGTAAAAGATCTGCTGATGAGGCCCAACAGTTCATCCCCCGCTCTGTTTCCTCTGCCTCACATCCAACCCACAACACTTGGATGGTTATTAGTTATCAGCCATGGCCGAGGAAAGCACCGCTATCTGTTGTATCCGTTTGGCTCCCTTTTGTCGGGTCGCTTCATAAACATTAACGTTTGTGTTAACGGCGGATGGGTTGCAGTAGGTGAAACATCATTAATGAGAAAATGTTTTTTTGCGTTCTCTATAATGTGAAGCAGAGCAGATCTGCTGTTTCCTGCTTCTTTGCAGGAAACTTCTTTATGTCCCTTTATGTTTTCATCAGGCTGATGGAAGCCTTTCTAAATATTAAGTAAATTGTTTAATAAAATGCTCATACATCAAATGATAAGGAATGTCCTCCTTTTGTGATTGAACTACAAATAAAAGATTTTACATATATGTATTATGCAATAAGGACATGACGACTGCCAATGTCGACCATTGGGGGAATAAAATATTGTTTTTCTAAACCTGTGGACTGAGATTGCTATTGGCTGAGCCTGTACACTTCACTTGTGTCGAAATAAATCGAAGTTGGTCGGCGTGTCATCACAGAAGGTTTCACTTTATAAAAGGGTGGGATGTTTTATGACTGAAATCCCACCGGTTTCTCAACAGTCTTCTCTGATGCAACCATGCAAAATCAGATCCACGCACACAGCTGCTGCAAATGTACAAGCATGGATACTGCGCGTTATTGTTTGTCTTTCCCTGGGTCTCTTATGAAATCTAAAGAACAATAACCTCTTAGAGAGCACAGTTCTGATACATAAACAGGCTCAAAAGGTTTATTTTACCTCACAGGGTGCAGAGTTTCTTCTGGCCGAAGGTAAACAGACCTTTCCCCACAAAATCTCCCCGGTGTTTCCTGGGCCGGCGACGTGGTCGGCTTTACTGTAAATCCGGCCGCAGCCGTCAGTTGGAGGGAGCAGTGTCAGTAAAAAACATCGGAGGAGGAGGGGGGGGGGGGGTCTTCAACTGTGCCAAAGTTTTATTTTCACTACCTCTGTTTGTTATCGTGAACTGAACATACGGTTGCACAGTGGTGTGAATTCACAGAAACACTGTTCCATGTACTTGGGCTTCAATTCGCTGAGTTTAATCAATTGCAGGACTGTTTGGGTCTGACTCAGCCGGGGATTTGAGGTGGAAACCCCCCAGGACTCTGCCACCCACAGCACAGGGCTGTGGAGGGGCCGAGAAAAACATCTCCACCTAGCCGCCTCTTCTCTGTCTGTGTTTCACTTCAACAAGAAGTGTGATTCTTTACAGCATTCGACTATGTATGTTATTGATGGTTAAAAAAATGAGTCAATAGCACAAAATGTTCCTTACATTTCCCTAAAACCACAAGTGACAGATTGAAAAGGCTTTTTTTCCAGAGATGTTTAGGTTATGGTCACATAAGACAGATGGAATCTTTAGCCTAAAACTAATCAGCAAATCTTGAAAAGTACGTACGATAGCAATCGTGTCTCAATTAATCGATCAAAAATCAACTAAACATTTTTTTCACTGGGCCGGCCAGCAAACCCAGCGCGGTCTTGCCCGGTCAGTTGATCGGTCCATCACATTCTGAGGGAAATAGTTATTTGTTGCCATTTATATTTAATGTATACACGGTGGAGCTATAAGGTGCTTTGGAGAAATGGTCACTGAAAGGACGGCAGATATTTCATATTGGAACAAACCCCGGTGATTTGTTTAAGTAAGGCCACGCTCTGTCCAAATACACTCTCCTTTACCCACTCCGCCCTGATGATGAAGCACTTGGTAGATGATCAGAGCGAGCTCTAATGGACAATCTATGAGAGACACTCGGAAAGAGAGTAAACAGAGCTTTACTCTTTGTCTACTCTGACTCTCTGCAGACATCAGACCTGATAACACACACACACACACACACTGAATGACCCTGACCCCGGTGCCTTCTTGCCCTAACTGGTCAAATAAGCCTGCATTTGTGTGGAAGAAATGCGCACACACATGTGCACTTAGAGGGCTGTGTGTTCTCCGGCAGTACAGCTGATAAGAGGAAGAGATAAGAGCCGGGTGTGTTTGGGTGAAGAGAGCTGGCAGAGGTCAGACACTGGAGGCTTTTTATTCACATGGAACTTCACCACATTCCTTTGTTTCAACATCTCTCTATTTACAGATGCATGGTGTGTGTGCGTGTGTGTGTGTGTGTGTGTGTGTGTGTGTGTGGGCGTGCAACAGTAAGTCACACCCAATTCTACGCAGCATAAGAGCATTGAATCTTACCAATGCATCTGTTTTACCATGATAATACAATTTCACTTGTTATAAATTCCCTTTTGATAAACCAACATATTGGTAATTCAGCCTGAATCACTTGCTGAGCCATCTCAGCTTTAATGACACTTGGTGAAGAGAAATTTGCTTTAGAATCATTTCATTTGTAGATGTATTATTGGTATCAACAAGTGTACTACGTGTATTATAAGAAATATTACATATTATGAATAATTATGTTTTCATTAGTTTACAAATGATAGTGGACGATAATTGCATAGCACTTTTAGTCTTCAGACTACTTGAACGCTACATTTCATCATTCACACATTCACACCCTGCAAGGTGCCGACTGCCCATCAGAGGACCAGTAGGACACATGGACATGGACACGCAGAGCCGGGGATCGGACCGCAGATCCTCTGTTTGATGGACGACTCCGCTCTACAATGACCAATAACAGAGCTCAGTCTTTGTTGCCTTAGAATGAGATGTTTATTTCTCCATCGGAAGCAGATGCTCTTTGGGCTCCGTGTAGCAACACTTCAAAGTCAGGCACAAGAAAACAGTCCCAACCATTGTTCAAATGGACCAGAAAGGACTTAGTGCGTCAGCATCTGCATTATCGGTATATTTTAGGTTTGACGTGCTGCGGGTTCCATTGGAGGTGTGAAAGGTATTTTTCAGCTGGGTTTGAATGGAAGCATCTCTCTGCTTCACGCAGTCGGCCTGAAAACGTCTTCTGTAGTCCATAATCTCTTCTCTGTTAGACAGAATGAAGTTCTGTAAGATGAAAAGGTGACGTTCTCTTCCGCTTCTTTAAAGAGGCTTTGGTGCCTTTGAGCAAGGCACCAAAGCCTCTTTAAAGATCTCTTGCAGCTGCTCGGTAAAGATTTTAAAAAGAGAGAGCAGTGCTGTGAGTGAGTAATGACTTAATTAAAGTCACAAAGATTGTAATCAGAGACGGAGGAGAGGAATTTGTATGTGTGTGTGTGTGTGTGTGTGTGTGTGTGTGAGAGGAGCGTTCCTCCTGTGGGGCTGCTTGAGGGGAGCCAGGGTGATGGGGGGGGGAACAGGCCAGAGGCTCTGCTGCTCTGTAAATACTTCACATGGTGAAGGAGCACATGGGGTCAGACGGCACCTCGGCAGCTCAGACTTCCTGCGTTGTGATGACGCCCAGTGACCTGCAGCCTCCGGGCCGCTGGGCTTCAGTCCAGTTCATGTGTTTCTGCTCCAGTGACGGGACGGAAAGGCCGTTGATGATACAGGGATACAGCTGAGTATGTGAGACAGAAGAGAGAGACAGAGGTGAAGACAAGTCAGGACACCTGACCTATAGGATCCGTCCAAGAACTCGTATGTAATAGTTGCCTTTATGTACCTTGGAAACATCTGAGTAAGTTATGATGGTTTTAAGTACAAGTGATGAAGGTTTTATAAGTTGCTAATGTGAAAAAAAACGATGCGAATGCTCATTAGAGCTCCCATCATTTGGGGACGCTGGTCTGTGACAAGTTCACCCTTTATTTGTGCAGCAGTCATACACGTTGAGATCCACGGATGATTTGTTTTAATTTGCATTATAAAATGTAAATTATATTTCTAAAAATGGCTATTTTAATGACTCCTGATACTTAAACGGAACGGCACTATAGCGGTGTTGGAAATCGCTATAAGTGTGTGTGTGGGGGGGAGAAGGGGGGAGAAGGGGGGGGCTGTAAGGGAGTCTGTGTTTCGGTATTTCTCGAAATGCGTGACATGTCTGTGGCCGTGTGGGGGAATGTGACGAGTCGGTAACGCGCTTGCTGTTCCGGCTGTTTTCTCACGGGAAAACCGGCCGAGAAGCAAACAGACGTTTGGAGGTCACGTGTGACTTCTTTTCGCCTCAGAGGTCGGCCGGTGAAGAGACGCTTTGTTACACAGCTGCACTCTGCGAGAGGATTAAATCAGGTAACACGGCGAATGGCAGAAACGCATTCCTTCCGTTTAAGTATTTGTACGGTGTCTGCTGTTCCAAACCCACATGCTGCTCCCATTTGCTCCGCGATAATATGACCCATCTGCGTAGGAAGCGGAAAACACACGCACACACGCACACACACACACACACACACACACACACACACACACACACACACACGCTCACTTTGTTTCCCCCGTGCCGTCGTTTTATTTCGGCTTTTGGCCAAATCGACCACGTGTCTCTTATTATTTCACGTATGTTTTTTGCTTTCCTACAATCAGTCAGCTGCCCCGACACACACCGAGTGCCCCGGACCGCTCTGCAGCCGCTCCAGTGAAAGCGTTTAACGGGATCCTCTCTCTCTCTCTCTCTCTCTCTGCGCGCGCCCCCCCGCGGCGGGACGCGTGGGCGTGGTTTGGAGCGTGTCGCTCAAGTGGAGTCTGCAGCTGGCACGCGTCCCCGGTGACGTGACGCAAAGCGCACGCAGCAAATGTGTTTCCAACAGTCCGCCGTCCCGATGGGCGAGATCTGCACTTCTTCTACGCAGCCCTCGTCGACACGTCGTTTCCTAACCACCAGCGCAACCTTCGCCTGGACTGAACTCGCCATGTAGAGGACCGCGTGCTGCACGCAGTTGGATCTATATACATTTATAATTTCGACATTTTTTTTTTCGGGATCCTGCGGTTCGGGAGCAGCGGGTCGACTTGCTGGTCCGGTGTGCGGGATTCGGTGAGCGCCGGGAGGAGGACCGGCGGGGGGGGGGCCGGACAGGCCACCATGCTCCGGCCGTGGGCTGCGCACTGGGTCACGGCGGTGCTCCTGTGTCGGGCGGTGGCGCAGTACTCCAGCGACCAGTGCAGCTGGAGAGGAAGGTGAGGATGAGGCGGGACAAAGGGCGCATCCGTCCCTGTTTAGCAGCAGCTATCACACTGGAAACACGCACCTAGCATAGAACTCAGGGAAGTAGTCGACATGTTAGTTAACTCCTTTGAAGAAAAGTGCACTTTCAGTTTTTATCTTCCACTTTCATGCGTTTTGGACTTTCGTGGCTGTTACATTTTGCAGATGCAGGGGAGTCGTGAAAGGATCTCAGTGAGAGGGAGGGAGGATGCGTCTTTGAAGTGGCTCTTGTTTGCATTACAGCTTGGGGATTTTTAAGGGCTCAAAAGAGAATTAGTCGCATTATTTTGTTTTAGATTTATGTAATCTCCAGGAAGGACTCTGGAAGGTCAAAGTTTATTCTTTATCTGAGATCCACAATGGATGTCGCTGTGTGCCAATTCATTGTGCTTAGTGCTCAGCCAATTCATGGGGTGAGAAATCCAAAATTCACACTATCTTAATTAAAATCTTGGATATACAATTACTCTTTGCAGAGGACAATTAAACCACAAGGATGACAGAAACCAATTACACATGGACGGGGGATTCTTTCATGTAGCTTTGAGAGATAAACTTATATATATCTAAAATATGTTCCCTTTGGGAAGATTTGGGAAAATATGGTCTCGGGAATGACTCTGCTTCAGTGCCTATCTCAAGTAAATACACTTTTATGGCTCCTTTGATCACTCCCCCAAGTCCTGAAGTCGTAAAATATGAAAGCCCACGCACCACACTGTGTGTCGGCCGCCAACCTTTTACGACTTAATAGGCCACTGAGTTTCCCGATGTTGATAAAGCTTAAATGCACATCGGAAACAAGCAACCACATCCGTCCAAAGTGAGAGGTGGGTTTTTTTTTCGTTTGGCAGACAGCTGCACCGAAGTTCCTTGTGATTATTGCTGCAGTATCATTAAATCCCTTCCATGTGCTTCTGTAACAATGTTTTTATCACCTGCACATGGTCAGTGGTTTATAATCCTGAATCCAAGGTTCCCCTTTGTTGGTCGGTTGCTCTAAAGCTATATTTTCATCTGCAGTGGTCTGAGCCATGAGTCTCACCGCAGGGACGTGGAGCAGGTCTACCTGCGCTGCTCTCAGGGCTCTCTGGAGTGGCTCTACCCCACAGGGGCCATCTTTGTCAACCTGCGGCCAAACACGGAGCCCTCGTCGGGACACACGGCGGCTCTTCACGCGTGCATCAAACCCTACACTCACTCCCAGGTAGAGTAATGACATCAGCATGTTACCATGGTAGCGTGACGCATGGAGCTCACGCGTGTCCTCCTGGCCCTCCACGTTCAGGGCTCTCATGTGTATCTGGAGCATGACGGGGATCTGAGGATGCTGCTGGCGGAGAAGGACCAAGCTCTGGGCACGGTGCACTGTTTCAGCCCGGCAGAGGGAGCTCTCTTTGTGGAGGCCGTCCCACAGGCAGACATCAGCCGGAGGATCACGGCGTTCCAATATGAGCTGGTGTCCAGTCAGGGGCCCGGAGCGCACTTGTTCCCATACATGCACCCTGGTTTAGGTAAGACATGTGACTTAACTATTCTTCAATATATATAGATAGATAGATAGATAGATAGATAGATAGATAGATAGATACTTTATTGATCCCTCAAGAGGGAAATTTTGGTATCACAGCAGCATGTACAGGGAATATATATACATATATGTTCTCTCACATTTAGGATACAATCATTTAAGCACCTTTACTCAATTTTTGTACGTATTCACCCCTTTATAGATACTTGTATTTTAATTGTATGCCACCTTATACCTCTATAACACTAAAACTAAAAATGAAACAGATATAGTTACTTTTCAGATGATCATTTTCATGAACAAATTATATCATCTAACTACTTAAGATGTGGGACCATCAATTAAAATACCCAAGTAGTTAAAATTAGTTTCACTTTGACCAACTGCAGTGTGAAAGTTTAGAATACATTAATAGACTAATGACAATAATCCGAAAGGTACATTAATATAATATTAATAGCGCCCGTTTTTTAAAATTTGTACTTTCGAAAATGTGTAACTTTCGATATTCTGTATATTCGATATTTCGATAATCTGCTAAAACGTATATACTTTTACTTTATTGGATATTTTGTATTGAAGTATTTCATCTCATCATACATTTCAATACTTCGTCCACTTCCTTGAATTAACTTTAACAAGTCAACAATGATTTTTCCACAACTGTTCATGCTTGCTATTCATTTGTCACCAGAAGAACTAATAAGCTACATAGAAGGTTTTAGCCTGTTTGTGCACATCCAGTACAATATATAAAAGATCAAAACGTTTCCGCGACATGTTTCCGCCTCAGCTCATGTTGCAGAAAGTGTGACCGAGGCTTTTCTGTCTCAAGTAACTTTCAGTTTGAAACTGTCTGTTTGCACATTTATTTAACCGGTTAAAATGGTCTGTCCAGCATGTCTGTCACATGGCGTCTTGTCATTGACGTAAAGTGAAGGCGACGAAAGACCACGTTACCGTTTCACCCCTTCTTCTTCATTTCACTTCCATGCTGACGCCCTCTCCTCCCCCCATTTCCCCTGTCTCAGTTCAACTTATGAAAACAAGCATGCCAATCAAAAGGTTACTCTAGGGTCAAGCACGCGAGTCAGACAATTGTCTCTCGTCTGTCAATCAAGAACAGACCTCCGCCCCCCGAAGCAGGGCGGTTTGAGTAGCCCACCCGTATGAGTAAGGCGTTGTGGTGGAGAAGAAGGTTGGACTCCTCACTTAATGAGACAGAAGAAAGCCTGTTCAACTCTGTCGCCTCTGTGTTTGGCCGTTTTATAGCTGTTTTTATAGCTGACAGGGTCAAAGGTTAATTCTGTGATTACGTCTCTTCCCTCACCCGCTGTTCTCATTTACTCTCTGGAAGTCTCCTTTGTCTCGTAAACACTCGCCACCGCAGAGTAATTAAAGCGAGGGACACAGACGAAGGGGCGAAACATGGTGATACAAAATGACTAATGAGGAAAGAAATGCATCGTAAAAGTATTGAACGTTTCATGTTTTCTTTGTTCTTGTTTTCCATTGTAGTCACCTGTAAACCCTGTTCAGATGAAGACGTCCTGATGGCTGTGTGTACCAGTGATTTTGGTAAATGCATCTACACAAAGGCACGCATACATATTGTATAGTTTGACAATATGAATTTACATCCACTAGTTAGCTTAGCTTAGCATAGGGCATGCTAACTAACACATAATATCTAGTTTGTTAAATCTGCACAGAAACCAAATTAATACTAACAGAAATAAGGTGTTTTTTCTGGGGGGGTTATGTGCTGGGACCAGTTACCGTGCAACCAGCAGAGACTTCTGGAATCCAGTACTTTCAGTCCTAATGCTAAGCTAAGCTAATTTGCTCTAGCTACATATTTACCATACAAACAAGAGAGTGAATCCTCTCGACAAAAGCGCAAATGAAAATCTAACAGTCAAACCTCCAGTAAAACTATTTAGTCTTCACTCAACTGGCCATTTGGGAAACTAGTGGCAACAACAGGATAACAACACATATTTCTCTCATGTCTTAAGGGTATTATTTTGTCATCTGAATGAGCTAAAATGTGCTGTAACAGTATAGTAAAGTACACAACACAAGTAAAGTTAGAAATTTAGCAACATAACTGTGACACGGATGCTAGCATCAGCCACCGTTACCTACTTGTCATCAAACCATGTAAATTATTTTATGGCTTATTAATTCATTTTTAAGGCAATGTATTGAGTCCTTTTTCATCATAGTCCCTCTTTACTTCATACACTTTGATTTTTTGACTAGTACTGTCAGGCTCCTCTTGTTCATCCCTCCTGTTCTTGCCCTGCAGCTGGCAGCGGCATCTTTCGAGGAGCTCCCTCAGGTGCCACCGACCACTCTCCCGCTGTGGTGACTCTGAGTCGACTGTTTCGCCAGAAGACCAGGGTGTTTGCTTGGGGTGGAGCCAGAGGGCGAGGTTGGAGTGGACGTATCAACGTACCCGCACAATGCAGTGTGCAGCCTGTAGGCGATGAGTACCTTTTGACCGGCTCTGTCCATTTTGGCGACGCCTGGCTTGGCTGTGCGCCGCGCTACAAGGACTTCCAGAAGCTGTACCTCACAGCACAGAAAACGGGAAGAAACCCCTGTGAAATAGACACAGACTGAGGGATCTCCTCCAAACACGGTGGAGCGCCTCACCAGAGAGTCGGCGAGGATGACACATTGAGGAACAAGCTGAGATTTGGGCGACGTCAGCTCTGAGCCTGGCAGAGAGATGTGCAGGGTTACAAAACCCCGGCCATCATTGAAGGATAATTCTGCACAATTTTTTCAATGCTACACAACTTGCAGTAGGAAAACACGGCTGTGCAGTTTGAACATTTTGGCCGATGAGCTGCAAACTAAATTGTCCTCATTTGACTGAGTGTGTGTGTTTATACATGGATGAGTGCATCAAATGAATGACGATGAGCTTAAGTTAATTTTGTGCCTAACTGGTTCATGTTTTTATTCTCTTGACTATAGTGCTGATGTGATCATTCTTGAAATGATTGTTTGCTTTGTAAAAAGCTTTCTGTAAAATGTAGGAGTCTTCTGACAGAAGTGTACAGTATGCAGCTCTGTGAGTCTTTATGTAAGTGTGTGTGGGTTCAGCTAATACGTTCAGAGGGTCTTTATATTTACAGAAAATAAAAATCCATCCTTTAGCTTGTCTTTCTGTGGAAGTATACGCTTGATCAATCCATTGATCTATCTTTGAGTGAGCCTGTATACTGGGGATTTTCACATTAATACTGTGTATCTTACTGTATTGACGAGTAGGGAAATCCATATCACGGTATTAAGAAATATTCTGAGGGATCCCGGTATATCGCGGCATTGCTTTTTCAAGTAAACACATTGATTGACGCCGAAAAGGACCGCAGCCACCCAAACAGCTGTTTGCCCTTGCTGGCCAACTTGCTGCAAAGCGTGTTAGCTTGTTGTGGCTGCAAACAGCTGTTGCCGGTGTTACACCCCTACTGGTTTCCCTACGCGTGCGTGTTTGTGTTTACTCCACAGCTGCAGATGTGTCCGCCTCAGTTTCCTGATTCGTCACACATTCACAAACACATTGCTGAAAATCTTCAAAACGCATCACAAATCCATTGCAGTGTTTACGATTATATAAGTGAGCACCACATCACAGCCACGTATAAAAACATGTATATAAAATAATATATTAATGGAAAGATCGGCACGAAACATCAGTCATTTCTATTGCTATTAATACTTCAACTACTACTAATGTTATTACAAATACTACTATGGCTAATAGTATTAGTATTACAGCTGTTTCTACTGCTATTGATACTAAACCTACTATTGCTGCTTCTACTGCTAGTACTACTAATACCACAATTACAACTATATATTAGTTATACTAATATTACTACAAACAATGTTAAACCTCTTTAACCTCTTTTTTATTCATCTCAGCTTTTGTTATTTCTGTACTATTTAAAATTCATTTAAGCTCCTGCAACTGTATTTTTTTTTTCAGCAGTTCTTTAAAATAATTTCAGCTTTTTTTATGCCTGTATTAACACCAATGTTAATATTTATTTCTGTATTTTTTTTTGTGCAATATTTCACATTTCAGCTGTTTTCATTTCTGCATTTTCAGCAAATCTATTGAAATTCCTTTCAGCTTCCCCCATATCTATATTTTCAGCAATTTCAAATTAATTTCAGCTTTTCTAATATCTGTAATTTCAGCAAATGTATTAAAATTCCCTTCAACTTTCTGTAATTTCAGCAATTTCAGGTTGCAAGTTCATTTCAGCTTTTTGCATTCCAACGCATTTTCAGCAGGAAATGCTTTTTCTAGTTAGTGTAACACATTGTTTATGTGTTACAAGCTGTTGTGTTGTGGTGTTTTACCCTGTTAAAGAGTGTTTGTTGTGACTTATTCATTGAGTCATGGTTATAACTTTATAACAATCTCAACACACATAAGACAAGTACCTCCGACCGCCGAACAGCTAAGGCCGTTGTTATGGAGTAACAGACGTACGTGAGAAACTCACACTGTCAGGGATGCGGGTGGGAGGCAGGACTCAAACGCAGACTTGTCAGGAAAACAAAAGACTTTAATAGTCAAAAAGCCAAAAACACAGGAACCGGGAGGAAAAACAGCAGGCAAGAAACTACGGCTATCCACAACAAGCGACAAGAACATGCGTGACGAAAGACGATGACGCGACCAGTGACACAAGAGACACACGGCTTAAATACACAAGGGAGGTGCAGGTGATTGGACACAGGTAGAAACTATTAGACGATCACAGGGGATGACGGGACAAGGCAGGAAGTGAAGTTACCCGGGGACACAAGTGGCAGAAAACTACAAAATACAACAGGAAGTGAACCACACCGTGACACACACCGTACGGAAATCTTATACTTGTGTGCTGTTAGAACTATACCGTGCGGCCCTATTGAAAAGTACGACCAGCTTCTCTGCCATCAAAGATGCATTATCCATCTAACTTCTCAGCAGAAAAAATAGTTACTGTTCAGTGACTGTTTGCTGGGAAGAGAGCAGCCGTGCGTCATTAAAGGCGGTGCGTCCCCCGTGGAGCCTTAAAGGAGACTCCTCACGCTCCTTAAAGAGCAGTTAATTGGGGACGGCTCGACCCAAGACAGAGGCGGTGTTCCCATTTGGGAGAAAGCAGGTTTTGTGTCATTGCTTGAGGTTGTGGTTACAGTTCGGGTGAGGTAAGTCGACACGAGATGAAAGCAAGTCAATGTTATTTGGCCAAAAATGGCTCAAGTAAATTTGTGTTCCCACACCTTTCCCAAGACAGCCAGCCACTCATACGGCCTGACTTAAAATGAAACCTTCAACATTCTGTATTTTCACAGAGGCCCTTACAGCTATTATAACAATATTATTATTATTATTATTATATAACAAAGCACTGTCTGTTGGATGGATGTTTAACACTGTTAGTGCTTTAAGGGCGGAGAGCTAGAAGCAGAGGCGGATGTGTGAATGACCTTAGTGGAGTGTGCGTGCACCTCTTTTTCCGCCGGCTGCTAGCAGTTGTATGGGCGTGAACCTTTCCCTCTTTCAGGAAGCGCAAGAAAGGATGGCATTGCCCCCCCCCCCCAAACACACACACACGCCTGATTTTAAAGGCTGGCGCATGAATAATAGGTCACGCATGCGTCTTTACGCACCGTTGCGTCGACGCACTCGTTTCACTTCATGATTCTAAAGTCTTGCGTGTGTTTCAGAGCAATTCACCGCCAGAACAACAGGCGCAATAACGTGTTTTTGTTGAAGACGACATAGAGAGTCACGTCTTTGTGTGTGGAAGTCGTTGGTTTGTTTGTTTATTTATCATAGACTTTATTGCCCCGTGCATCGACACTGCTGCTTTTCATCGCGGACACATTTGTCCCGTATTTTCCTCCACAAGTTTGTGCACCTCTCGACCGGCAAACCGGCGTTTATCATAAATTTTAGATGAAGATGAAAGTTATTTGACTGTAAAGGGGCGTTTGTGAGACATGTCCCTGGTCAGTGAGGTTTAATATAAGGATGGATAGAGTGCCCCTTTGTGGTGGTATTGTTAAATTCATATCCATCTGATTATAGTGAAGGTAATTGTATTTTCTTTGTCTCACCGACATTAGATCATCATCATAATCACATACTCTTCCTTCACATTCATATGAATACAAACTCAACAAACAAACAAGTCAGTCATTAAAAGATTCACTTTAACAGATGCAACTTTGATGAAAACATACAGTATGTGATAAAAAAGAGGAAGTGAGTATTCATCATTTCCGTTGTCAGCAGAAACAAACTGTGGGTGAAACAGATTAATATCAGGTTTTCCGTTTCTGTTTCTTAGAAACTGCGATGCAATAACGTGAGGATGTGGAGCCTTCGTAACAGGTTCTTTACCCTGTGCAGTAAGTTCTTTCATTATATTCCTTATTATAATTAGTAAATTGATCCATGTTTGTCATTTAAATATGGCAGACTACATGCCTCAACATTGTTTTTATTGATTTTATTTTAACAGCTTTAACACATCTGCTATTTATAAGTAAGATAAGAACTTGTTTTATATACATCACATCATCACACATTTATTTAAAAGGGACCATGTGCCGTTCAAAACATAAATATCACCATTTGATACAACAGATTTTAGGTTTAAGATCATTTGCATCCACGTACATACAAATATGTCCCATATTTTTTTTTTTCAATCCATGTTTTCTGTCAACAGTCGCTCTGAGCTGTGTGAGCAGTGCAGCAGGGGTGATCCGTGTATATGGATATGAGAGGGGACAAGTTCAAGTTTCTTGTCCCTATGGCTCTGGTTATGAGTCCTATGAGAAGTACCTGTGCAAGGATCCCTGCGGCTACGATGAAGTTCTTATTAAGACGACAGAACCTGATAAGAACAAATACTCCAAACACGATGACCATCAGCAACGAGTCTTCACAGCGACTATCAATAATCTGACTTTTGCCGACACAGGAAAATACTGGTGTGGCATCACAAAAAGAGGAACAGATATCTTCACTGAAGTAGAACTGGAAGTAGTTCGAGGTATGTAAAACAAACAAACAGAGCCCAGTCAGTATTTCAGTTTTTATTTAAAGATTATTGGTTAATTGTACGTTATTACAATTTTGAAGTCCTTTGAAATCACTTCAGTATTTCCATTTTCTACTACTTTATTTATCTGACTTAAATAGTGGAATAACTTGGTTTATTAATTCTGTGTTTTTTAGAAAATAGCTCCACATTGGTCAACTATGCTGCCGTTTTATTTTTTAAAATGTTTTTTTCATTTTACCAGCCCTTCTGTGATGTTGTTTTTTTGTCAGATAGCTGTTGTGACGAATCCAACAAAGTCCAAAGTTATGAGGACAGTTCAGTGTCCATCAGTTGTCCGTATGACCCTCCGCACCAGGACAGTCTGAAGTACATCTGCAGAGGAAAACAGCCGTCCACATGCCTGAATGGGGCAATAATCACCTCAAACCACAAACAAACCGGACAGCTGAGACTTACTGATGACAAGATGTTGAGGATATTCACAGTAACCATGACCGGTCTGACCCAAAGCCAATCCGGGTCGTACCTTTGCGGTGTCAATGGAAGCACTGGCCTGGATGTTTTCTCTGCTTTTGAGCTGGAAGTGAAAGGTGAAAGCTCAACCTCATCATATTAAATCACTCGTTTTCACAGTAACCAGCCAGAAAACACTGTCCTGTAAAATAGACATTGAGAAGAAATTACTTGAGATTAAAGATACAAAGCTCTTTAAGCCATGTATGATTTGTCATAACATATATAAATAATTTCATCATGTGTTCATTCAGAATGTGAATCATGCACATCCATTTGTAATGTGAGCCGGCTCAGGCTGCAGTGTGGTCTTGATCCTCGGTGTGTTTCACAGAGTGGTGCTGCGTGAGGTCAACCAAACAGAGCGGCGTCGTGGGACAGACAGTAACGATGAAGTGTCCGTACCCACCGAACCACCGGAATAACAGCAAGTTCCTCTGTAAGGGAGAACGACGCAAGGAATGCACAGACATGACAAGTCAAAGGCGGTTTACTCTGCGAGAAGATATTTCTTCCAGCTCCTTCTCGGTAACAATCACAGAGTTGAAAGGAGAGGAAGCTGGGACATACTGGTGTGGTTCAGACTCACAGTGGAGTCCCGGAGACTACACCAACATTCAACTGTCAGCAGGTAAGATTTTGAAAAGAGCTAAACCTATTTGTTTGAGAGTACAAACTATTTTTACATCCATCAGGTTACTCATATCTGCATCACTTCACAATAAAGTAATAGCTCGAGTCCCTCCTCCGGATTCCTAAAACGGTAAACTATCAAATAATAGCAAAATCAACATTTAATATTCAACAACGAAGGAAACGCTTAATGTGCCATGTTGGTTGTGGTCCCAAGAGCAGAACACAGCAGAAAAGGTTCCACAGTCTTTATTATCGAGAACCAGGGGTAATATTGTGAGCAGGCTGGGGGAAGGGTCGGTGGGCTGAAGCAGGATGAGTCCGGAATGCAGGTCACGGGGAATCCAGTGGCAGGGGACCCGAGGCAAACAAGAGAGCGTTAAAGATTGCAGTGCGTTTAAGCCGTTGCATTGGTTCTGGGTTATGAACTGACGATCTGGCAGGGACAGGGTGGAAGGCGGGAGAAGAGAAAGCTTGGAGCGTGATTAGTGAATACCTTCCTACTGTGCAGGTCAATTGGTGGGAGGGGCACCGCCCAGACCACGACATAATGCCCCATCAAATTAAAGCTGAACTGAAAGAATGGGATTTGTAGTTTGTCAGCATGTTGACCCTTAAATTATCACGTTATTACCAATAAAGTACTCTGAGGAAATGTAGTTAGTTTTGCAGTTATTTGTCCATAAAGCAAAGGCCCGGCAGTATTATCAGGATACATCATCAGGGAACCATAACTTGTCGATTAAACATTTTTTACTGAGAAACTCTCTCTAATAGTCAATCCGAAGAGAACCAGCACTCGGATCCCTACTACTGTCACCAAGCTGGAACCTACCAGCCCACAAGCACAAGTTATCCCTGGAAAACCGTTTGAAGGTACAGTATGTGTGTACATTTAAACACACAGTGACTATACACACAAAGGGAGCATGATAGCACCAAATGTTGTGTTTCTTCAGTTCTGACACCTCGTGATACATCTGCATTTTGCAAATGTATAACACGTTAGGAGGTGTGAGGTGTTTCAAGAAGTGAGAAGTGTTTCAGGAAGTATACTTATCGTGACTTTATTTTTACACTTTGTGTCTTCCGAATGCAGTGAGTTCTCTCTCTGGTGTTTTCATCGCGCTGCCCGTGCTGCTCACGCTGACAATCGTCATTACTAGTGTCATAGTTTGTAAATACAAATGTTTCAAAGTGCAAGGTATGTTTCACATTCAAATGCAGGCACAGAACCCTGCACCCACAGACAAGTCCATACACGTATACAATAGACGCAAAGTAATTGTGTAACATACTTCATGGGTTTTCCAGGAGCCGACATGAACGGAAATAAAACCAAAGCAGACGAAGTTGTGGAAACGATCGAAGAAAATGTAAGAAAACTAAAGTCCAAAGCTTTTCATAATGCATTTAAGAGACTGCAATGTTCATTACAGTCCACATTACATTACTTGGGACATAATGGCATAGTGCAGATGTAATCATTAGTGTGGTTAGATCGGTCAAATTTGTTTTTATGGTGTTAGCCTACTAATAAAATGCGTATCTTCTACTACAATACTACAATCACGCTAGTACCGGTAAGAAAAGCTTGGGATCAAAATCTGAAAGGAATTTTTCTAGCTTGATGACCAACGTCAACCTGTCCTGTAAAGGGAAACATGTCTTGATCCAGTCCCCAACAACTGGGAAAATTATATGACCAACTTACTGATTATTCCACCATTTTCATTTGAATAATTGTAGACATTCTCATCACCCATATCTGTTTATTTCTGTTGATCATTTTTAGGTTTATAGACGCAAAGACTCAGCTTCCCCAAGGCAGCCTCCCCCCGGCCAGCTCTATGATGACGCAGGAGAAAACGAACAAGAGTCTGTGTACCAAAACTACGCATCAACAGAGGATATCTACTGCAATCAAAATTACATTAGAGCCTTACAAGATGAACACCGTCTGTAGGCAATCTTACATTTTGGGGTAAACATTTATCCCAATGATTCCATCTGTGATCTGACCAACACATTTTGCATTTTACTGCTGTGGTCCAACCGCTTCAACGTCTGACTGAAAACTTCAGTGCTATAATTATTTTATGCCTTTTGTTTTATTATCACCCAGTACTGTAACAAATGCCTCATTAATTGCCTTAACTTTGGTTTTTAAATTTTATTTTACACTTGATTGCTCATTCTTTTATACCACAAACTGTTCAACTTACTTGCGATGCTTTTAAGATATTGTGGATCAGCTCAGTACCCTTCATGTAAGTTGTCACCTTTTGGGTTCACGTCTTGTTTTATTTTGTAGTTTCATGCCTCTGGTGCTCCTGGGTTAACTTCACTTCCTGCCTTGTCCTGTCATCCCTTGTGATTGTCTGCCGTGTCCATGATTGTTTCCACCTGTGTCAATCACCTGCACCTTCCCAGTGTATTTAAGCCATGAAAATCTTGAATGTTTACTCTGAACCTCGTCCCTGTGTCGTGTAGGTCCCTGTGCCCCGTCTACATTTTTCCGAGTCTTTGTTTTTTTCCCCCATGATGTTTGGGTTTTTGGATTTAATAAAGTAGTTTTCGTTTGAAACTCTACATTTGAGTTTTGTCTACCCCGTTCGTGACAGAATGACGCGACCTAATAAGGACTCAGCAGAGTTTGGTCCACTCAACCTGTTCTGGGAAACCCCGTTTGGCCCAGGGCGGGCCGCGCCACATTCAACGGGCTACTCGGGGCTACTCGTCTCGGGTCCCGATCACCAGGTGCTGGATCACACTGGGAGCAGGTGTTAGGGATTTGAGCCAGAAGTGCACCCCTAGTCAGGAAATTATAATACGTGTAATAATGTTTAGTGTTAGAATTGTAGTTTATGATGTTAGATATTAGTTATTACAGTAACATGATAGATGAAGCGAATGCAATTGGAATCAAACACAATGTATAGTCATTTAAATCATATAATAACTGTACACATTAACATTCTGTCACAATGTGATGTTAAAACCTGGGGACGGATGCTAATTGCCGTCCTTTATGAATTTCTCCAAATTTTATCCCCAAAGAGGGTTTTTTGGGAGTTTTTTCTCCTGTCAGGTAGTAAATGAACAACTTAATGTAAGGCAGCCGACTGAGGCAAATGTCTTGAGAATTGGACCACATGAACTGTTTTAGATCTTATGATGAACTGTGATGAACGGTGATCATTAATGATGTGTTGTAATGAAGGTGTACTAATAAGATGAAGACAAACTATGCAGGCTTTGTTATATTCACTCATTGAGGCATAAAGCCAAATGTATCTACATTAAATGCATTGGAATGTGAGGGACAGATAGGACAGAGAGATTCAGGTTACAGCTGCAGCTTCACACCTCGACGTGAAGGGGACAGTCCAGGAGGGGACACTTTGAAGGAGAAGCCAATGACATTCAAATGCACCAAAGGAGTTTTCAAAGGACCAAAGCGGGGAAGGAACTGTTAGAATTTTCCTGAAGCCGCTTTGATAAGTCACTTTAGACTTGCTCAGAGGATTCTCTATTTCGTGAAATATTTTACTGTTCGTTTTGTATTTCACTTTGTAACTGTATATAACGTTGTTTACTTATTAAATACTTTTTGATTTTTTGAATTTGCGCAAGCTGACTCTTTTGTATCTTTGTTTCCGGCCGGTATGAGAACAAAGGATTGAAGCCTCCCTCGAGAGCTTTCCGAACCCTAACACAGGTGATAGAGCTCGCTGCCCAATTCCAGGCTACCTACTCCCCCCACGCTGGGCCGCAGCGACTCACGCCATCGACTCCGGTCCCGGCTCCACAACTCACGCCCCTGCCGAGTTGTAAACTCCCATTATGGTTGTAATTATTCCATTGTTATCCTGTTTCATTTTGTGCTTTATTTGGCTGTTAAAAAAATCCCTTAATTGTAGATATCTGAAGTGGTCCTGGATATTTGGTGTGTATTTACTTTTCAGCTCCTGGAAGCTTGCCATACTTCCATCTTTGATAACTGTTGATAATTGCTGTTATTCCATATGAGATCCATTGTTTAAACCTCTGATCAAGAATACCTGGAATTAAATGTGTATCGTAGGCTATCCATCGCAGGGGCCCGAGCTCCTCCTCTAATCGGTTTTTCCTTATTACTTTGAACCACAGCTCTAATGTAAATCTGTTCAAGTAGTTTTTTTTCATACTTCTGTCTCCAATAAGGCTTTGTATTTCCCTTCCTTCTACAGAAACTTGATTTTTCCACATTGCTTGATAATCATTGGTACACCAGAATATTATTGATGTAATTTGAGCTGCCAGGAAGTATGCCGGCATTATTAAGTGTTTATCTGTAAACTTTAATTACAAATCTATTATATTGACGTGACAGATTTGTTTCCAGTGAGATATCGATGAACATAATAAGTGACTCTTTACAAATAATATATTATTTTAAAATATAGAAATCGTATTCACACACACACACACACACACACACACACACACACACTTAGTGAATAACAGGTTGGCTCATCATCAGACGCTCAGTCACGTGAGACAGAGCTGCTGCTCGAGCCGCTCCTGCAAACACGCGTAACCAGGCAACAGCAAGCAAACATACAGTTCAAGTTCTGTCTGCTTCAGGATTGTGAAGACTTCATTCTGGAAATAAGTGTTACGTTGTGGCTTTTCCTCGCTTAATTGTCTCATAATGAACCCTCTGCCATCCTCAGGCTCTGCCACAGCCGGCTACCGCTCAGCTAAATACTCCCCAGCGGAGTGGTTCTCCAACTACCACAGCATCCTTCAACAGGCCGCCACCAACCGCCGCGAAGCCGGCAGCATCCAGCGGGAGTCCAAAGCTCTGTACCAGGACACTGAGGCGGCCACTTTGCAGACCCAGGCTGAGGGGACACGTCTTCTGGGGGAGAGACTGCAAGAGACCCACGACTGGAAATCAGAGCTGCAACAGCACATTCACCAGCTGCTGGCCGACACGGAGTCACTGTCGGCGCAGAAGACGAGGCTGGAGAAGGCGCTGTACGCCACCGAGATTTCATACGCCATCGCCACAGACAACCTCAAATGCAGGGCCAGGAGACCGGGACCGGACCTGGTCCGAGACGCTGTGGAGGAGGAGCTGCTGAAGGTGAATTTGCATGTAGTAATTGATTCATTGATATGTATTAGTGGCATGCTTTTGGGAATGAACACATTTATACTTATAAATATACATAATGAGGCCCCGCTTTTTCTTAAATCAAAATAATACAGCTGGACCAGTACGGTCAAGAGAATTTGAATCATAATCTGTATTAATTCTATTTTCATTCAAAAAATGCAAACTCATCTTTTTTGTGTCTTAATCACAAGACATGAAATATATACAAAACAAGTCATTGGATAATATCACCATGCTAACTATGACAACATACATGTCTGATAGGATAGTGATGACGCAATGACATTTTGGACAGACATGGAGTCAAACAACCGCAAAGTGCATTTATTTAATCAATCAAGAAGATTACCTGTTATCAATAATGACAATAACTATTAGATGCTGCTCTGTAAAAAACATAATTCATCTGTGCTCTTTCAGTAATTTGTGTCAAACACCTCTGTTCCACTTCTCCACAGCAAAGCCCCCCTGTCAAACGTTAGAATAACCAGCAGAGGGCTCACTAACGCACACTAACCAGAAGTGTGACTCTTTGTTTTGTAGGAAGTGGACTTGATCAGGAGCGTCCAGGCTCTTCTGAAGAGGACTACGGCTGAAGTTGTCAGTCAGATCAAGTGAGTGTCATAATCCTGAAAGTGTAGCAACCCGATGTGCAAATGTGTAAAATGTAAAAAAGAAAAAGAAAAGAAACCTCTACATGTTATAGAACTGAACATCCTGCTTCTATTCCCGTCTTTGTGTGTTAGGATGAACAGAGACGTTAAGCAGAGGTTAGAGTTGGACTGGTCTGATAAGTATCAGGCCTGCGACTTTGATGGCCGCAGTGGAGGATTCAGTAACATGAGCCCCGACACGCGGCACCACCCCAGCTCGGCCACCGTGCAGGACCAGTGAGTCTTTGTCTCAGACCGACATTTAGAAAAACCTAGAAACGGATGACCTTACAAACATTGCACATTGTCTTCTGGTCCGCTGCAGGGTGTGTAACTCCACATCATGGACAAAGTTTGCACAGTACAACCGGTCCATGGCCTTGCAGGAAGAACGGGCCTCCAGCAGTCTCAGGTCAAAGGGCACTTTGGTTCAGACATGTGTTTACGCTCAAGTGTGCTGGAGGCCACATAGAGGGTAGCCTCCGACACGACGTTGTAGTAATGCCACCCGTTATTTTTTGTATATGTGTGTCAGACTGCTGGTGGAGCGAGTGCTGCAGGACACCTCTCACGATCTGAGAGTCCAGTGCTCCAGCGTGGACCGAGCTTTGAGTCAGCGCTGTGCAGAGATGATAGAGGCCAAGACCCAGCTGGAGATGAAGCTCCGACAGGTACACAGGCGGAGCGACACGCAGGCCGACAGCATGGCTGTTTGACGGACAGCTCAATGTTGCCGTGTGATTGTGTGCGCAGATCTTGGAGCAGATCGTGGCTCAGGAGAAGAGCATCGTGGCTATTCAGCAGGCTATCCACAACAAAGAGGCTCCACTGAGAGTAACTCAGTCCAGACTTTACCTGCGCTCCCTCAGACCCAACATGGAGCTCTGCAGGGACCAGGCCCAGCTCAGGTGCACACACGCACTCACAGAGACTCACCCTGCTGCTGCCCCTCTCTCTTCACTTTGTTTTCCTCCCATGTCTACAGTCTGGAGGGGGGGTTGAGGCAGATTGATGCCACTCTGGCTTCTCTGCGCCAGCAGCTGAGTGAGGCCAGAGGCTCCCTGTCCCACCTGGAGGAGTCACGCATTACCATCGAGAAGGACATCCGCTGTAAAACCAACTCGCTGTTCATCGACAGGGAGAAGTGCATGACTCACCGCCAGCGATACCCAGCCGTTTCCACTCTATTGGGATACTGAAGACGACGACTGTTTGTCTCTTGTCTGGCTTTGATTTTCACATTCTTTAAAATTCTAGATATTTGAAGCCACCAATAAATAAATAAAAATGCATTAAATAAATGTCTTTGTTGTCTGTTTGTCCCTACATGTGGGTATGTCTACTCTCTGAGATGTCGTTTTCATGGTGTTAATTTGAATGTCTTTGGCTTTTTGAGCTGCTGTTTAGACAAGAAGCTTTTACTGTATTATAATGTTTTATTTGTTTGGAGAAAATGATGAACCAAAATGATATACAGGCCCCAAGTGATGTAATACACACGGTTCACATACGCATGTATACAACATATACACATATGCCATAACTTTATATTACAAAACGCAAACAAAAGATGAGATTGATTTCAAATACATTCAGCAACTTACATCGTTGTTAAACTTGCTCGACCACATTACAAAAGATCCAAGATTGTTGTACATTCCGAAATAAATGTCCCCAAGAATTCAAAAAGTGAGCCTCGGTATCGGCACATTTGATTTGCTCCAGCAGAGTGAGCTGTTGTGCCTAAATGTCTCTTCTCCTGTCACAACTCATCACAGTCACATCTCTTTCACCACAAAAGCAGCAGAAAAATCTAGTGTAGAGAATAATTTACATTTCAACATAATATTCTAAAACGATTCACATGTTTGAAGTACTTTAATATTTGTGGTACGGACTTTGATGTTGATGTGAACGTTTTTTTTCCAGTAAAGATCAGCGATCTAGTCCTGACACATATCTTAATGTCTTATCCCTGCTGAGCCACATTAAAAACAACATGACTTATTCAAATAATGAAGTCCCAAGAACGAGGAAGTTTAATAACAGCTCGACATCATCAGAGCTGCTGGACTCCTGAAGATATTTCTCCTATTTTTACAAACTACATAAATTACTGCGAATTTAAATGTTCAGTTTCGGGTTGGGCTCATGGTGTCAAAGACCTATCACCTGGTTTTACAGCAATATGAGCTCTATTTTATTTAAACGTTGAACAAGCGCCTCAGAGCGTCCTTCATGTGACGAGTTGCCACGACTGAGGATGTTATGAAACTGCACTTTATGCAAAGGGAAAGCGTTCAGACAGGCAGCTCCGTTCTCATCTGCACAGCACATAGTATTTATTTCATGACACCACCAACTGTGGGCACGCGCTGTGTGTGCGCTTTTGTCTGTGGTTGTGTGTGATTGTGCGTGTGTGTGTGTGTGTGAGTGCACATATGACTAAAAATGAACGCCCTTTCAGCCTTTAAGACATCACAAGGGAGTGTTTGTTTTTTTATGAGACTTTGATACACAACATTCAAAACACTGACAATAAAACCATCTTCGATTGACTGGATAGTTTTTGAGATATAAGGAGAGAAAAATCCTCATGAAATTGTGACTCTTTTATAAGTTGAGCTCACACATCTTGACCATGTGACTCAATTCTCATCCCAGAAGGACAAATGTGACCTAATGAAAGGGAGGGAAAAAAGTTGCATAAATGAGAAAAATATGGGCGGGATGGACGAAGTAGATCTGAGGGAGTGAAAGAACAAGAAAGAGGAGGGAGGAGAGGAGAATAGAGAGACGAGAGGACCAAACTCACTGCCTTCTCCTCCTCCAGTGCTCTCTCCCTTCTTTCTCCTGGTGACTCCGAGCTGAGATCAACAGATAGGTGAGTTCAACTTCAGAATTCTGCCTTTATTTCCTCTTCAGTCTGCTTTTCTCTCTGTTATTCAAAACGTCATCCCTACGGCTGCCTCAACTTATCGGCAGTCATCTCTCTTTTAACAGCCTATAAGTCTAAATTTCTTCCTGCATCAGAATTTGCTTGAGCCCTGGTTGGATGAATTTATATTAATCTCTCCTGTTTCTCCAAATCTTCAAATTCTTCCCTCGAGCGGGAATAAAGTTTGAAGGGGGTCTAAGTATGAATGAATCGTTGCTCATTAACCGAAGCGTCTCTCACAGATGACCTGCTGCTTTATTTATGTGTGAGAACATTTTTATGACGGTTTATTTGCTCTTGTGTCTTTTGGCTAAATGCGTGCATCTCAGCTTGAGGGTTTGCGGAAAGCCAAAGTTTCCGTTGGCTGCGTGCAGGGGCTACTTTTAGCTTGGCTCATTACGCCCTGGCTGGTTCTGCATGAGGGCAATGTTTTCACGCTGTTCCTCAAGTTTCAGACTGTCCTTTAAATGACTGATTATTTTTAAGAATAAACAAATCCATCAATCTTTCATTTAAGTGCGGAATGTCCCATTAGGGTTGGAAGAGAAGTGAAATTACATGTTTTGTCAGCGTACGGAATGTGCGTTCCATTTCTTTGTGGGATTTTGGGGATTTTTGTGGTGACGTGCGTTTATATTTATCTACCTCCCTCGGGTTTTTGCAGTCCCACTGTTTCACTCATCTTTGCCGAATGTCCCACTGCTGCCATTTCCATTCCTCAGCCCTTCTCTTCTCCCCATTCTACCCTTTTCCCCTCCAGGATGCTGTGCTTGGGCTCCTTGTGCCCACTCCTCCTCCTGCTTCTCCTCCTCCCCCCTCAACTGCCTGCCCAGGAGACGCTTGTGCGTCTGGCAGGCGTAGGCCGGCGCAATGCGAACGAGGGGCGCGTGGAGGTGTTCTACAACGGGGCCTGGGGCACCGTGTGTGATGACGAGGTGGATCTTAACCTGGCCAACGTGGTGTGCCGACAGATGGGCTTCCAGCGCGGCCTGACCTGGGCACACAGCGCAAAGTTTGGCCAAGGACAAGGTACTTCCAGCCAAACGTTAAGCTTTCTACACATTACATATTACAAGTCTGACATGTAGAGTGAACATTTTACATTTTACATTTAACATTTATGTAAGTCATTTCTAAACCATTTGCAAACTGTTAAGGCACTTACCAGTTCTGTATGAACATTATATGTATATTAAGATATTTGACACATTTGACACAGCTTATAGTAAGTAGATATTTTTAAATCCTTCCGCATTCAGTCTGTCCGATATTGTCCGACAGACTTTTTTTCTGTTTAATGACTGCTGCCATTTTTACTTTTTTTGCATATTTTATGCTTCACCTCAATAGGTTAATAATAATAATTAGTTTCTGCTCAGTGGGTTAAAAATATGCCACACTCGTCTTCTCCACATCTGCATGAGTAAATCTGTGATCGATACCGTGGTCTACTTATAGTATGGAGTGCCGTTTGTAAAACGTTGCACGTTCTAAAATCCTGCGCAGTTTTGGTACATTTAGCATTATCATATGAAAAAAAGCACAACAATATTTATATGTCACTTTTTCAAACATTTAGAGAAAAATGTACATTTATGCAATAACTTTTCCAAGGCTAAAGTTTTGGCAGTAACACAAAGTTGTCAAATAATATAAACGTTAAATGTAAATAACGTGACGTAAATATTGTAGTGCTTTATTTTTTTTCATAAGATTATGCTAAATGTACCAAAACTGCGCAGGATTTTAGAACGTGCAACATTTCACAAACCGCGCCCCATACGAGAGGACTGCGGGGACGCAGGTGAGCGTGGGGTGTTCAACATTTCCGTTGCATGCAGAAACATACTGTGGGTGAAACAGATTAACAACAAGCACTCTTTCAGTTTCTGTTTCGTAGAAAGTACAATGCAATAACGTGAGGATGTGGAGCCTTCGGAACTGGTTCTTCAACTTGTGCAGTAAGTTATTTTATTATATTCCTCATTATAATTAGTAAATATATCCATTTCTTGCCAATTCAATATGGTAGACTACATGCCATGACATTGTTTTTATTGATTTTATCATACAGCTTTATCACACCTGCTATTTATAAATAAGTAATAACTTATTTTATAATCGTCACACATTTATTTAAAAGGGACCATGTGTTCAAAACATAAATATCACCATTTCATACAACACACCAGATTTGAGCTTTAAGATCATTTGCATCTACATACGAATTCAAAGATTTTTATTGTCAGTTACACACGCCCTGTGTGTTGTTGAGGTCCTCGCTGAAGTGGACCCCGAGGTATTTGAAGCTGCTCACCCTCTTAACTTCAAGCTCTTTGATGAAAAGTGGTTGATGAGGTCTCCTCTCCTTCCTCATGTCCACCATCAGCTCCTTGGTCTTGTCAGTATTGCGGGTGAGGTTGTTATCCTCGCACCATGACACCAAACCGGCCACCTCCCTCCTGTATGCCTCTTCGTTCCCCCCTGTGATGCGTCCGATCACTGCGGTGTCATCAGCAAACTTCAGGACGATGTTATCCTTGTGGGAGGCGACACAGTCGTGGGTGAACAGGGTGTAGAGGATGGGGCTGAGGACACAACCCTGTGGGGTGCCGATGTTGGTGATCCCGGTGTGTGTGTGTGTGCCTCTCTGTGCTGAAGCTGGAGGTCTCGAAGCGGTGAAGGCGTTGAGGTCCTCTGGTAGGCTGTGTGTGGCACTGATGGAGCTGGTGATGGTCCTGTAGTCGGTGATGTGCTGTAGGCCTTGCCACATCTGCCTGGAGTCAGCAGTGGAGTAGAAGCCATCCAGCTTCTCTCTGTACTGCCTCCTTGCCGCTGTGACGGCTTTTCTCAGTCGGTACCTAGCAGCTTTGTACTCAGTCTCAATGCAGCAGAGCGAGCACGCAGCTTACCTGACTGTTAATCCAGGGCTTCTGGTTGGGGAACTTCCTGACCTATATGGTGGGCACAATGTTGTCTACACAAGTGTAGATGTACCCGGTCACATAGTCTGCATAGTCCTGTACGCTAACAGAAGAGTCCTCCCTTGTGTCCATCCCAGTCTGTTTGAGCAAAACAGTCCTGCAGGATTCCCTCAGTCCCTGGTCCAAAGCTTAATTGTCCTTAACATGTCCCATATTATTTTTTTTCAATTTATGTTGTTTTCTGTCAACAGTTGCTCTGAGCTGTGTGAGCAGTGCAGCAGGGGTGATCCGTGTATATGGATATGAGAGGGGACAAGTTCAAGTTTCTTGTCCCTATGGCTCTGGGTTTGAGTCCTCTGAGAAGTACCTGTGCAAGGATCGCTGCGGCTATGATGAAGTTCTTATTAGGACGACAGAACCTAATAAGAACAAATACTCCAAACACGATGACCATCAGCAACGAGTCTTCACAGCGACTATCTACAATCTGATTTTTGCCGATGCAGGAAAATACTGGTGTCGCATCACAAAAGCGGGAATAGACATCTTCACTGAAATGGAACTGGAAGTAGCTCGAGGTATGTAAAACAAACAAACAGAGCCCAGTCAGTATTTCATTTTTTATTCAAAGATTGTTGTTTAATTGTACATTGTTACGATTTTGAAGTCCTTTAAATTCACTTTAGTATTTCCATTTTCTACTACTTTATTTATCTGACTTGAGATAAAAGATACAAAGCTTTTTAAGCCATGTATGATTTGTCATAACATATATGAATAATTTCATCATGTGTTCATTCAGAATGTGAATCATGCACATCCATTTGTAATGTGAGCCGGCTCAGGCTGCAGTGTGGTCTTGATCCTCTGTGTGTTTCACAGAGTGGTGCTGTGTGAGGTCAACCAAACAGAGCGGCGTCGTGGGACAGACAGTAACAATGATGTGTCCGTACCCACCGAACCACCGGAATAACAGGAAGTTCCTCTGTAAGGGAGAACGACGCAAGGAATGCACAGACATGACAAGTCAAAGGCGGTTTACTCTGCGAGACGATATTTCTTCCAGCTCCTTCTCGGTAACAATCACAGAGTTGAAAGCAGAGGATGCTGGGACATACTGGTGTGGTTCAGACTCACAGTGGAGTCCCGGAGACTACACCAAGATTCAACTGTCAGCAGGTAAGATAATGAGAAGAGCTAAACCTATTTGTTTGAGAGTACAAACGATTGTTACATCCATCAGGTTACTCATATCTGCATCACTTCACAATAAAGTAATAGATCGAGTCCCTCCTTGGATTCCTAAAACGGTAGACTATTAAATAATTGACATTTAATATTCAACAACCAAGGAAACGCTTAATGCAAAGTCCTCATCAAATTGAAGCTGAACTTAAAGAATGGGATTTGTAGTTTTTTCAGCATGCTAACAAAAAAATTATCACGTTATTACCAATAAAGTACTCTGAGGAAATGTAGTTAGTTAGAGGTAAATGTAGTTAGTTAGAGGACAGCTGTGTACCATCATGCACCAGGGTGAGTTACAACAACGACAAACCCTGGTTCACAGCGGAACTCAGAACACTACGCCTGCAGAAGGATCAGGCATTTAGGAGCGGGGACAAAGACTTGTACACAGAGGCAAAATACAAGTTTAGCAAGGCGGTGAGAGACGCTAAACGATTGTACTCTGAGAAACTCCAACAACAGTTCTCAGCAAGTGACTCTGCTTCGGTTTGGAGAGGCCTCAAACACCTCACCAACTACAAGCCAAAAACCCCCCACTCCATGAATGACCTCCGCCTGGCAGACGAGCTCAATGAGTTCTACTGCAGATTTGAAAGACAATGTCCTGTTCCCATCCCCCACAGCTCCACCAACCTGCCGCAGTCCCCCTTCCCTCCCTCCCCCAGCCCATCAGGTGCTCACGCCTCTTCATCATTATCACCTTCCCCTCCCCCACCAGCAACGACCCTCTCTATTCTGGAGAGAGACGTTAACCGGCTCTTTAGAAGACTAAATCCCCGTAAGGCAGCCGGTCCGGACTCCGTTTCCCCTCACTCCCTGAAGCATTGTGCTGACCAGCTGTCTCCGGTGTTCACTGACATCTTCAACACCTCCCTGGAGACATGCCACGTACCAGCCTGCTTCAAGGCCTCCACCATCATCCCTGTCCCCAAGAAGCCCAGGATCACAGGACTCAATGACTACAGGCCCGTCGCCCTGACCTCTGTAGTCATGAAGTCTTTTGAACGGCTAGTCCTGTCCCACCTGAAGTCCCTCACCGACCCCCTCCTGGACCCCCTGCAGTTCGCCTACAGAGCCAACAGGTCTGTGGACGATGCTGTCAACATGGCCCTCCACTACATCCTCCAGCATCTGGACTCCCCAGGAACCTACGCCAGGATCCTGTTTGTGGACTTCAGCTCTGCTTTTAACACTATCATCCCGTCTCTGCTGCAGGACAAACTCTCCCAGCTGCACGTGCCCGACTCCACCTGCAAGTGGATCACAGACTTCCTGTCTGACAGGAAGCAGCACGTGAAGCTGGAGAAACATGTCTCAGCCTCTCGGACCATCAGCACCGGTTCCCCCCAAGGCTGCGTTCTTTCCCCTCTGCTCTTCTCCCTGTACACCAACAGCTGCACCTCCAGCCACCAGTCCGTCAAGCTCCTGAAGTTTGCGGATGACACCACCCTCATTGGACTAATCTCTGGTGGGGACGAGTCCGCCTACAGGTGGGAGTCTGACCATCTGGTGTCGTGGTGCAGCCAGAACAACCTGGAGCTCAACGCTCTAAAGACAGTGGAGATGGTTGTGGATTTCCGGTGGAACAGAGCCCCAACCTCCCCCATCACCCTGTGTGACTCCCCCGTCACTATTGTGGATTCCTTCCGTTTCCTGGGCTCCATCATCACCCAGGACCTCAAGTGGGAGCTGAACATCAGCTCCATCACCAAGAAGGCTCAACAGAGGTTGTTCTTCCTGAGGCAGCTGAAGAAACTCAACCTGCCAAAGACGATGATGGTCCACTTCTACACGGCCATCATCGAGTCCATCCTCTGCTCCTCCATCACCGTCTGGTACGCTGCAGCCACAGCCAAGGACAAGGGCAGGCTGCAGCGTGTCATCCGCTCTGCAGAGAGGGTGATGGGCTGCAATCTGCCGTCCCTGGAGGACATGTTCGCTTCCAGGTCTCTGAAGCGAGCTAAAAAGATCGCAGCCGACCCCTCCCACACCGGACATAAACTGTTTGTGCCTCTTCCATCTGGCAGGAGGCTGAGGTCCATCAGGACTACGACCTCCCGCCACACGAACAGTTCCCCTTCAGGGACTACCGCTGCGTGTAATCGCAGTGGGAACGCCCTCAGCGTGACGCGTCTGAAGCATGAATGAAATCAGCCAATGGAGAGAAAGAGCGTACGGCGAGTGACGTCATCGACCAGGAAGCTATAAATATCCCCTGAGCACACAACACGCCAGCTTTTTGTTACTTCAGCAGCTCTGTGTGTGTCTGAATCTGTTGATTGTGTTTGTTTGGGTGTTCAACATGCCCAGTCGGCTCTTGAGGGAGTCGACTGTAAGCATTGCGAACGCTTTCCTCTTAGAACTCTGCGCTCGCGGCGATCGCTCTTTGAGGAGAGCGGTATGCTGCGAGCTCCCCAAGGCTCGGGTCCCGCTTCTGTTGAGGCAGAGCGGCGGCGCTTGTCTTGGGGTTCGCAGATGGATCTCACCGGCGATGTTGTGACGGGCCCCGCCCTATCTCAGCCTTCTCCGGCGGGATCCAGTGCCTCTCACCCGGTTTCGGAAGCACGCGCTGCGGCGGTTACTTCTGCCCAGGTGGAGGCACATGATGATGTTGAATTGAGATTATCCAGTTCTGAGGATCTGGATGTCGAAGGTTTTGCATCAGAGGAAACTAGTGTCTCACATTATACTGCGAATGAAGAAGGTTTGATGGATGTGTTATCTCGCGCTGTTGAAAAGCTCAGTATCGAGTGGCCAGCTGATAGAAAGGATTCTAAAATTAGAAGCAAACTTGATGATAGATTTCTGTCTGCACGACCTCAACCTTCTCGCCGGTGCTTACCGTTCTTCCCAGACCTTCATGATGAGGTTTCAAAGACCTGGGTTAGACCGGTTTCTAGCAGAATTTACACGAATCAATCTAATGCTTATGGAAACATTTTTGGTGCAAAATCTGCTGGTTATGTGACAATGCCGAAGGCGGAGGAGACGCTCGCGAGCTATCTCTCTCCTGCTTCTTCGGTTTCACTTAAAGCACCGGCTCTTCCATCTAGACCACTAAAAAATACCTCTGTGCTGGTGGGGAAGGCTTACTCGGCTGCTGGGCAGGCGGCTGCGTGTTTGCACACTATGGCTATTATGCAGGCTTATCAGGCCGACCTGCTCAAAGATGTTTCTGAAGGGGGTGAAATTTCGGCTGATATGATTGGCGAACTTAGGCAGTCTGCTGATCTCACTCTGCGTGCCACCAGAGAGTCCGCTAAATCTATTGGTCGATCTATGGCAGCCATGGTGGCCACAGAGAGGCACTTATGGTTGAGTCAGACATCTATGAAGGAAGAAGATAAATCTCTCCTTTTAAATGCTCCTGTTTCACCTGCGGGCCTCTTCGGTGACGCTCTTCACTCGGTCACGGAGAGGTTCCAGGAAGAGAAAAAACAGGCGGCTGCTTTTTCTAAATTTATCCCTCTCAAGATACGTGTCACTGGGGCTGCTGAGCGAAAAGGGCAGTCCCAGCCGTCGAGTTCTTCCTCTTCAAAAAGAGCACAGCAGAAGCGGAGTGTCGCGTCTCGTGCCCCCCCCCGCAGGGGAACTGGAGGGACGAGGCGGGGCGCTCTCCGGCGCGGCCTTCTCGGGGCAGGACTGATCTGAGGACAGTCATTGTCGCCAGGAAGGCCGCGTCGAAAAAGTCCTGACGGGCTGAACGTCAGGACTCTGAGGGTGGTCCCCATCGGGAGAGACTTGAGTTCACCGCACAAGAACACGGTGCCCTGTCTTTCCCGATGCCCTCAGGGGTCTGTTCTACTAACCCTGCCTACACAGGGCGTAGAGAGACTCGGCGAGCGATTTCCCGAGGGGCGCTCGCCCCCTCCGAGGAGGGTTGTGGAGTGTTCAGACCAGCTGTTTCCTGCCAGTATGTTACAGGGCGCTGTGTCTGTCACTCGGGATGTTCATCCAGAGGCCAGCCTCGAGAGGCTGGTTCCCTTAGTAGAGTTCCTGGTGGTTAATTCTAGCTCAATCGGAACATCAGGCGGTTCGGCATCGAGATGTCGTTCTTGCTCACATCAAGAGGTTGAGACTCAACGCCAAGAAGAGTGTTCTTTCTCCATTACAGAGAACCACTTTTCTCGGTGTAGTGTGGGATTCGACGACTATGCAGGCACAATTGTCACCTGCTCGTGTTGCTTCGATTCTCGCCGCAGTACATCAAGTCAAGCTAGGCCGGTCATCCACTGTAAAACAGTTCCAGAGACTGTTGGGTCTCATGGCGGCTGCGTCCAACGTGATACCTTTTGGCCTCCTGCACATGAGACCGTTACAGTGGTGGCTCAGAACCAGAGGATTCTCCCCGAGGGGAAATCCGCTTCGCATGATCATGAGTTCGCGACGGTGTCATCGCGCCCTGGTTATGTGGAAAGATCCTTGGTTTCTGTCCCAAGGCCCTGCGTTGGGAGCTCCTTGTCGTCGCGTAATGCTAACGACAGATGCTTCTCTCACGGGTTGGGGGGCGATCATGAGCGGTCGCCCCGCTCAGGGTCTGTGGGAGGACCATCACCGTCTATGGCACATAAATTGTCTAGAGATGTTGGCAGTGTTTCAGGCCCTGAAACATTTCCTCCCGGACCTAAGAGGCCACCATGTTCTTGTCCGGACAGACAACACATCGGTGGTCTCCTATATCAACCACCAGGGGGGTCTGCGTTCTCGCCCGCTTTACAGGCTGGCACGTCAGATCCTTCTGTGGTCCCAGGGGAAAATTCTCTCTCTCAGAGCTATTTATCTCCCGGGGTATTTGAATCAGGAGGCAGACATCCTGTCGAGGCAGGGGCCGAGGCCCGGGGAGTGGAGTCTTCACCCCGAGGTGGTGGAGCTCCTATGGGGACATTTCGGTCGTGCCGAGGTAGACCTATTTGCGTCCCGAGAGACATCACACTGTCCACTGTGGTTCTCTCTCAGCCAGCCAGCCCCAGCCAGCCCCACTGGGGCTGGCTGGGGCTGGCCCCACTGGGGCTGGCTGGCTGAGAGAGAGCCACGCCTGTACGCTTTTCCCCCGATCGCTCTGCTCCCGGGAGTTCTGGAGAGGGTTCGCCGGGACGGGCTCAGTCTCCTGCTTATAGCCCCGTTCTGGCCGGCCAGAGTATGGTTTTCGGACCTAGTATCTCTCCTCGACGGCTCTCCCCTAGAGATACCGATCAGGAGAGATCTGCTCTCTCAGGCGAGTGGGTCGATCCTTCACCCCCGTCCAGAGCTATGGAGGCTGTGGGCTTGGCCCCTGAGGGGGCCCAGCTCATAGATTCTGGTCTCTCAGCTGAGGTCGTTGGGACCATCCTCCAATCCAGAGCTCCCTCCACGAGGAAGTTATATGCCGCGAGGTGGAAACTTTTCACCTCTTGGTGTGGAGAGCGCCAGCAGGACCCAGTCAACTGCCCGGTTGGTACAGTGCTGGATTTTCTGCAGGACCGTCTCTCCACAGGGTTATCCCACTCCACACTGAAGGTGTATGTGGCGGCCTTAGCTGCTTACCACGCCCCTTCAAGTGGAGGTTCCCTTGGGAGACACCCACTTATATCTCGCTTCCTTCGTGGCACCCTGAGGCTGAGGCCTGCAGTTCGCACGAGGGTACCAGCTTGGGATCTGGCCATCGCATTAGGAGGTCTCTCCCTTGCTCCTTTCGAGCCCATCGAGGAAGTTTCGGAAAAGTTTCTTACTCTTAAGACTATCCTTCTTCTTGCTATTTCATCTCTAAAAAGGATTGGTGATATTCAAACACTTTCGGTGGCTCCCTCGTGTCTGGAATTTGCCCCTGGTATGGTTAAGGCCTTTCTCTGTCCGAGACCAGGTTATGTTCCTAAGGTGCCAACCAATTTGGTTGGACCTATAGCTCTGCAGGCTTTCTGTCCTCCGCCTTTTCTGACGTCAGACCAGAGGAAACTTAATTTGCTGTGCCCTGTTAGGGCTTTAGATGCGTATGTCCACAGAGCTTCTCTGTGGAGGAGATCGGAACAACTGTTTGTCTGTTTTGGGTCACCTAAGAAAGGGTGTCCTGCATCTAAGCAAACGATGAGCAAGTGGGTGGTCGAGGCCATCTCGCTTGCTTACGGTTCGGCCCATCAGCCTTCACCTTTGGCTGTAAGGGCTCATTCCACCAGGAGTATGGCGGCCTCTACAGCTCTTCTTTCAGGAGTTTCTCTTCAGGACGTTTGTGATGCGGCAGGCTGGTCCTCACCGCACACTTTCGTCAGATTTTATTCCCTTGACCTTAGCTCCACCCCAGGGGCTCAGGTTCTCTCGTCGGTTTGTGTCTCCTGATGACACACGACGGGGATTTGGTCGTATGGGGATGTGGGTATTGCGTTCCCACTGCGATTACACGCAGCGGTAGTCCCTGAAGGGGAACGTCTGGGTTACGTATGTAACCCTAGTTCCCCGAAGGGACGGACGCTGCGTGTCCTGCCATACTCTCGGCATCCCCTTGGGTTGCTGCTTCAGTAACTTTTAAGCTGGCGTGTTGTGTGCTCAGGGGATATTTATAGCTTCCTGGTCGATGACGTCACTCGCCGTACGCTCTTTCTCTCCATTGACTGATTTCATTCATGCTTCAGACGCGTCACGCTGAGGGCGTTCCCACTGCGATTACACGCAGCGTCCGTCCCTTCGGGGAACTAGGGTTACATACCTAACCCGGACGTTTTGTGTTCAGACACGCAGGAGTGAGAATAAATAGATAAAACTTGAATGAGGGATGTTTTTCAGCATCATTTCTCTGTGGAATGAAACGGAAGATTAATCAGGGGGACACAGTGAAAGTGATGACAGAGAAACTTGCAAGAAAAAATGTAAATAGGATTTCCAATGGAAAAACAGAACATACTGTACATTTTACTAGATAATATATAGTTGTTCAGATGCGTCAGTGCTGTATGTGTGTTGGGTTTCTTTGGAATAAAATGGTGTGAACCTGGTAAGTGTTGTTTGTATGCTGTATACCTACACTGATATATATATAAGTTATAGTTTGACTTGTGTTGACTGTTCGTGAGTTTTCTTTCATTGATTTCATCAGTCCGGTGGGATCAAGGTGCACCCACACAGCTCCAATGAGTTGATGAGTTTTTGTGTGTTAAGTCCAAGTGAGATCTGCCCGCATGCTCCAAAAAATAAATAATATGAACAGGACAGACTTATCTCTGCTGATTTATCTCTGCTGCTGTTTCCAAAGATATAGATTTTACAATTTTCAGTGAGTTAAATACAGGAATATGCACAACATTGAAGACATTTAAAGTAACACACGTGTTGACAGTCTACAGCAGTCTTACTTATCCTTTCATGTTTGCATGTGCGTCGTGCTCTCTGGGAGACTTTGCTCAGTCGTCTCCTTCTCTTGCACCTGTTTCAAACACACATTGATCACCTTTATTTACGCTATTTTCTTTTTTGTTTGGTTAGCAGGACAAGGTCCTTGTGTTGGTATCTCTTTTGATAAAGCATTGATAAAGCTATTACCGTTTATTAGCTTTAATTGTTCCTGCTCACAAAGACACTTGGTTTGCACAGTTAGTGGGTGGTATAATTATGTCTTTGAATAAAGTGTCTGAACCGTCCTGATACCGGCAACGACTTGTGTGTGCGTGTGTGTGTGCCTGCATGTGTGTGCGTGTGTTTGCGTGTTCAGGCTGTTGAAGACCACCTGGCAAGATTATGAGACTTTCGGACTGGACAGCGAGGTCCACCGGGGAGGGAAATGAGGAGCAGAGGTGTTGAAATGTGAAAGGCCACACTGTCGGCGGTCTGCATTCATTGCAGCTCCACAGCATCAGCTTCTCTCCTCTCCTCGTTTCTCACATCTTTGCTGCTCCTCTCAGCCCTCACGTCTGAATTTAGCGTCAAGGCTTTCTCTTTCCTTTTCTGCAAAACAACAGTTTTATGTAGAAGATATTTATGATAAATATCGTCTCACAGAGAGCACAAATTACATCAAAGGACAGAAGAAAAAGGTCCTTATAAGAGGGTGTGTTTTTTCACACTCTTTCCAACTCACACGTGGTGCAAAGATTTACACTTCTCTCCCTACGTTTCACTGTGTGCTAACACTATAATGACCATCAGATGAACATCTGTATGAGCATCTGTGAGTGTTCCGCTAGACCTAGAAGATTTTCCCTGCCCGGTCTCTAATTACGACAACTCACTGCAGCAACAATTACACCCTGATTAAACAAGTCTTCCCTCCGACTCAACGAGATCCTCGGCCCTGCAGCAGCAGATTCACAGTGCTGCTCTGTGCCATCCTACGAGTACGCTCACTCTGAACCAGCTGTAACTCTCAATGATGGACAAAAGCATGCAGGTTTCAGAGTCTCGAGGGACTGAGGGTCCGTTATGGGTCCGTTAGCAGCAGGGGAGAAAAGATGACGGATCGAGCAACGTTTGAACGTGAATGTCAATCACGGTAAAACAAAGCGTCGCCATAACAGATTGTCCATCAGCTTGAGTGGATGAAAGCAGGGATCCTGGGAAATTAAGTTATGACATTACATGTCCCATCAGTGAAAAGAGTCTCTGGAACACCAGCGCGATTTCAACCTGCTGCTTTGCTAACAAATGTGCACATGGCTACACAGCATAGAGACAGAAAGGGCAAAATAACACACACACACACACACACACACACACAAAACATAGCCAAGAACAACAAGAACTGTCTTTCTATGAAAAAGACAAATAATAGATTTGGAAATGCCCTTCTGCACGTGAATGGACTATTGACTATTGGCTATTTCATGCGTTAGATATATTTTCATGGTGTAATTGTGTGTTTACGTGGTGAGACCGTATCTCCAAAACCATGAGCGGGTCCGTAATGATTTAGAAAGAAGATGTGCATTATCTGTGTCTTGTATTTTGTACTTTGTCAATTTGACACAGTGGTAAGTAGCCGGGGTTTTTGTAAAAAAAAAAAAAAGGCTTGTTAAAAAGCAAAGACACAGCTGGATCTTTTGAAGTTTGGCTAAATTGAGCCATGAAGAACCTCGACTGAGTCAAGATCTCACAGTGCAGATAGCATGTGTGGAAAACATCACCCCCATTGTCACAGGGGGACACCAGCAGAAAGGCAGGTTGTTGGTCTGAAGAAAAGGGCTTTCTTCATCCTCCAGACACATTTGAGAGGCAATGCTATTAAAGTTGCAGCTGCTGTGACTGCAGAAAGAAGAACCCCAAGACATTCAATTAGGGGAGAAAGACTACATGAGCATTGGGGATTGAAAGCCAGCCGCTTCAATTGTGCAGTTTTACCAAGCGGATGTTGTATGAGGTAAAACTGTCACCTCATACAACCCAATGTTGTTAAACGCCTCAGCCCACGACCCCATCGATTGTTAAAAAATACTTTGGGCAGCTATAGCACACATTAGAGGCCCCGGGAAGAAGAACATTCTGGAAATAACAAAAGTGCTTTTGGAATTGTAAAATTATTTTTGAGTATAAAAACAAAAACGATTGAAAAGGTAGAGAGAAAGTGACACAGAATAATAATGCTCAATTTTGGGCATTTGATGGACTAAAACCACCTTGCGGTTTACTGCACGGATCACTAGCACATTGTCTGGAAAAATATGTACTGTAGATGCACACTCAGTCGCCCAAAGTCCTGCAAAATGTGTTTTTGATTTTTTTCTGGTTGACGGCTTATTCCATGTGTACAGTATGTAACATTACATTAAATACTTATTAGATACAATCAAGATTTTGTGAATGAATGAATGCTACTGCAGATGTTCAAGTCAGGCAACTTAAGTTCAGTAAAGAGGTTTCAAATCATTAGATCTGCTGTAGTTCTCCTCAGAAGAACCAGATCAAGGACTCTTCCTATAAAGAGTCAGTCCCACTTTGTGTTATCGACCTTGTCCCACTGCGCCCTCTGCTGGAAATTATTTGTTTGATCATCGATGGAATTTTGTGTCAACCAATTATTTTAATAAGAGCGATCTATTTGAAACCCATTTTTTCAATGTTGTCATTGTATGGTATTGTATGTTGTCAATTTGAAATGATTTATGGTCAATGGCCCTGTTGACTTTATTCACCATAAGAAAACATACAACAAGGCCCAACGTTTTTCCTGACGTTAATCAGTTGGCCTGCGGGCCGACACAAACACAGCGCTGATACTTAAGATGTCCCCAACCGGGCTTCCAATTTTGATCGCGTTCATTCTTTCATTAAAAGCGTCACAGTTATTCAGGCTCCACCTACTTTATAACACTGTCCAATTTTTTATGCTGTCTTTTTCATTTGTTGTCAATCAGAGGAAGAAGCAGTACCAGGCCCTCACACTCTCTCCTGGTTTATTAAGGTAAGCAGCATTATATTCATCCTCAAAATGAAACATATACACATCGGATCAGAGTCAGAAAAAATATTACACGATAGCTGAACCTGAACACTTCTTGTTTGTCTAATTGTGTTCATTGTTATCTTAGAAACACATTTTTGTTGTTGTCTCACTCACTATTTGTTATTTGGGCTTTTCAGTCACAAGAAAACAACTACTAGAAAGCTTGCGAGAGAAAAGAAAGCAGACTTGAGTATTAACTTTAAAACATTCTTATTGTGAGAGATTGTCAAATTCACAAACAGATGTTATTGGATATATTAAATAACACAGCATTAGCCGTTTACTAATAAATAGCATGTTACTGTAGTGAGATTTTAGTGTCCGATGGAATAAAAAGGTACATGAGTGGCATCCAGTCACCTTCTATAACGTGGTCTATTTTAAAGGAAAGGTGCAATGTCACCAAACCAGCTTTACCAGCACATTCCTGAGATTACAGAGAGAGATTTTTTTTGATTTTTAGAAAATCTTTATTTTACATTAAAAAAACAATTCACAGTCATCAGTCACTTTGGCGGTGGCCCGTCTTCCCGCTCAGGATCCGCCGGTCAGACGCCTCACTCAGCCCCATTTCCTCCATCCCTGGTGATCTTGAGGTTGATCTTCCGTAGTCGGAAGACCTCCCGCTGGGTGTAGTCTGCTGCACCCTTTTTCGTGCAGCAGTGTCGAACGGAGCGCGCAAACTTCTCCGGAGTCGGAGAAGTAGTCCTCCAGCTCCACTCCTCTCTGGTTCTTGGTGGCCAGCAGGAACGATTTCATCCGCCCCACCCCGTGCCTGCTGGTGACCGTCCCCCCTGAGGAGACACTGTTTTCAGAGGCCCACCCTGAAGAGGACTCTGACTCCCCCACCTCCCCACTTTTCCTCTGGCGCCCCCCCCCCCCCCCTCTTTTTGCCCGAGAGCCTCCCCTGCTGGCCCTCGTCTTCCTCTTCAGGCGGGGGGCCTTAAAGTTCACCCCCCCCTCTTCCATATATTTCTCGCCGTCCGAGGTTCCACCTCGAAAAGCTCCCCCGCTACCAAGTGCCCCCATCCCCTCTTTCACTCTGTCACACACACCTGCCCGCTGAGCTACATTCAACCCCCCATCCACTCCGACATTCATCCCCTCTGACCCCTCATCCACCTGACCGACCGGCTGGCCCTCACCCAATCCCACAGTCACCCCCTCACCCACCTGACCGACACTCTCCTCCTCATCCACCTGACCGACCGGCTGGCTCTCTCTTGTCGGCACACTCAACCCCTCAGCGACCGGTTGGGCCTCACCCATCGCCACACCCACCCCCTCACCCGTCTCTACAGTCACCCCCTCATCCACCTGACCGACCGGCTCGGCCTCACCCCCTCCCACACTCGCCCCCACATCCAGCAGAGCGGACGAGGGGTTCCTCTCCGGGCAAACCCTCGCCAGGTGTCCCTCTCCACCGCAACGGAAACACCTCCCATCGTCCGATGTGGCGAACATGGCGTAGTCAAACCCCTCGATCCTCACCTTAATCACCAGGTCGAGGGCCTGGGGTTTGGTGAGGACCATGTGGAGTTGCCTCCTATGCGACACCACATGCCTCATTAAAGGCGACTTGCAACCCGAGGACAGCTTTTTAGGCGGGGACACCACCTTCCCGTGTTTGGCCAGCTCCTCCAGCAGCACTCCGTCAGGGACGAACGGCGGAACGTTCGCCACCGTCACCCTGACGGCCGGCACCGCGAGCGGAAAGACGGGCACGTGCGCCTCGCGGACCACCACACCGCTCGCCACCACCTCGCGCGCCTTCTTTGAAATGCTCCTGAACTCTAATTAGCAAGTGATGATGCTTTCCGAAAGCATTTTGTTCTTTCTCTTTTCGTTTTTGTTCTTTTCTCCTAGGTGGGAGTAAAAGTGGGCAGGCTGTGTCGGCTGGATTTCGTCTTTATTTATAAATGTTAACAAAAAGCTGAAAAACAAAAGAAATGTTAGATAAAGCACATTTTTAATGCATTCTGTCTCTGTCAGTTATTTCAGATAATACATTTATAGATTACAAGGATCATTTTGGTTCCCATTTTTAAAATATTTTTTCCTTCTTGCAGGCTTTCTCTCAGGCTCCTTCAGCAGATATCATGGCGATGGCTCAGGGACCTTTTCTTGTAGGAACAGCACCACTGTTCGCTCCAGTCCCCGACCCAGGAGTCACTCAACCGCAGCAGCCCAGTGTAAATATCGCCGTCTCATCGCAACAAACCGTTCAACAACCCCTTCAACAACAAGTTCAACAACCTGCTTACATCCAACAGCAACCTCAATTCGTGCAGCCAGGTGAGTATTTCCAAAATGTAACTTTGCGAATGCCGAATATATAATACAAAGTGAGAAAGCTTTGCAGGTTCAAAAAGATCATTCCTCAATATTTGCGCTGCATTATTAGCTGCAATTTATTTCTTTTACTTTCTCAATAATTCCAAACAATGACTAACATACATGTGTTGAGGAATACTGAATACTATGATACAGCAAATGAAACATTTTTACTGTACAAATTTAAAGATTCTCCAAAAAGTCCCATATTTGCATGTTCTCAATATATGTAGTCTCTCAACCTCAACCGACCACCCAACCCAGTGTAAATATCGCTGTCTCATCGCAACAAACCACTCAACAAGTTCAACCACCTGCTTACCAGTACATCCAACAGCAACCTCAAGTTGTGCAGCCCGGTGAGTATTTCAAATCTATAGGACGAAGTGAGAGAGCTTGAGTTTGGTGACGGGAAGTAGGTGTGGATTGCCGTTAAATAGTGGTGGATGTCTGTCTCACAGTGAACCAGGTGGTGGTGGTGCAGCCAAATCCCACCGACACTTCTAGACAAAAGATGTGTCCCAACTGCCGAAACACTGGTATGACTCAGCTCAGGTACATCAATGGAATGCTCACCTGGCTGATCTGTGGCGTGGTGGGAATCTTCGGGTAAGTAAAGTAGCCTTACACACACACACACACACACACACACACACACACACACTCTGTAAAGAACCATAATGACCATATGTAAGTTTATGCAACTGAGTCTCTCAAGTATGTTGAATTTGTGCTTATACTTAATTCAACTTTTCTCCGTGGGTTTTTAACGATTTAAGAACTTCAGTTTACTTTAATTTTAAGCTGGAGGAAATGTTGTTATAAGTATTATTTTAACATTATTCTTGATTCAGGTTCTTGCCTTACATGTGCATTCCCTCCTGTGTGAATTCATGCAAGGATGTGGAGCATTCCTGCCCCAGCTGTGGCCACGTCCTGTACGTTCATAGACGCACTTGAAACAACTCTGCTGAAGCAACAACAAATAAAAATCTGTTTTGTGTTGTTTTGTTCTTTTTTTGTCTGGAAAAATATGTACTGGACATGAATACTGTAGAGAACAGACAAAAAACACCTAAATGTGCTACAGTTCTTAAAAAAAAAAAAAAAAAATCTCGCTTTGTTGTAATTATACACAGCTCTTTCACATCTTTCTGTTTTCCCGTAAGTCTTCACTTATTGTATGTGTGTTTTTTGTTTTACACTCGACTTTTCAGTAATAAGGGTTTAACTCTCATTTTATCTGCTGGAGTTCTACTCAGAAGAACCTGATCAAGGGCTCTTCCTATAAAGCACATACAGCTTTGCCTTCTGGCTCAGCTCCCTTTTGGTCACACCGGTGCGGTAAAGCAAGTGGAATACCGCCCCTGCTGCTCCGATTCTCCGTCTAAATTCACACTCCATCTTCCCCTCACTTGTGAACAAGACCCAGACGTACTTGAACTTCTTCACTTGGGGTAAGGACACATTCCCTACCCAGATGAAGCAATCTATCGGTTTCCTCCTGAGAACCATTTCCTCAGATCTAGAGGGGCTAATCATCATCCCAACCGCTTCACACTCGGCTGCGAACCGGTCTGGTGAGAGTTTGGAGGTTGTGATGGATCTACAAGGCGCAGGGAACTTTGAGGTGCGTAAACGCTATTTCCAAAATTCTAGAGGTGCGTAAACGGCGTTTACGTGCGTTTACCCTCCACTACAGCCCTGCGTGTAGTTGAGGAACACCCAATCCTTCGACTTGAAGTCCGGCTCTGTGGCGTTGGCTGTAGAACACATGACAAGAGGAGGTGTTAATATTCTGCCACCTGAAGGGCAGTGCATCGTGTGAATGAAAAGGCTGCACCCTCACCCTGCTCTTGATTGCGATGGAGACGGCTGCAGGACGCTCCCTGTGGGGACGAGATGCTGAAATCACAAGCATTAAACTCGTGCTTTTGAGTTGAGCTAAATAATGGCATTTTCCTTGAATTACATTACATGTCATTTAGCTGACGCTTTTATCCAAAGCGACTTACAGTAAGTGCATTCGACCATAGGGATACAAACTCAGAAGAACAAGAAACCAGTGCAATTTCCTCTAATAAGCCAATTTACAATTTGCTATAGATAAGTGACGTTACAAGTACAATTTAAGTGCTACAATTTGTTAGTCTTTTAGTCGAGGTAGAGTCTGAAGATGTGAAGGCTCTCTGTGGTCCTGGTGTCGGCTGATCTTCAAATCATGTTTTCAAGCATCGTTATTTTTCTTTCTTTGCTCATTGATGGACTGTTTGTTGTGTGCAGAGATACATCGCTATCAACAGTACTGAGCACAGTTTCTAGGCCTGCTGTCTTTTTGTGGTTGGAAATAAAATGTCAAATTTGGCTCGACGGGGCGGCACGGTGGCGTGGTGGTTAGCACTGTTGCCTCACAGTAAGAAGGTCCTGGGTTCGATTCCGCCCAGTGGCCTTTCTGTGTGGAGTCTGCATGTTCTCCCCGTGTCTGCGTGGGTTCTCTCCGGGTTCTCCGGCTTCCTCCCACAGTCCAAAGACATGCTCTGGGGATCAGGTCAATTGGGGACTTTAAATTGCCCGTAGATGTGTGAATGTGAGTGTGAATGGTTGTGTGTCTCCGTGTCGCCCTGCGATTGGCTGGCGACCAATCCAGGATGTACCCTGTTTATCGCCCGAAGTTGGCTGGGATGGACTCCAGCCCCCCCGCGACCCTGTGTGCAGGATAAGCGGTTTGACGATGGATGGACAATCTGTATTATTAACTGAAATGCATTACCCATCTCTTGCAGTGATGTGGGGTTCTGGTGTATTGCTGCTCCTGGTTGGACTCTGGTATAAGTCCCACGCCCAGAGCTCGGAGCCTATGTTCCAGGATGTAACACAGACAATGCTCCCTCCAGACAGTCTGCACAATCCCACACAGCTAAATTATGGAATGGCTGTAACAGACGTGGATGGGGACGGTGACCTTGAAGTGATTGTGGCTGGGTGAGTGTGAAAATTAGTTTGCTGTTTCTTATGTTCATTTCTCTGCACAGCAGTGGTAGACTCCGGCTGTGTTAGGGACAAAACACTGCACCAGCTGCACACAGTGGGTCACAAGCACGTAGAAAGCTAACATTTTTTCAATTTTAAGGCCAGACCAGCCAAGACGGCACTGAATTATATTTTCTACAACAGAAAGGAAACCAATACGGGCAAAACAAATGTGTTTGCTGTTATCCTTCAGGTACAATGGGCCCAACCTGGTGCTGAAGTACAGTCACACTCAAAAAAGGCTGGTGAACATTGCTGTTGATGACAGCAGCTCTCCATACTTTGCCCTGAGGGATCAAGCAGGAAATGCTATTGGAGTTACTGCTTGTGATGTGGATGGAGATGGACGTGAGGAGATCTACTTCCTCAACACAAACAATGCCTACTCTGGTAAAAAAAAAAAAGTGCATCCTCTGATATATCCTCAACATTTTTTACTAGAGCATTAATTTCAGGTAGATGAAGGATTTCCCTCATAATAACTGGTTTAATTTTTTTTTTTAATGCAGGCAGAGCAACCTACTCAGACAAACTGTTTAAATTTCGGAATGGCCGCTTTGAAGATCTTCTAGGAGATGAGCTTAATGTGCGTCGTGGTGTCGCCAATGGGATGGCGGGACGTTCGGTTGCATGTGTTGACAGAAAGGTCAGTGAACCCACTCTGTTAACCTATTCAGGAATTCCCACTATCACATCTGCTCTTTTTTTTGTGTTGTGATTTCTCAATGATTCCATCCCAAGAAAACCGCCCTCTCACTCTTCTGGCGGTTGTTGCTCTACAGGGAACAGGCCGTTACTCCATTTACTTGGCCAACTATGCAAGCGGCAACGTCGGTCCCCACGCTCTCCTCGAAATGGACGAGGCGGCCAGCGATGTCCCCAACGGCATCATCGCTCTGTCTGACGTGGCGGCCACGGCCGGGGTCAACAAGCTCACAGGTCGGGCGTCAGATTGGAAAGGTCAAGTCTGTGATGTTTTGAAGTGCCCTGAATCGGCCCAAGTACTCGCTGTTGTGCTCTCCGTGCAGGTGGGCGCGGTGTGGTCGTTGGACCAATCCTGAGCGAGTCGAGGTCGGACGTGTTCTGTGACAACGAAAACGGACCAAACTTCCTGTTCAAGAATAATGGAGACGGGACTTTTGTTGACGTGGCAAAACAGTCGGGTGAGAGTCAAAAGGGAAGGGAGGAAGCAGAGGTAGTAGGAGTAGATATACTTTGAATTAAATGTAGTCTTCGAGTGCAGTGTGTGTTATGGCCCATGGTGCTTATCGGTAATGTAAACACTAAAACCAGTAAGGCAGCAGCGTGGCTTTAGGGATGGGAGTATTTAATGGAGTATTTAATGGATTGCCTTGAAAATCATTTGTTAACCACTAAATAGAAAAGGGATTTGCAAAAACCGATGACATTCGTATCACCATCAGTGGTGTTGTTTGTGTTTAGTGCAAATATTACAGTGCTACTACGCTAATAAGACCGTGGCAACCATGGTAGCTGCTAGACGCGAGCATGTTGGTGTTGTCACTTTCAGCATGTTAGCGTGTTAGCAAAGCCCCACTGTGAGTTCAACCTGCCAGAAGCTTTCAACATTGTGTCAACCTCTGAAGGAGTGGGGGACCAGTACCAGCACGGCAGAGGAGTAGCACTGGCTGACTTCAATGGCGATGGAAAGACAGACATTGTCTACGGCAACTGGAACGGCCCCCACAGGCTCTTCCTGCAGGGCAGCGACTCTAAGTTCAGGGTAGGAAAAGTCGAGCAGGGCCGTGTCGTAGAAGATTTAGTCCGTTTGACAGAGCGATGCTTGACAGTGTTCCCTCTGTGCAGAACATTGCCGCTGGAGGATTCGCAGCCCCCTCACCTGTTCGCACAGTCATCGCTGCTGACTTTGACAACGACAAGGAGCTGGAGGTGTTTTTCAACAATATTGCGTATCGAGGCAATGCCGCTAACAGGCTCTTCAGGTAACTTTTCCCTTTTTATGTCAATACATAGTCTAACAAGTTGAACTATTAAAACAGTCGATTTCTTTTTACATAATTAGCTATATTTAGATGACTGTGTGTTTGTTTGCAGGGTGTCAAGGAGAGCAGGTGCAGACCCGTTGATCCAGGAGCTCCACGTGGGAGATGCTGCAGAGCCGCAGGGGCGAGGAACAGGTCAGCTGAGGAGAAGAAACACAGCTGTCGGATAAAGTCCTTTTGTGAGTCACTTCAGAGAAAGCTGTTTGTTTCGGACAGGTGGCACCGTGACAGATTTAGATGGGGACGGACAGCTGGACCTGCTGCTGGCACATGGAGAGAGTTTCCAGCAGCCAATCTCTATCTTCAAGGTCACACAGGTGTGTGTGTGTGTGTAGCGGTTGTACTCTTTCTTGCGTTGTGTTGTTAAAATCACCACCAGGACACGGACCACATTCGGCTCGTATCGGCCGTTTATTGTGTGACGTTAAGACACCTGGCGAACACACAGAAGTTAAGTCCTCAGAAGGAACCTCGTGGCATCATAACTGCCAAACAGAATGAAACACATGAGCTAGTTGAATTTAGCATTAGCCTTTTTAAGGGGACTTTCTACAGCCAACTTACCAGTTACACACCCTGCAGCAGACTGACTTTTTAGCTACAGGGTGTCGCACCCACGTCCGCAGTGACCCACTAGAGGGCACCCACGTGACACCCTGTCATGACTCTTAGCGATGGCAAGTGGAGTCAAACACCTGTTACGTGTGTGTGTGTGTGTGTGTGTGTGTGTGTGTGTGTTTAAATTGTGTTAATGTGTCTTTGTGAGACTCATAAACTAAACCGTGTCACCTCACCAGGGCTCGTCCAACAACTGGCTGCGGGTCGTCCCTCGCACCCAGTTTGGCTCCTTTGCCCGGGGAGCCACGGTGACCGTCTTCACCAGTCGGAGTGGAGCACACACACGCATCATTGACGGAGGTTCGGGGTACCTGTGTGAGATGGAGCCTGTCGCACACTTTGGTTTAGGTAACTTTCTTTTTCTTTTGCACAGGAAAAGATGTAACTAAGCTCGTGATGCTCAGTGGTATTTTCTTTGTGCGCCTGACTCCCAGGAAGCGATCAGGTGACGGCACTGGGCGTCTCCTGGCCGGACGGCAGCTTCGTCACTCGAACCCTTCAGCCTGGTGAAATGAACTCGGTGGTGGAAGTGCCCTATCCCAAAGAAGGGGAATCTTCTCTGCTTGCTAATGAAACGCAGGTACAGAGAACAGATCCACGGCATGAATTATGAACTCGGGTAATGTTCAATGGTCCTAAAAACACGGTCATTCACTCTCACTGTCAATTTCAGTTTTGAAGCATTTTTTTAACAAAACAGCAGACAAGACGAGTCTCTCGCTTTCTTTTTTATTGTTGTCAGTAACATTACTGATCACTAATACACATATGTTCCTTCCTTCAAAATTCAAAATAAATTACAACGTTGGTTTTGGATCCCAATAAATGTAATTTTTTTCTTTTTGTTTAGTGTGGTGACGGGTTTACTGTCAAGAATGGCCGCTGTGCAGGTAAGAAAGCTATTCACTGCTTTAAACAAAGTGCTTCAAAATCAAATATTTGTTTTCTATTTAATTTCTATTTATGTTTCTACAGGTCTGTGAGGAAAATCACTTGATATGCAATCAAAATGTTCCATGACTGTGGAAGATACAATGTTACAGAACGCATGGTTTTAAAAAACTTTCCTTTTGTCTGCCCTGTAGGGGCTTCGTTGTTTTCTTTACTTATGAGTAGTTTTAATATTTTTGTTTTCATCAGTTTTCTCTTAACTGCCTACTTCTACTGCAACTCTTTTAATAAACTCCTGCAATTCACTATGGTCAGATTATTACTTCATACAACAGTCATTTAGCTTTAGCAATGCTTTGAAACGCTGTGTTAGTCTCCGTACACCTTTTGACTGTCGGTGGCAACAAACACAAACTATTGCTGCCTGCGTGTATGAAGACAGCAATACTTTGTGTTTTCAGTAAGACCTTAAGCCATCTGACACAGACTAGCTGTAACTATCACAGTATTACTACTAGTAATTAGTATTAGTAATAGTCACTATTACTCACACCTTCCATCCACGTGTCTGTCTTCCTATTGTTGTTTCAACCAGTCATACCGTGTTGTCCTAATTTGTCTTTCCTTATCTTCCTCCTCCATTTTTCCTCTGCCCCATCCTGTCCCTCCGTTGTTGCAGCGTTGGCTTCATTTTACGATGGCGTCCGCTCCCCATCTGTCTCCGCATTCGCAGACTCCCGTTGTATGACTGTTTTACTACAGTGTGCCGTGGCTCTCTCTGCACTGGCAGATCTCAGGGGATGGTAGTCTTTAGGGTAGCAACGCTACAGTAAGACAGCCGGGACCCAGCATCTGCTCGAAGACTCGACTTTCTATTACATGCAGTCACAGAGAGTCTGTTCAGAACGCACATCCAAGCAGATGGGTGCATGCAGCCGTCCCTCCGTGCTGTGAGGGAAGACTAAAAAGGGGGTTAGTTTTCGTACGAGCCTGCATGAAAACACGACAGAATTTTCCTGACTAAAGCTTGTAAAGTCAAAATAAAACTTTTTGAAAAAATCTGACATTTAATATTGAGTATTTTTAGAGAATGACAGGGACCTATCATGAAAAATACCAGCCCTTTGAAACTTCAAATTCAAATGAACATGTCACAATATTAAATGTGAGAGAGGGCTAACATGCATGACGTAAAATAAATAAAAATCCTTGTATCTATTGCATCTCAAACTTTAAATAAAAGCTGCAAGCAGCATTGATCTGTGCATTTATTTCACCATCTGTGTGTATTTCCTTTGTAGGCCAGTGTCTTTGTAAGTTGCTTTGGATAAAATCTAAATGACATGTAATGTAATATGTTTAGCCAGGTTTTAATTACTTCTGAGTGACTCAAAGTTACATGCGGTGAAAACAATATTTTCTAGAGAAAGAATAACTGAAACCAAAAAAAGGGCCGATGTAGAATTAAATTCCTTTACATTTTGGCCTGGCTCGAAAATGAATGAAAACATTTGAATTGAATTTATTAAGTCAATTCTGCATGTGTTGACATGCAGACGTCCTCAAGCAATGGCTTTTCATAAAGCATGTCAAGTTAGGGAGACTTTTGACTGATTTTACTTGAGTTACAGCTTCTGATGCATGACCACGTAAAACTGCCACATACGACGTCTTTCTATAAAACCCAAAGCTTTTGTTAACATTTAATCACAAAAGGTTTTTAGATGTAATGATCAAACTTTAAGTTGATGCGATTAACTCCCCAGAAGGAGTTTGTTAAATAACAGCGCCTGGAAAACTAAAAGTAAAACATGACCAATCTGACTTTTCAGTCTGATGACTAGTATAGAAATGTTGATTAATGACGCTTTAATGACTGCTTTCCATTTAGGAGCTCTAGTTGCAGCACCTTGCAGTGGTGCATGCTGGGTTATGGTCATGCCTGAATGGAAAAAGGTCATCGTTAATGTCAGAGCCATCGGGTGCTTTTCCTGCTGTGATGACCCAACATGTCTGCCGTAGTGAATGTTCTGTTTTGTTTATTTACAGTTCAACAGCAGGAATACGAGCAGTGCACGCGTGATGGAACAGTATTTATTTGACGGCAGTCATATATAGCTCAAAGCCATGTGTATCAACCAACAAGCAGTACAAAAGTTATTCTCTTGCACAAAATGTCCCCAAAACAAATGACACATTCTCAATTGTTAACCAGTTTTTGGCTGTTATTGTTCTTTGGAAGCTTGTTCAGAAATCAAGGAGGTGTGGGTGTATTTTAAAACACGACAGGTAAGATCCAGGAAGACTTTTTGATCCGTTCTTTGTCTACTTACTACTGCATTCAATGCACAGTACGTCTTTGCATAATCTAAAATTTACCAATCGTAGGTCTCACTCCTTCACAAGAGGTTAGTACTTAGATATGTTTGTGTGTCTAAAAACAAAAAGATCTGCCACATAAAATACACAGTTGGATTGAATGACATTCATCTGCTACCAGACAGCATGATTTACATCAGAGGTCAAAGAGTTGTTCAGTTTTTAGGTTTGGTGAAACGTTGTGATGCCTTCAGATGCTTCTACGTCCTCCTTACATTTGCAAAAGGTTCAGTCCAATTCGGTCCGTCGTGATGCAGCTGAGGTACGAGGTTCCATGAGGCTTGTGGTCGACACTCCCTTCCTTCCTTCCTTCCTTCCTTGTCACCCACCCGATTAAACATAGCGGCGGTAAATTTGACAAAAACACCAAGGAAGGTAATGGTACGATCACAGCAGCAAAATGGTTATTTTTTCTTTTTACCGAGACGTTGCGTCGTACAGTAACGCGTCCGTGTACCGTGCAGACAAACTACTGCAGCATGTGTTGTAGGTCGGACACCTGCAGCATGTGACGGCACGTCCGTTGCAACGCGCCAAGAGCTGGTGAGTCCTTCGTGCGAGCGTAGTTTTGGGATGTGCGGGCAAATTGTGGGAACAAGAGTAACATTGTTGTCCGAAGTTCTCCGGGGCTGGAGGTGATCGGGGAGGTTCCGGCCGTTAGGAAGTAGGGAGTCATCGCGCGGTGCTGCCGGACACGGAGCTGCTTCCCGAGCTGGAGCCGCTGGAGCCCCGGTCCTCGTAGATGGAAATCTCTATCTGGTGGGAGAGTTAAGGGAGGAAAAAAAAGTGCCGTGGAGAAACGTTTATTAAGATCCAGAAACTTCTACGCAAGGATACAACACGCATTCCCCGGTCTATGGGATCTGTGACCAGCAGCCCTCTGGGAGCGTAGACCTTCTCATTCTGCTCCTGTATGTACTTGGCGATCTTCTTCAGCACCTAACGCACAGTACAAAAAAACAAAAGGAAGAATGCTCTGCAAGCCCGGATATGTGATCATCAATCAAATGAGATGCATCTGGCGTGAGGTTGCCAGTCTGACCTTCTCGTAGCGCGTCTCCATGCAGAGGAAGATGAGGTACGCTGTGGCGCAGGCCAGACAGCCCTCAAGGTAGGACTGGCCTCCTATCTTTTCTGCCTCTGCATAGTAGTTGTTCAACGTCTTCACAGTGTCTTCAAACAGCGTCCGCTCAATCTGGAGACACGCGGAGAGTCAAGCGGAGCAGGGTTAGGGTGGAAAAAGCACAGGCTCAGTGCCACAAAGGTCCAAATTCAAATGGGAACCTTTCGGATGAATGATGTGAGCTGTCTTTACCACAAGGACCCCAAATACAACTTTTATACCCATTGTTCTATGTGGCTAACGTCTATATTTGTATTTATTGTCTACTGTTCAGTGTTATGTTGTGTTAACCGCACAACACAAGTTGTGCGAGGAAGGGAGGGATGACGCGGGTACAATATTTTGAAAAGTGGGGTGTTGCATTCCAACCAATTTATTTGTCTTTTTGTAATTCTCAAATACACCTGTCAGATACACCAATGTGGGTGTATGTTCATGAGTTAATACAAGGTCTAAGATGTTTGTATTCGGCTACTGATGAATTGGATCTTTCTTCATATAGACATGGTTGTCTACAGTAATTAATTACCACATAGTAAGGCATTAATGAATAAATGAGCGTAATAACAGTAAAACTCCTATGATGGCTACAATAATACATACAGTTAAATAAGCATGCCGGGATTAAATGACAACCCAACATGACAGCGGCTGTCTCCTCACCCTGCTCTCCAGCTCGGAGGGGAACTTGGTCTGAAACCTGCAGGTGGTCCCTTCGCTGTAGTCTCTCTGGATGAAGACTTTATTAGCCAGAGACGCACTGTGCCTCAACTCCTGCAGATTGTGGAACTGAGGAGGACCAAACACACACACACACACACACACAATAATAGTGAGGTTTGATACAATATGTCTCTACGAGCCCCCATAAAGAGCTTCATCTCCCTCCACGCTGGCTTCACTCGCAGTGTGTGCAAACAGCAGCCGCTTTGGAAATGTAGGATGATAGAGGAGATGTGATCAATCACTGTCTCAGTGTCTGCACTAAATTCTGCCCCGTCTGTTGGAGCACAGCCAAGCAGTGGACATAGTATCTTTACACACACACACACACACACACACACACACACACACACACACATTTCATTACAGCTCACAACAGATCGATCCGCTGGGACGTGATGAGGCAGATGAGGGCCGCCCAGCGTCTTGTGACTAAGTGTGTATGCAGGGACAATGTGCAATGTGCACGACATAAAAGTGTATCCCGGATAACCAACAACTGTTTGGAACTATCATATATATTTGTTTTTAATGCATTTCCGATTCAGGCTGAAATATAGCACCGAGGAAGGTCATAGCGGCGTGGCTTCTGTCCATGGTGCTGAATGCGTGTGTGTGTGTGTGTGTGTGTGTGTGTGTGTGGTCACCGTCCACAAAACCACCGGATTAACGGGGCGTCTCAACAGACAAAAACACCAAAACAGCTTATCGTTGTTTCTGACCCGGTCGCTGTTTCCGTGCTTTATGGAAACAGCGACCGGTCTGAAGCTTAATTTCAAAGTTCCTTTTTTTAGCGATGTAATTCATTCATTTTCAAACAGGCAAAACGCGTTTATATAGATAATAATTTAGTTAAAACGGCCGCTGCGCGGACGAAGCTTGCATGATGATGGCAATAGGGCATGATTGTAATGTAGGGCATGATGGTAATGTAGGGCGAGAGTGAACCGTGTGCAGCCCGCGCGCCCTCGTTGTCCACGGCGGCTGCACCCGGTTTGTCCACCTGGAAGTACCGTTACGGCTGTGAACGCTCGTGGAGGCGAATGTCAGCAGGGGTGGGAAACAGAAGAACACAGATAACAGGTCTTACCTCTGTCGCCATGTTGCCACCCGCCGCCGTGGGAACGCGTCCCTTCATGCGCTGGAATCGCTTTAAGTGGGACAGATTGGAGGAGGAGGAGAGGGGAGGGGCGGGGCGGAGGGCGCATGGGGCGGGGCGGATGAGAGGGGCGGGGCTACCGCGTTCAGGTCGTATTAATCCTTTTTTCCCCCCACCGTCCCCCAGCGGGAGATGTGGATGCATGTGCAGTCAGCCACGACCCTGACTTTAAGACGGATGATATACAATATAGATGTTTATTTTTAAGCACAAACAGTTAAACCATTGTCACGGCAATAAACAAGTTAAATATTAACAAATATTTTTGCAACCGGATGCAATTAGATATTGCTTATACAAAATATTGTTTTACTAAAAGCGCCTGATGAGACCAGCAATGTGCTGCAAGGTCTGTCTAGTCAAGTCTATTTGAGGGTAACTGCAGATATTGGGGATTATTGAGGGATGAAAAACCAAACAATCACGTGGTTTATATGAACACACAAACTGAAGCGAAGCGGTCAATAAATTCATTGGTATTTAACTTTCAACAACATTCTGAAAGTCTTGTGGTACTCTGTGTTTTTACTACAGAATTTTTGTGTTCTTTGCTAACTTTGCTTCCATGCCTCTGGAGACGAGACAGCAGAACCTGAAAGAAATCCTCACTTAAAAAAAAAAAAAAAAAATACATACAACACGTGAACCATTGACCATGAGTTTATTTCAACAGTGGCTTTTGCATTCATTAAATAAGGGCATCATACAGAGACTTGATCTTTAGGTCAAATAATAACTTGCATCTGGAGTTTTAAATTAAATATATTAGATATAGTTGAACGATTTATAGTTAGTTTATATTGGATTACAATAAAAGCAAAGCAAACTATTACAATCATACGTGTCTGAATCATGTTGAAAACAACCGCTAAAATCCACATTTTGAGGTACGATGCCTCCACATCAATTCTTTTAAGTCCTGCTTGCAAGAGAGTGAGGCTGTGATGACGATTTCAGCGGGTTGTTCAGTCCATTCAATCAACTTTAATCCAGTTGGGTTGACTTTCATCCAGTTAGAAGAGAAGCGGACTTATAGGCTACTGATTCACTCCAAAAACGGACAAAAGGGAAATAGTACAACCACGGTGAAGGACCTATTTGATCATTCCAAGTAGAAAAAGCCTCATTCAGCGTCCCGCTGAACACGATCTGGACTACTTGTCTAAACGGTTATTCATTGCAGGCCATGCAATTTTTGTTTACTGCCATAGTCATATCTATTCCGCTCATGGGATCTCCTCAAGCTTGTTACTGATGACCTGGACAAACCCAAAAGTAATCACATGACATCACTGACCAGCTACAGGTTTACAGGACAGTAAACAACGTCAGCTGGCCAGCCCACACACGGTGTCAAAGCAAAACAAAGAGCTCCATTTAGTGGTGCATCCATTATTTTGTTCATCCGAACAAACCAAATTCAGACTGCCAGCTTCTGCTTCCGCCATCGCGTTCAACACGCAGGTCCCGTTAAACTGCCGCGCGTGTAAAGCGTGTAAAAACCCATCGGTGGCCGATTAAACCGACCCCACCAGCCCAGACCTGGCCTCCACCCTGCGCATTGTGCACCTCCCTCTGCCCAGCAAAGGGTACAAGTGCTTTAACTGCGGAGCCAGTCTGGTAGATTCATAAAGGTCCAGTTCTTCATTGAGAGTTGAAACAGGAAAACATTTAACATCTTACAGTAGAAGTCCCAGACACGACATTAGTTTAGGACAAATGCTTTTGAAAACCAAGGCATGTTTGAGGGTGTTTCAGTGAGGAGGGCGAACAGCGATCGGCCTCCGACGGACCGGACTGAGCTGCCTTCTCTTCATGACTTGATGAGAGAGGAATTACAGGCAGCACAAACAAACACGGTCTCTCTCTGGGCCTCAGGAGCTGAAGAGGAGAGAACGAGTTGGATTTAAGGTACTATGCAACTTTGCCCGGCCAACAAAGACGTGTGAAAACAAGTCCGTATTCTCACCCGTTGCCCCCATGCAAGATCTCAGCACCTTGAAGGAACAGCAACGGGAACAGAAGCTGTTGCCACAGTTACTGCAGTTCCTCTGTAACGCAAAGACGCATCGCATTCAAGCTTGTGACAATAGAACAGGAAGACAAAACTAAACAAGATGCTGAGGTGCGGCAGAAATATAGCTCTACGTTCTCAGTCTCACCCTTTTCTTCAGCACAGAGAAGACGGCGTTGCAGCTGGAACAGTTGCCTTTGGAGAAAAACACAACGCGGTAAATGGGATTATGGAAAATGAAATGCAATCATTCAGAGCTGTGATTTAAGTCCAACCACAGACCGCTTCTTCTTTTATAACTGCGCTATATAAAGCGGTGGATGAGTCAGAGCGGACTGACCTGTGCTGGTGGTTGGGTAGCGTTTACGCAGTTTCTCCGTCAGTTTAGACACTTTGCTGCGTATTGGTTCGTTGCGGCTCAAAAGACCATTTTCAGAGATGGTGTCATACTCAGGAGCTCCGAGAGGCCCGTCATCATCCTCCTGCGGGGGGGGGGTAAACAAAGAAAAACTCAGTCGCAGGCCGCGTACTCTGGAATTTGTCTTTCGGGAATGGAATCCTGGCCAAGAAACTCGAGCCAAACTCGGGATTAGCATGTGAATTTCAGCCGGCTCGTGCGACGGGATTAATGGAGACAACAATTCTAGGCCTGTAATTCTAGAGTCATTATTACTACTGCATAACTCATGTCAAGGGAACTGGTAATGCACTTACCACTAGGACCAAAGGGGTCTCCTTGTTAGGCAGCAGAACAACACATGAGAAAAATGTTACCCACAAACACTGATGACATTCAGTAAGACGACGCAGCAGCACACCGCCAACCCTGCTTCCAAAAGCAACGCATGGATCACACCGCAAGGTCACCTCACACGGGGATGCTACACATGAGGTTGTTGTTCATGTGTCAAGCAGCTCTTTAATGCAAGTTTAGGGAGGGGACGCACTCACCTGCAGGGACACCGCATGTTTCTGAGTTCACAGGACAGTAGAGACAAACGGGACAAACATAATCACAGGAGGAGTTTTTTCAACCAATCATAGCAAGCTGCAACACTAGCTATTCACATACATAAACGTACATAAGCGGCTTCAGAACACATTCAACCCCACTTGTTGCACTTTATCTGATGTAAATGTAAATGCATTTAATTCACATTCGTAGATCGTTGAGGACAAAATAAACCGTGATAAGAACATGTGGTAGAATCAAGTTAAAGCAGCAGTTACCTCAATGGCATCCTTAAATTCGTCATCGGGCTCTGCCTCTTCAGCCTCCTCCACGCTGCCAGGAGACAGGTCCTGGTACCACAGAGGCGCACGCATGAAATACTGAATTCATGGTCTCTGTATCAGCAGTGGTTTTGCTATAACCGATGGATTGGCATAACTCTCAGGATAAATATTTAGAGCAAGGGAAATAGCAGATAAGCTGCTTACAGCCATGGTTGGTCTTAATGTAAATCACAAGGCTTAATTCCCTCAGCATTCAAAACCTACATACAGATGTCCTCTCACCTCCAGACTAGTCGGTGTGGGGGTCTGGTCCAACGAGTGGCCGTGTTCCTGCTCTTCACACTTGCCCTCCGAGGCTTTGGCCCGGCCCGTCTGGAGCATGTTCCTAAGGTCCAACAAGACTGCAACCACAAGAATTAGGCTGATCTTTGCTCTCTGAAGTACGAGCGAGTGTTTGGCCTCGCTTCCCCCCCCCCGGAGAGGACGAACTAACCTCTGCAGAAGTCTCTGTTCCACAGGAAGACGGTACTGTTGAGCCCAGCGAGCACCCAGCCCAGAGGGGCGATGTAGAGCAGGCACGCAAATATTAACATCCCTCCGTAGCACCTGGAGAGACAAGTGTCAGGTCCCACTCACGCACAGAACACCAGAAGAGTTGATAATAAAGTACCACCACGCAGTATTTAAGATAAGCCGTTTACAGGAACTAACATATTACACTGATATTCCAGATCACACACCATCACATGCCCAATGAAGTGACATTCGAAGTCGCAGCGGGACATTTACTTTTTTTCTTAAAATGGATCGTTTGGGTGATTTTGAGTATTTTCACTGCTTAATCTGCCATCAAACAGCCTTTTCCAAAAGGAAAGAAATGTATCTACGCTTCAATTCTCTCTCACTACATTTCCATTCAAGAAAAACATTCAAAATATAGCATTAACTTAAACTAATACCGATACCATTTCCTGGTACTACGGTTTCTCAAAGCTGCCATCTACCGTTGACTGGCAAGATAATTACGCAAGTCCAAACATAAAACCAAAACATAAAACCAAAACAAATAATAATATATCATTAAATAAATATGCTCATCCTGCACAAGACCTAATGTGATTTAAGGTTGCGGTAAAATGCTGCATAAATGTACTTCACATTTCTTAAAAGTACTAGTTACTGGTAGTAACTCCGTGTTAGTGGGGTGGACACACAGAGAATAACGAGTCCAGGAGCAGAACATTAACCGTGGTTAATGACTCGCCTGTTGAGCGATGTCTACTCAACTACCGCTGATATTGTGTGTGTGTGTGTGTGTGTGCGCGCACACCTTGATGACTTGGTGTGATTGTCCCAGTACAGGACCTTGTAAAAGGTTTCTGCTAACAGGCAGGCAGAGGACAGCATGTCATCCAGGTGCTTCAACCTGGTGGAGAGAACACACGCGGTAAGAGAAAACGCGGCACAGGAGCAACGCGGTGTACAAATGTCCTGTAGACTCATGTTCCCAAGGTGCGAGCCACGGTTCGATATTATACATTTAAATAGTATAGGATAGGCATTAGGTAAACATATATAACAGATTTAGATGCCACAAGACAATGATTGCGCACAGAAAAACAGACACAAACTTTCATTGCGTATTTACCACACACACACACACACACACACACACACGCTGATCCATTAAAAAGAAAAAAAGGCAACTATTTCCATAATTCTTAACAGAAAAATTATCAAGTGTGGCATTTTCAAATATTATTGAAATAAAAACTAGATTAGTGGTCCTCAAATGGGGGTGAAATGTTCTCAAAAACATTTTTTTAAAAAAAGATAGTGTAATTTCATGAACTCAAGTTTCTTTGTATTCAGTACACAATTACATTTCATTATCTTAAAAACCCAGAGTCGCCCCATACGAGTTTGCGTCGACCCAACCTGACACACGCCCCCTGTCAGCACCTGTCAATCACTGCAGCCTTAAAAGCTCAAACAAAGGAGTTGTGGTTTGAAGAGGCGTACTTGGCTGGGAGGAAGTATTTTGTAGGGCGTACATTACTGACAAAAGGTTGAGAACCACTGAACAAGTCATTTTATAGACTCTAAAATGAGTCAGTAGTTAGCCTTGCACACACAACCGCGTCCCCTTACAGGTCTTTGACTTCCAGCATGGCTTCCTGTTTGGTGAGATGCACCGTCAGCAGGTCCCTGCGGTGCACAGCGTGGTAGCGCCTCTTGTGGAGCTCGGAATCTGAGGCTCTTCCCCCGTACCTGTCCTGCAGGTAGCCCAGGGCAGCAGGCGCCGCCACCGCCACCACGCCCACCGTGATCCAACCCACTGACACCAGAGAGGAAGACACGACAGCCAGTTCATAAAGGACTCTCATTAGACATCAAACAAAAGTGCTCGTCCTCATCCTACCTTCATTAACGGTGCAGAAGAAACAATTGAGGAACATACAGACAAACAGAGAGCACACAGGCATCTTCCATCTGAAAAGATAAAAAAAGATGAGTGAATATTACAATATGCATTTGGCTCTACAAAAGCTATTACATCATGTGATGCCCGGCCAGGCCACAGGCAAACACGCACATACCCACCTGAGCAGGAAGCGGCTCAGCTCCACTGCATCTGCAGCTGGTTCTAGAAAGAGAGCCATTCTCTTATAGGACACGACCATGTTGAAGAGGTCAAAGTTTGGCGTACATCGCGGACTTCCCAACTCAGAGGCATCTGGGGACGCGAGGGTCTCTTTAGATAATGTGTGTGCCAGCTCCCCCACGTCTCCCGTACCATGGGAGGGGTCCTGGGACCCGCCTTGCATAGCCATCCCTGCACACAGTGAGGACAAGACGGTGAGTCAGGATTCACGGGGTGAATTGATTGAAAACATTGCTGACTGGGTGTTGAGTGTCACACGACCCAAAAGAGAGCTACTCCAAATGGTCAGAGCTATTTCCCCCGTTTGGCAGAATGGAAAAGTTAATAATGAACCCGTCCGACTGCTTGTTCTGCAAAGCGGGGAACTTGAAAGCATCCTAGGTGGTGGCAGGTATGCTGCTGAATCTCAATCAGCTTATAGGCAGAGCAGCAGGTCTTTTACATGTCCGCTGGGAGACACCACGCCACCAGTGAAAGCAGCCTGCGCGTCTCGGAGTAGAAAATGTTAAATAATGTGGAAACCAAGCTGCAGCCAGCTGACTTAGTGCACGTTCCCAGAGAGCACCTGTGAACACACCGACAGAGGCGCTTAAAAAAGCTTCAACCTTTTGAGTTATAATTATAGTTACGATAATCACGTAAACACATAATCAGTAAAGGAATTGAGCCACAGTAAGCTGTTTTTTTTTCAAAAGCCAATATTTATCGACAGGCTCACAGTACGGTTTGTGTCAATCAGGAATGGTTAATGATTTGCTGAACCCCTAAAAGTCCATTTTCTTTACAATTGTGTAAGTTCTTCCGACAGCGTCCCTGAATTAGCAAAGTAACCAGTGCATTATGCTTTAAATGGTATCATGACTTCCACGGAAGTGTCCACATCAAGTACGTCATATATTATTCACGTGCCATGTTGTCAACACAAGCGCTCCCAGCCGGTAACGTGACACGTATATCACGTAATTACGGTATAAACACGTTACACGCCGGAGGCCGCCGTCACACCGGGAAGCTCGCTCGGCTCGCTCGCATAAGGACTCTGTTGGAGACGGTATTCGTTGCTGACCTCTCTACGGACAATACATAAAGAAGAAGAAGAAGACAACATACCGAGAGCCGAGAGTCCAGCAGCAGCAAGTCTTGAGGAGCGAGCAGCCGAGAAGTGCTCAGGCGTCACTAGCGAGTCCCAGTGGCATCGTCGGCCCGAGAAGCCCCCGAATCCACGGGAGGGTCCCGCGTGGACGGTAACCCGCGGACCGGCGCCCTGTGGCGGTCGTCTGCTGAGAAAGTCAAGGGGCCGCGGAGGTGTTCAGTGTGGCTGCTCGTCCTAGCGGGCTGGGTTAGCTTCGTCCTGTTTTGAGAACGTCCGCTTCCTCGTTTAATCCAGGCCGAACAGTCGAGTGCAGAGAAAAAGGGCGGATTTCCTATAGAGTCGATCACAGAGCAGAGTGATCTGACTGATTTGGGCGGTGCTTAAAATGGTTTGGGCGGTGCAATTAAAAAATCAATAAAGCGGCTATCTGAAAGTTAGATGTAAACATATATACAGAATCTGAATATTCTCTTTAAAATACAAATTTAAGTCAAATTTTTGAATAAATGACTTTCTTTACTTTATAGATATTGCTTCTCTCTCATTGGAAAATCGAGACCCTATGAATATATACATATTAATTTCAAAAGCTTAAATAAAAAATGTCTACTTCCCTAAAAAGCATTCTTTACAGTAAATGTGTGCTGGAGAAGTTTTCACCTCAAATGGAGTGTTGCACCAACAACTAAGCTGTGCTTTTATGTACATACCGAACTTCAAACTCAGATTTGACCACACACAACCAATTTCTGAAAGAGGACTTTAATATTAACCTAGTAATATAATGCCTTGTTGAAAGTGATGCATTTACAGAACAGCTGGAGAACACACAGGGCAGGAGGAGGCCAACGTGGAGATTGAAGGAGAACACATCCCCAAAGAGCAATAGTTCATTCATACTATTTTTGTCACCGACAGTTTCAATATACCTAATGACTGTTTTAGATGACATAACTTCAAACTGCAGCCCCGAGCTCTTTGTGAACTTTTAAAATTCTGTCAATCCTATTAAGTGTTTAAAGGTGAAACTAGAAGTGCTTTGTGTGGATTGTCACAGGGATTTAAAGTAAAATACATCCCTGAAAGTGCTGTTTATTATAATCCCTTCTCCACAGGACAGAAGCAGAACTCTGCAGCTGTTGATGGATATTTGATGGTTTTCTGCAGGAATATGGGGCTTGGTTCTGGTATGTGTGCACGCAGGGAAAAACTAAAAGTGGTAATAGATAAAGCCTTAATCCTAACCTAAATACAATGTTGAAACATAAAACATATAATGGGGCGAGAGAGGAATACACACACACACGCACGCACGCTTTACTGATACCTGAACCATGTTTTCATTTCAGAGGGAAATTTTGCCATTTCAAAAAGGTACACACGCACAGCCTTTAGTACGGTGGTGCAGTAAAACAAACACATACGTTGTCCACAAGTATTTGACGAAATCAATGGTCAAATAAACTAAGCAATTGACAACAAAAAGCAAAATGTTCATGAGAATCAAACTTTTAGTTTGATTTATCACAAACTTGCTTATATTACCATCGTAAAACCTTGAAAAAAATGGCACTTATAATTATACCAAAATGTTCAACGCTTTACTACTAAGCTATTGTATACAGAAGTGGCTCATCACTGCAGTATCTATGTTTTGTCTTACTAATAAGAATTAAGCTAATTTATAGCGCAACGTTGAAATACACTTCAGTAACTATGTAGGATTTGACCTCAGCATGAGGCACATTATAGGTCAAAATCGTAAAAACAATACCCTCAATCTCAAAGGGAAGGCCAGAGTTGTGCGTTTCCCTACTATCAGTTTAAGAAACAGACAGATCAATTCAAACTCGGATATTAGCGAGTATGACCCTTTTTTGAAGTTTTACGAGATAAAGATAAGAACGTTCGGCATTGCACACCATCAGCTCTAAAAACAAAGTGTAGCTACTGTAGCTGACTGCTGTGTGAACGCTGGTGGAATTTAAGCCCTCCACAGTTTCTGAAGGACTTCCCGCATTGTCCGCAGACGTACGGCTTCTCCCCGGTGTGGATGCGGAAGTGCCTGGTTAACGCCCCGGAGTGACGGAAACACTTTGAGCAGACCGAGCAGGTGTACGGCCTCTCCCCCGTGTGGATGCGAAGGTGAGTCTTGAGGTTCTCCATGCGGTTGAACTCTCGGTGGCACACCGTGCAGCGGAAGGGGCTGCAGCCCGGCGGGTACAGCTGCAGCCTCGCCCTCTTGCTTCCATCTACAGGCTGCGGATAGAACTGCTGGAGCTTCTGCTGGCACTGGCCGTAGTGCCGCCGTAGCAAACTGGGCAGGTGGAACGTCTGGCTGCAGGACTTGCAGGCGTAGAGGTTGGTTAAGGTGTGGCCGGGGTTGCGGCTGGTCCGCACGTGGACTCCACAAACCTGCGGGGGGTCTTCTGGAACGGGAGCGGGTTCTGCCAACTGGAAGATGTTTGGGAAGTCTGAGAAAAGGGATGGACCAATTGTTAGGGGTGAAGAAGGGATTAAACTGAGAAAATGTCATTAATTTTGATTCAAAGTCATTTATATTTCGGAAGGATTTAGTTGGCAGGTTTGACTGTCACATTAATATCATGCAAAGACAGATTACATCATTTGTAGAACCAATCTGTTGGCGCCATAATGCAGGTTTTTGGTGATTTTGTTTATCTTGAGGGAAACAATTGAGACTTGCAGTTCCTACACATGAGCACATGGTGGCAAGTCACCATACAATGCACACTGCTAATGAGAACAGGTGTGGATGGGAAGCAGACAGTTTTGCCGGCACGATGTGCCGCCTTATGCAGCGCGGTGCCCGTAACAGACAAATGTGATATAATGCAAGGAAATAGTAATTGTATCCGGAGGGCGGATTAAAGGCCTTAGAGTGAATTAAGTTTGAACAGATATCTGATCAGATTCAACATTAGTAGTGTAATGATAAAAATATGTTATAACATTGTCTTGTGCTAAAGCCGTGTCTCAAGTGTCCTGTAGTTGACCCTGATGTGCAAAGCGCAGCATGATACAAAATGTTAGTTTGCAGCTGTGCCCTGAGAAGGGAGGACGGTTGACTCGATCTCATAGAAGCTTCAAAACAAAGGACTCCTCTTCATGGCCTTGGTTGATATCTTATTCTGTACGAAAGTTCTGGATCCAAGTTTTACTTTCATGTCAATTAATAATGATTTGCAGCGGCCACTGAGGAGGATCTTGTGTGTGTGTGTGTGTGTGTGTGTGTGTGTGTGTGTGTGTGTGTGTGTGTGTGTGTGTGTGTGTGTGTGTGTGTGTGTGTGTGTGTGTGTGTGTGTGCCACCCTCAGCTTCCCCTGGGTTCTTATCTCAACCTGCTTTGAAGCTTCTCGTAACTGGCACGGAGAATGTTCTCCACATGCGTATAAAATCTCAGCGTTTTTAATGCTCGGAGACGTCATTTCCACAGAGCACCGGGATACGTGCCTGTGTATTTGACCTCCTGCGTGCGAGCAATAAATGGCACTTTTCTCAACTTAGACATTCATCAAGACTCTGTTTTATCAGACAAATTCTCTTCTACCGAGATTGTATGGAAATATTCCACAACAGTAGATATTTTTTTTGTTGAAATGCTATTTCAGAGAGGGAACACTATGCACTTTGGATGTCAGTTAACGCAGTATTTTACTAATCTGAATAGTGCGTCCCACTCATCTGTTGCCGAGGACATTCTGTACTGGTCCCAGGCATTCATTATGTTTTCAGTCTTACCCTCAGCGAGTCTGGTGCAGGACAGAGACGCGTTTGAGTCTTGGCACTGAATGTCCAGCATTTCTGGTTTCCACTCTTCCAGCACTTTGGACTGAACCGCCGTCATGCACTCCGGGCTGAAATCCTCCACTTTGATGGAGTCTAAACAGCAAGCTGAATCATCCCCCTCGTCCGGCTCCTCCTGCTTGACAGTGAACTGCTTTACAATGGACCCCCCGCTCCGGTTAGGAAAGGTTGGCAAGTCGCATTCTTGAGCTGCCAGTTCATTACACAGCTGGTTCGTGCCTTCTGTGCTCACCTCAGATGGATGAGCGATCTCTTCTCCGACTTCTGTAAACAAAAATATCACAGTGAGCACTTCAGCTTCACACATTGCGCCGCATTATACATATAGAACATCGTAAACAGATTCTTGTTGTCTTGCTAAAATAATTAGATCAACGTGTAATTGAACATCGACTGAATGCACACAGTCACACGTTTAGCAACTTTGACCTCTTTTGGTAAATTAAAAACCCCTGTTTAAGATAGTGATCATGAATTAAAGGATTACCAGAGTTTGACCGTGAGATGAGTAATCAAGGTGCTTCAAACATCTTTACAAATACATTTAAGCACACTGGGTGTTTCACAACAATTTGTGTAGGGAATGTTACAAAATTGTATAACCTCAACTAAAAGATGCCTCATTCACATTACCTTCTAAATATACAAATGAATGAGGGGGGCCTTATTGTTCTTCCATCCAAGTGTTGAACTCCCAATTGACATGTCAGCAAAAGCGTGTGAAAACAGTCGGCCAGACGGTCTGTACACTGCATAAAACCCACGTACCTTCAGTCACATCACAAGCAGCAACACCGCCATCGAGCGCCGGTGCAGCAGAGTCACCGTCCCGATGCTTTATGTCCTCGTGTGCACAGCTGGGAGCCGCAGGAGGAAGATGAGGAGGAGGAGGAGGAGGGCCAGAGTCCAGCAGGTCTTCAGCGGTCTGCAGTCTCCGCTTGAGGGACTCGTTCTCTCGTCGCAGCTCTCCGTAGACGGATCCCGTTGCCTGATGCACAAGCTTCGTCACCTCTTGAACCGCGATCTCCACCGCCACTCGGAAGGCTCCGTGGATCGCTGCGGCGAGCTCCTCCTGCAGGGACAGAGCGGCCTCGGCTGCCTTTTGCCGCTTGTTGGTCTCCGCCGGCTGCGGCTTCATGGCGCATGGGAGCGATTTGGCGTCGTGTTAGGATTAGCTTTTTTTTTTTTTTTTTTTTAAACCAACAGGGTGGCTCGGATATGGATGCCTTGTGTACGCCTGTTTGTAGGCAAAGAGGGGGTTTCACTTCCGCCGACAGCTTGCGACACCTAGCGGCGTAGAGACCCAACTGCACCAGTCAGTTAATTAAAAAAAAAATTGACAACGAGCTGACAATTAAAATGAGAAACTCAAGTTTATTGTGTTAAACATCCCAACAAGGGTCAAATGGCAGCTTGAACAGCATCCATACTGGATTTAACAAGTGTAAACAAGGCTTTCAGGGCCTCGGCAGTCAGCGACGAGTTTTGTACTCGTCCAAGTGGGAAAGGATCCAGCCAGCGGGCCCGAGGACGGCCAAGGTCATCACCGTCAGCACGAACACGGTTTGCTGCAGGACACGGCCACGTTACTTTCAAAATCCATTCAGAGGAAGTAAAAGATGTTCTCCAGCTTGTGAAAACCGTATTTGAAAAACCCACCAGCACGCCAATTTTGTCTTTAGGTGGTTTGCCGCGGATGGAACAGGCTCTTTGTTGGATCATGGCGCCTGGTATCGGAGCAAGCGCCTTTCGAGCCCTCAGCAGTCCAGCAGAAAGTCCCCTCATGTTGGCTGTAGAAGACTCCTGAGACTAGAGACATGAGACGCAGAGGAAGGGCGCCCTCCTTAAAGCAGCTGGGCTGCGGCACACCTGTCACTGTTAATTAAGATGCCTTCAGGAGCCAAAGGAAGAAACATTCAAAGCTGCTGTCTGGAGAGCCGGGTGACTGCTGTCGTCAGATAAACATTTCTTCTGCTCACAACAGTTTCTAGGCAGCATTGGGTCTTTGTTTATGGGAACTATTTGAATGATTAAGTGGTAACCTGTTTGTTTTACACTCACTCAGAAATGCAAGTGGTTTTGATTTTCAACTTTCATTGTTTTGAAGTTAAAGAGGTGTCATAAATCTGTCTGTGCTTGAATTCTAACAGACTGACAGTGATGACTCCCTGGCATGCTGGCCGGTTGTATTGTAGCTCTACAGACACGGTAAGAGAGCTCAGCGGCACACTTTTCTATAGTTTGTTAAAGGATAAGTTTAGTTTCCCAGAGGTCCAATAATATCACTATCAGTAAAGCTCCTGCCACAATGCCATCGACTACAGCTTGTGTGGAGAGAGAACCAAATCGATTGATTTTTTCATTGAGAGATTGATCAAGATTGACGCTGCATTCAGTGTGCTGGTGTCAGCACCTAAAAAACAACTGGTGCATCTAGTCTGTCTAGTCTGAGTCATAGCAGGAGCCATTGGACTTCAGTAGTGAACAAATATATACGTGTTGTTAAGGGGAATCAAACACTGAAGTGAAGCACAGGCGCCCCTATGGGGGTTGTAGTGGGTTTAGGGCCTTATATCATGTGGTTGCACCGAAAATTAGAGAAAAAATAAATCAAGCGGAACTGACTTGTTGGAGTTAAAACCACATATAGTATAATGGTATTCATTTTAAAAAGAAGGTACTAGTTACCTTACCGACAGTTATTAAGATTTACTTCCACGAGTGCATAATTATCAACTGTGATGATAAAATCTTAATTTGTTGCAAACAACAGGAATCTGCTCTGTCAACTTTCTTAGACTGGTTGGTGCTGTTTCCCTTTTCTTATTAAAGCGACGCTCGGTTTTGGGAGAGAGCAGTGACGTCATGAATGGATCACCCATTGTTTATTCGTTTACTTGCAGCTCTGCGCGTCATTAGAAGTGGGTCGGCTCGGCATTAGCGTCTGCTGCTGCTGCCGTTACAGTTTGTCTGGTTTAAACTACGGAGGGGAAGGTAAGCACTCTTATCGTACTGCGTTATACAATTTGTTTAAAAACCTTTCGGGGCTTTTCCTTCAGGCTATTTATAGTTTGAGGTAAATAGGTGGGGAAATTATACGAGAAAGAGTCAGTCTATTTGAAATATCTGTATATGACAGAAAACCTGAAAAATACCTGCACAAACATGTTAACCTAATACTCCTTTACTCTGGAGAGCTCCTCACTATAAGAATAGGCTACAACACAAACTGATATCTGCTTTCTATTCCTTTTCATTGCATATTATAACAACCTTGTCCAGTTTCAAACCAATATGCCTAAAAAGGAAAATTATATTTGGTACTTTTATTGAGACAATACAACCAATAAGGTTACTTTAACTTGATTTGAATAACAAAACTGGATATTTTATGGCAACATTAGGTAAAATAAATAGCCGGCAGCTCAATTTAATGAACACTTTGTCAGCTATTCTTGGGTTTTGGCTGCTGTAATGGAAATGTGTCTGCTGACTGAAGGCTTGAGCTTTACTTCCCTGTGATCTCATTAGTTTGACCAATTTGGTCTCTCTCCATTCTCCCCCTTCAGCTTACCCTCCCGTCAGCCTTCCACCCCCCCTTGATATTGCCCTCTTATCCTTGTATTACCACCTGGACAACATGGCAGAGCTCCCACCATCCACCTCCTCTGAGGATGGCCGGCCGGCTCACTGGAAACGTTCCAGTCGGCGGAGCAGGAAGTCTGGATGCCACAACATCTTCACAGGGGTCAACCTGCAGCAGCTGCACAAGCTCTTCACAGAGGCAGGAGACCAAGACGCCGAACATCGGGCAAAGCTAGTGTGGCGTGGGATGAGTGCGGAGAAGCAGAGGGCAGAGGAGGCCATGGAGGAGGAAGGGGGGGACATGGAGGAAGAGGTGGGGCTGGCCCAGGCCTTGGTGGGGCTCCGGGTCAGAGCGAGGAATAAAGCGGGTATCAGAGCAGAAGGAAACCGAGACCACAGGTGGCTCAGAGCATCAGGGTATCGCAGGTAAGTCACAGTCAGATGGTGGGAGGCCAAAATGTAAAGAAAGCACGCAAAAGGGCTGCGCAGATGAGGAGTGAAGCTTTGTCTTCATTTACAAATAAATCACTCAAAAGTCATCATTGTCCTGCTTTTACATGATTCACCTACTTCTCGAAATGCTTCGTGCAAATAGTCATGTGGCTAAGCAACTCAGCATGACCTCACAAGACAGTGCCATCCTCTCTCTCACACACGCACACACGCACACACACACACACACACTCGCGCACACTGTCATGCGTTGCTTTTGACATTCCTCACTGTTACAAAATCAGAGCCTTTGGAGGAGTGATAGTGCCACAGTATGGTGGAATGGTGGTGGGAGTACAGGATGTCGTAGTAAGTAATAGTACTAATACAAAATAGTGATCTGTTGGTTTTCTTGACCTTTGATGCAGATATTCATTTACCCCAAAGGAATAACTGGGGATTCCTGGCGTTGTCTTTTCATCTAAATTTGCTTTTGTCCAATATAAATACCAGCAGACCTAATTATATTCCCATCAGCCTCAGTTGTACTTTGGGCTCATTGCCTACTAGCAAATGTTACCATGGTGACGCTCTGGACTAAGAGTGTGCCCTTAATACCGCCTGAGTAGTACACACTGATGTTCATTAGCTCAACCTGAATACAACCCTGAATTAACGCATTACCAAATAAACAGAGTCTCATCTGGGAAGGTATCTGCATAAACAGCTCAGTGTAATAAGTACTAAAGGCCTGTAAAAGTTTAACCAGAGTTACATCTCCGTCTTCCAGGATTGACGAGCCGTTACCCAGCGACACTGTTGGGGACGAGGAGGCTGACGTAGTGCCGAGTTCGGGAGCGTTTCGGCCGGCGGTTGAGGAAGACACCCCAGAGAACCCAAACCCTTTAAAACCTTCCTCCCCGAGGTTGGGAATGGCAAGAAGAGAGGGTGCCAGACACTCTGAACACTACCTCCACCGCATCCTCCACTGACAGTCCAAAGGAATCATGTGGAACAACACACACACGTTGAAGGTGGATCAATACAAAATTGATTCTGCACATGAGGGCTCAGCGTACCGCTGGTAGCCACTTCTACTACTTCATACTCTACATGCAACTTTTACGTTTATAGGGCATCAGGAGTAATTTATCTGACCTCTTGATAAACAGAGGATGAATGTTGACTATTTGTTCCTTCCTTTGAACCCCATTTTTGGTCCCCACCAACTCCTGAGGGAAATATCTGACTCTTTGGCTGCTAAATCATCTGCAGTGTTCACTTGCTATTTGCTAATTGTCAGTGGTTGGTTCTGATCAGGTATTGTTATGTGGAGATTTTAGACATTTTTTGCTGATGAAAACTCAACAGTAATGATGCGGGCCTTAAAACCAAAACAATAAATTGGAAGATACTGAAATGGTGTTGAGGGAACTAGAGTTAAAGTTATATCCAGTGTTCAACAATTGAACACAGAAGAAAACTGCTTTTGTGCGACTGTCTCACATACCTTTTACCTTCACAGACACACAACTCATATGTATTAATGGAATATGGTTTAATTATAATCTATCATTAAATATTACATACAAATTATACAGTGCATTGTCACAAAACATGTCAGTTCAGTACAGCAGGAAGCTACTAGTTACCTTAGATCCGACCCACCAGAAGAAGCAAAAATTAGGCAATTCAATCATATTTCTCTCCGCTTAACAAACATGTGTCTTTCACCAGAAGTGCCTGTTTTCCAACCACACCATCCTCCTTGGATCATAAGTGAAACAGTTCGGTGGCTCAGTGACTAATTGTGAAACCAGTTCACATGGCTTGTGTTCACCGTGTTAAGACATAAACACCACTAAGAGCCCAGTTCCTAAATCTTTAATCCAAACAAACACTTCTCCCTTTTGTTAAAAAACAAAATTAAAAGTAGATTTTCCCTGAGTGGCACCGCTGTTTTCACCAGCCCAGGGTATAACTGCGTGGGAGCAAAAATGCAGGGGAAGATTACAAGGCAGAGAGGTTTGAAAGACAAATTAAACACGGAATGCAACACCTTTTGACTGGTGTGGATGTGCACCCCCGGAGTCCAAAAGAAGAGTCTGACACCTCACTGAAATTCTCTCTTGCAGGAAGGTACAGAGTCCTCATCACTTCAGCGTTAACTCTTCATTGACATCCATGCAAGGCACAGGAGCAGACAGGAAAGATATGTTGCAAAACGTCTTCCACTTTTGGCTTTATCTCTCCACCCACTCACCCTCTGTAACCATAATATTCACGAGGAGCGGAGGGGAGGGAGGTATTACTTCCATTTCCAGGACATAAACCTGCGCTCTCAGTCTTCCATCCGCGCTCCTTTCCCCACTCTGGCTTCCTGCTGTCCCTCCTCTTCACGGCACAGCTCCTACCACCAGGTGAAGAAGGGTCTTCTGCTCTGGAAACTCTGTGTGTAGGACTCACTGTTGGCTCTCTGAGGTGCTCTGGCTGTTTCAACGATTACTGGCGGCATCTGGACCAACTGCAGCGGTGTTTTACCGTCCTTCAGGGCTTGGCACAGGTTCAGGATCTTGGGAAGGGAAATGTACGTTTAAAATCAAAAACACTTTTAAAAGCATGAATTCGCCAAAGACGTCAGCAGGACAAATGGTTAGCAGCAGGACAGACATCTGGACACTGCGTCATGAGAAGATAGTGGAGCACTCACCTGCCCCCTCATCACAGCAACTTGTTTATGAAACTGTCCTCGGTCGAAACCAGGGTCTTTCTGTGGGACACAGAAGACAACACATATTTAGTTTAGTAATCCAAAAGTGTTTACAGTCACAGCACTGAATCAATTATTTCAATGTCTCAGATACATTATCGTATTCCATAAACTTACATTATTACCACTGAGAGACTTAATCTGAGCCCGCCCCCCCATACCTTGAATAATTCGTACAAATCCTCTTCCAGGTCTTTGATGAAATTTGGGTCAGAGAGTTTGGGCAGGACGAGCTCTCTAATTTCCTGGGAGAAAGGAACTTTGGCTTGGGAAAGCCACGCCCAGTAGAATGGGTCTGGGGATCAGAAAACAAAAGTGTGTCTCAATAATTAAGCGCACCACAAGTAAAAAAAGCAGCAACGGCGACGACACGGCGATGAAATTGCATTCAAACATTTTTAAAGCTATCAAAATTACTGAAGCGCACCAAAAATCTGATACTGCTGTAGGAAATGGAGAACATAAAGCTTTGATTTGATAAAACCAAAGATACTGCTTTTTTGAAAGCAGGACTTCCTCCCAGCCGAGGGCAAGCAGTGAAAAAAAGCAATATGAACTTGCTTACAGGCTCTCCAGGAGTCAGGGTGTTTGAGGGGGAAGGCGAGGCCGTTGTCTATGGCTGCCAGCTTGATGATGGGATCCTTCACTACCACCCAGTCTGTGTCCTACAAAAACGACAGAGGGATTAAATAAACATGTATTTGTCTTTCTTTGGGGTCACCCTTTTTTTAAAATAACCATCAAGACTCCCAACTGTGTCCTCACTCTATTCCCGGGGTCCATAGGACAGTCGTACTTCAGCAACCAGTTGTCGTTCCCCCTGTCTGGATCACCAAGGAAAAACAAAAAGACTCATATTCAGACAAACCAAACAAACAGATCGAATCCCAGAAGGATGGATTCAGGACGGTACAACGACACGTATAAACAAGGTAACTTTGCAGAGTGCAAAGGCGGTAATGATGACGCAGCCCCGACAGCGCTGAGCAGAGGGAGCACGTGCCTGTGTTCCTGATGATGTAATCGAGGACTACGAGCCTCTCAAACTGCAGCTGGAGCTGACGGTTGGTGTTTTCGGGCAGAGGCTCCGCTTCAAACTTCCGCAGCCAGAAGTCTGCGTCCTTGTATCCGTCAACGAAGATCTGGAAGGAGCCAACCTGGCAGAGAAGCAACAGATTGTTGTCTTTATGCTGGACGAAGACGAAGAGAAGAAACATTGACGCAGAATGACCAGGGTCTTGTTGTTGCCACGCAGTTTTCACATGACTGGGATGAACGGGATCACTAGTCAACGCAATCACATGTGTGATAATCAATCATATTACCTTCGGTGGCAGTCCAATCCGGTGGAAACGCTGGCCCACTTTAGGCACCTTCTCCAGTGCTAGCCTCTTTCCTCGAGACTTCACCCGGTCTATGGCGCTGTAGTTGAATGTTTCACTAGCCAGATACACCACCTATGGCGCAAGAGGTGGATTAAGAGAGGCAGTTTGTGCCAAATTGCCTGTTTCTCTATGCAACAAGTAGGCAGCAGTGTGTGTGTGTGTGTGTGTGTGTGTGTGTCTATATAGTACTTTGGTCCTGGGAACAATGTTGAGCTCCAGCTTCTGGTCGACCAGGCTGGCCCCGGCCTCCGAGAGGTAACCCTGGTTCAGCACCAAACAGTCGCGGCCAAAACAGCAGGGGCAGCACAGTTTCTGGAGCCACTTAGTCCACTTGGGGTTCAGCTGGCCGTAGGGCTCTTCGTTCTTCGGTTTGAACACTCCGATGATTTTCTGAGGGCAAAGAGGCAGAGGCGGTAAAAGGTGTAGGACAACTCAGGAAAGAGACAGTCGAACAAAGAGGTTTTATCATTTGACGGTAAATAATATCCATTTGATATTTGAAGGACAATGTTCTCCTTTTGGAAATTTGAAAACAGGACCGAAACATACAGTGCACACAGAGAGTGGATTAAAATCACACTTTTGAAAATCCCCTGTAGCTGACATGAATTGAATTATCCCAGAGCCAAATGTAGAAGCCATGACTGTTTAACAACCAAAATAAGTATTTTGTGTGGTGGTGCGTGCTGCATTACGCTAGTATGACACATGCTTTCTATAATTTCAACATGAAACTTGGCCATTGAGGAATTATATCCTCACGGAGAGCTAGCACATGACTGCTAAGCACATTGGTGACGTACCAGCAAACTGGCGGGGGAGCGCGTCCTGGAGTAAAAAGCATTGTGAGAAACCACAGACAGTGGCACATAAAAGACCCAGATCATCTGGTCTTGAACAGACTTTTAGGATTTACCCATAAGGTCAGAAAACACTTCCCCTTTTTTAAACATAAGGACAACGCGTCACTGCAGACAGGGACATGCTGGGAGTTGCTGGGACGACTTCCTCTGGGAGTTGCTCAAGACTATGACCGGTGGGCTCCAGACGTGGGGATCAAAGTTCGCCGTTATTAATCTGGCATGATTAGAGTCACAAGACGCCGTGGAGGGTGACAGACATACAAATGTCAGTGTGTTGATGATCCCCTGGTCGGCCTTGAATGCGTAGCACTTTGTAAACACGTTCAGAAACAAACTTCAATAAAAAAAAAATCCAGAAAAGTGTTCTCAGCATCTTGTGTTTGATTAGATCATTAAAACGTTGCACAGACTCGCAATACGGCAAGAAAAGAAGGGGGGTGGAGGTGACACGTGACAAATGGTCAGAGGTGGACCTTCACGAAGCGATTAAGAATCTGAACAGCTGTCGGCGCAGCAGCCGTATCGATGAGTTACAAAATACAATAAATAAACTCTGATATAAGACGACTTCGGCAAAAAGAGTGTTTATAAGTTATCGATCCAACGAAACATTGCTCTGCTCGAGACGTACATTGTTTGAGCGTTTCTCACGCTCAGTGTTTAAACACAGCTGCATTGTGTTACGCTCGAATCGGTCGTTTATTAGTTCAAACTGTAGGTTTCTGTTGTGTTAACGTGCCTTGTGGCCTATTTGCCAGGTCACCACGGCCACTAGCAGTCATTGCATCACACTCACACACACACACACACACACCTCGGATACCAAACACAAGTCACGAGAAGCCGGAGGGCCCCTTCGCATTGCCACTGGCGGTGATCGGTGGATGGAGGACAGCGGCTTGTCTTCTTACCCCCTGCGAGTCTTTGACGAAGTAGCTTCCACTGGAGCCTTGGTAGATCCTCTCCGGGTAGATGCCCTCCTCTATGGCTCGCTCGGCCTTTCGGATGATCTCTCTAAACTCGGGGTCCTCCGGGAACTCGTTCCTGTGCGGCTCCCGCGGCGAGCTCCCGCGGTCCAGCAGCGGCTGCCGCTCGCGGCTGCGCCCCGGACTGCCCGCCGGGATGCGCACCACCGAGCCCGGGGTGCTTCCGAACGAGCCCCGGGGGCTGATGGGCTCCGTGGGACAGTAGCTGAAGTCCCCGGAGTCCCTGAGCGGAGAGACGAGCGGACTCGTCTCGTCCATGACTTCGGAGATGGGCGAGGAGTTGTTTTAACTCAATAGGGAAGAGACGGCCGGGCGGACCGGGGGAGGTAATGGAAGCGGGCAGTTTGTGGCTAACACCGAGCTGGCTAACGAAACCACAAGAGATTAAAAAAAAAGGAGAAAAGGGAAAGTCAGGTGACTGTCAGCTTCCGGGTGAAGGCGGGCTCGCTTAATGTTTTGATCTTTAACCAATCAACGTTCACAGTTTCCGGTGGGCTCCCTTGTCGCTGGCGTTGATTGGACACAATCGTTCCGCCTACGGAAGACACGTGGGAGCTCAGTTGACCCAATCAATCAAGTCCATACAAATACACCAGACCTGTGGCGAAAACTCGAGTGGTACCGTCAACTACAGATGTTGCGAGTATAATCAAATATCCTTTTACTCGCAGTTGTCGAGCTTGCAAATCACGACAGATATGGAATATAAAAAGACAATTTAAACTCCAAACTGTGTTTACAGTTGAATGGCTATCATCAGATATACGTCAATAAATGTTCGCATCAACAAATGACAAACTTATTTTGTTCCATCCGCCATCAAGATGATTCTTTTGTCTTTACTTGTTTACTTTGATCCATCCTTCGTGACATGTTTTCCTGTATCCCAGACGAGCATTCTGCATTGTTGTGACAGACGCACATTCAATTTAAAACTTACGTCACTTCTCCCTTCATCTTAAGGTCAACCGATGAGAATCGATTCCTCTGAAGCTCTCTATATTTAGATCGATACTCAGCAGGTCAGACTGTGGTTGGAAGGACTGTTCGATGATGTCCAAACGACAGTGGCCACCTTCAAAATCGGCCCGTTTATAAATAAGCAGGTTGTATTTAGTTGTCATACTAAGTCTTCCTTTTTGTGTAAATCTCATGCGCCAAAGATTAAAGTCCAGTCCAGTTCCAATGTAAATGCTGAAGCATTTCAAAGACACAGTAGCAAATTCTGGTAATAATCTATTATTGCAGATGTATTGTATCTGATTGAATGGTGACCATTCATAGTATTTGTTTGGGTAACAATACCCCGCACACGACCCTCTAACACCGGCAGGAGGAACCGCAGCTGGGCGTGTGTGGACGTGCCGCTCCGCTCATCCTCCTCCTCCTCTTCCTCTTCCTCCTCCTCCTCCGGCACACACAGCTCGCCCTCTGATTGGTTGGAAAACAGCACGACGGAGAACTCAGGTCGTGAGATCTGTCAAATTCGGCGCACCAACTCTACACACCGACATCGGGTCCGCCATCCGGACCTCCGCAATACCGCGTCTGCTCATCAGTGTCCGCCTTTGGACTTGCTGCAGAAACAGGACAAATCTGCGGAAGCCGCATCTGAAGGACAGACACCCGAGACGCATTTCCCGGAAACACGGCGCAGAGGGCATCGGTGTGAGGATGGCTGCGTACAAGCTGGTCCTGATCCGCCACGGGGAGAGCTGCTGGAACCAGGAGAACCGCTTCTGCGGCTGGTTCGACGCGGACCTGAGCGACACCGGCGAGCACGAGGCGAAGCGGGGAGGACAGGCCCTGAAAGGTACCGCGCCGGACGGGCCGAGTCTTGTGGATTAGCGAGACGGTGCTTATGCAACCCGGGCAACAGGCCGCCCGGTGGCCCGCGTCGACACCGGAGGAGCAGCGGGGACTAAAACGCAGCAGCTAGATCAGTGTGTTCGTGCAGTGGCATTTAGGTGGTTGATGTCATGCGATCCTTGTTTAAGGTTCCCTTTACTTCAACCATTCAACCTACAATTCAGCTGTTTCTTTTGGGTCGATTCAATAGATATTGCGTTTTAAATTGAGTCGTGATATCATCTTGGGACAGATATCCATGGTGGTTTTACCAGAGTAGGAATACCTTGACTACAGCTCTTATATTCACAATAATTTGGATATATTAAATTGACAAAACAAGGTTAAAAAAGACCACACGTTTAGCAACAACTATAATTAATCAGTATAGATTAAAGCTGTCTACTGAGAGATTTTTCATCAAGGAACCTATGATCACATCTCATGTAAACACGAGATTAAAGTGCAGTAATTCTCTGCTTAGTGGTGGAGCAACACCATAGTACAGATTTGTTGATTAAATCAATTCATTCAAAAAATTTCTATGAGTGTTAGGCGACGAAAATCATTTCTGCAGTGGAGGCCCGGCCCTAGAGACTGTAGGGGCCCGGGCAGATTTATTTGACGTAATTCTTTCTGTGTGACACACACTGCTGCTGCTTTTCCGTGACCTAAAAACTGCTGCGGAAACATCCTGCTGCGGTTTACAGTTTGCCATTGCTCCATGGAATAGCAGTGCACCTGACAGAAGAAACAATAAAAACATTAGAACATTAAAAGAACAACTATGTTATTCATGTCTGTGACAAAAACACAATTTATTTGTATGCATCCCTGCACTTCCGTAGTGAAACCGTGCCAATGAATATCCACATTTACCGTCTTTTCCTTAGATGCTGGCTATGAATTTGACATTTGCTACACCTCTGTCCTAAAGAGGGCCATCCGCACCCTGTGGTTTGTTCTGGACAGCATCGACCAGATGTGGCTGCCCGTCAACCGGACCTGGCGCCTCAATGAGCGCCACTACGGCGGCCTGACTGGCCTGAACAAGGCTGAAACAGCCGCTATACACGGAGAGGCCCAGGTCAAGATCTGGAGGCGCTCTTTTGACATTCCTCCCCCATCCATGGATGAGGGGCATGACTTCTACCAGAGCATCAGCAAGGTGACGATACAGGAACAAATAGTCTCCTGCGGTTGTACAACAGCAGATATTTGTATTAGTCATTGATGAGAGCACAGGGCTAAAATGTAACCGACAACATTGATTCCATCTTTTGTCGCAGGACCGGCGTTACGCCGACCTGACAGAGGACCAGCTTCCCAGCTGTGAGAGCCTCAAGGACACCATCGCCAGGGCTCTGCCCTTCTGGAACGAAGAAATCGTTCCACAGATCAAAGAGGGAAAGAGGGTGCTGATTGCTGCCCACGGCAACAGTCTCCGAGGCATCGTCAAGCATCTCGAGGGTAAGAGACAGAGCGGAGACTTTTTGGAAGCAGGTCGAATTCAACCTTGATTATATTCTAAACAATATGAATCACTGAAAGGGACTCATGCCGAATATTTACCAAAATGAGGGCTGCTAAAGTTTTTTTAATAGGAGTGATTTGATTTTTATTGGTCCTTTTGGGGGATCTCCAACTTGATTTAGGAGTCTCTCTAGTTGTTATGGATACAATATTACACTACACCCTTTTACTTTTTTTTTAAAAACAGACTTTTCTTGATCTCAGAAACATTGTTAGCTGATGAGACCCTGTCTTTAGGCATTGTCCCAATGGCCTTCTCCCCAACCAAATAGGGTGTGATGCACATGGTATCAGCTTAAAAATGGGTTTGATGGTCAGATAAAAATACTTCGCTATCACTAGATTTTGCAACGCCTGATTACCCACTTTAAATGAAACTGTTAGTTGAATCCTTGCAAGTGGATTTTAAACTTTGCATTTTCTTCCCGTTGTCCCAGGTATGTCAGAGGAGGCAATCATGGAGCTAAACCTGCCCACAGGTATCCCCATTGTGTACGAGCTGGACAAGAACCTGAAGCCTTTAGGACCGATGCAGTTCCTGGGAGATGAGGAAACCGTCAAGAAGGCCATGGAAGCTGTAGCCGCTCAGGGCAAAGCCAAGAAATAGGTCCCCCAATCCCAACCCCCTGGATGAGCTTTTAGATAGACTACAGATATAAATAACGTGTTGTTCAGTTATCACAAGGTCATTTACTGTTAATGTTATCACAGATTCATAGACACCCAGACCAAAAAAATGTGCACTTTGTTTTGATAGTACCGGGATTTGCATAGTCAGTTTAATTAGTCTTTACTTAGCGACATCCTGAAACATACATGTCATTATTACACGCTGGATATCACCAGTAATGTGGTTTCAACACAAACCAAAATGCAAAATCCGGTACCAACAAATGGATAGCAAACATACCTGTCCTTGACACCCTGCAGTCATCCCATGTACTCCTTACTATTTCCCATCTATGTAGATGAGGCTCAGAGGGGAAAGTATAACCTATAAAGAAACACTGGCTGTTGTCGAAAGGACAAGTTGTTCTGCACTGCTGATTATTGTGTGCTGTAGCGTTGTGAAAAAAATAATAAATGTTTGGAGCCATTATGTGAGAAAATATGATATCAGCGTCGGATGGTTCTTTATCTTAGATCCTATAAAACTAATTCTTTTATGTTTTGGATGCCTCTCAAAGTATAAATCATCAACCCTCAGATGCCAAAATTGCCTTGTGTTGTAAATAGCCTAATTAAACAAATACAAATACTCCTAGAATAAAAAGTTATATTCACACACAAATGCCAGTGGACGGCATGTTAAGATACACATGTAAAACATACTGCTATTCAAAATTCTAAATAACAGCAATAGCTACTTTAATTCTGATCAAGATGGAAATTACGTGCCATGCTGTACTAACAATTCTTAAATTGGGCGTAGTATTACCTGGTACTTATTGTATAAACAGGAAAAGCCAGCCGATTATTAGTGATCGTTATGACGCTTACACGTTGTGGTACGTACGCTGAGCCGCTACGAGGCAGCACTGCAGCCCATGTGTGCCTCAACCAACATGGCGGACAGAGGCCTCCCTCCTTTACTTCCGCTCAGCGTGGCAGCGGCCAATCAGCGTCGACACGAGGTCCTCGTCACAGCCAACCAGCGGGCGAGCTGCTCTCCTCGAAAACATGTCTCCCATGAAGCTGTGTGTTCCTGGTGAGTCCCGTAATACTTGCTAATAATTCTCCCCAAGGACCGAGTTACCCCCGACTTTAGGCGGTTCGGTGTTTCTGTGCTAACGTTGACTATCGTCGCTGTGCTTTAAGGAAAAATGTTACTTTAGTTTCGCTGCAGTCTGACGGCGTAAATGATCTCCAGTTGCCTGCTCGGCTTAAGCTCTCAGCACAGTTACCGCTGCGCTCAGTTCATTGTACACGTGTGGCTGCTTCTTTCGGGTGAACATCAGAAAGATTAGGCGAGTTGAGTGGTTGTTATCATTATTATTTTTTAAATACGGCACTTACCTTATATAATGTACTTGCCTGTGAGACCTGTACTCTTACTCCCTGTGTTATCTCGTGCCCTGCCCATCGCCTCCGGCAGCACAGCAGCATTCCTCCCTGTTTCCACGCACCGTGTGAACTGCGACGCTGCGCCAGACGATTATTACATTACATTACAGGTCATTTAGCAGACGCTTTTATCCAAAGCGACTTACATTACACTTTTAAACCCATGGCTTTTTCACATTTTTGCCTGGGGAGCAATTAGGGGTTAGGTGTCTTGCTCAGGGACACTTCGACGTGGAACATGGGGCAGCCTGGAATCAAACCAACAACCTTGTGCTTCCCAGCACACCTTCTCTAACCCCTGCGCCACGACGACCCGATCAAATGGTTCGAGCAATCGTTATTGATGGTGACCTTTCGGAAGTGTTACAGTTGGGTAGAAATGCCAGTTGTCCGGGTGTTATCAAAATAAAGTGCACGTTTTTACTTTGTGGAGTTGTATAAGTTAATGTCATCACAGCGTTTCCTTCATTCATAATCTCCAAGGTGGTTGTCAAAAGTCAACTCATCTATTGCTGCATGCACCTGTTAAAACAATATTTGCCATTTTCTTTGTAAAATAGTGCATCTGATCTTTTATTCCAACGGTTAATGTCGTGTCACAGAAATGCGTGCTGTTAATGGGGTTGTGGCAGAGATGCTTTCCGCCTCCACTACAAACATCACAGTGTGTGCGACTCTGTTTCCCCCTCTTGTGCCTGCAGGTGAGAAGCTGTGCAGTTTGGAGGACTGCATCGAGGGCACAGGAGTATATCCGCGGCACGGCTACATATACTCCTCACTAGCGGGCTACGTGCTCAAGAAAAATGAGGGAGGGCAGGTGAGCGGTGTGGGTGGGGGACAGGCTGACTATAAATAAAGCCTGCTGTAGCGCATGCGGGGGGGAAGGTGTTGTGTAACCTTTTGTAAAAGTAGCTGAGCGGCGTTTCTGCTCCGGGTGTGGCCTCCAATATTCTGAATATTTAGTGTTGACAGGTTTGTGCTTCAGGCTGTTTTGAAGTAATTCATTTCTAATTTGTATGTCTTTCTAGTTACCAGTGATCTCAGTGGTGCGGGAAACCGAGACACAACTACTACCCAATGTAGGAGCAATAGTCACCTGTAAGGTACGCGGTGGAATCAGATACTGATTGGTAATCATCCTTCGCGCATTGGCTTTAGGTGTGTGTATCCAACGAGTCTCACTGTTCCCTGACAGGTGACAAGTATCAACCCCAGGTTCGCCAAGGTTCACATCCTTTATGTGGGATCCACACCGCTGAAGGACCGCTTCAAAGGAACAATTAGGTAACCGCAAAAGCTCGGTCTTGGCCGTACAAGGTTTCATGTAATATTTCTGTTTCACCACCTAAAACTGAGGCCACTCCCTGTGACTCCACAGGAAAGAAGATGTGCGCGCGACAGAGAAAGACAAGGTATGTGTGAATGCATGTTTTGGGTCAGATCGCCCCATGTTGACCGTATAATTTGAGATTTGTTTTTTTTACCTTCATTGTTACAGGTGGAAACATACAAAAGCTTCAGACTTGGGGACATCGTCTTGGCGAAAGTTGTATCCTGCACCTAGATACATACACTATCGTCTCATGCATCAGATACCCAATTTACTAGAATTGGGAAAAATACATCTATAAAGAACCCTTCTCTGCTGTTAAGCTCTGTGGGAGCAGGTGCACATATTTCTTAAAAAAGCCAATCATCAACTTATAACAGTCACTAAAGGAATACATTCTTGAAAACATCAAACCATTCCTATAGTGTGGATGTATACTGTTTACGTTGTCGTTGACCCTTGACCTGTGGCGTCAGATTTCTCTTGGTGACGTGCAGTCAAACTACCTGTTGACAACAGCGGAGAATGAACTCGGGGTGGTGGTGGCACACAGTGAAGCAGGTGAGTCTCAGTTCTCACCGTAACCTCACACACGAGGTCAGCTTCTCACTAATAAACGTGTCTCGCTCACCATGTGTTGTTTGTGTCCGGGGATCAGGTGCCCAGATGGTTCCCATCAGCTGGTGCGAGATGCAGTGTCCACGAACGCACAGCAAAGAGTTCCGCAAAGTGGCGCGTGTGCAGCCGGAGTACCTGCAAGCATGAGACGGCTTCTCTCCCGCCAAACAGAGCCGCGGCTCACAGATCTCACTTTGCACACGGTGCCGCCATTCGATCGTGCTATCTTGACGTTTCTGAATGTATTTTAACAACTTAGTCACGTCAGGACAAACTGTAAGGACATATCCTGAACTATCTAGTGACCTTTGTTGAGTTGTTCTTAAACTAAAGTGAGTGATTTTTGAAAGTTGCCTTTAAATTGCCCGGTGAGAAACTAATGGGAACCGTCTATGGATGTTAGATTGCAGCTGCAGAGTGACCGCAATGTTGAGAAGCCAAGCCCAGTGAAGAGAGCTGTTGTTCACAGGTGAAGGTGTTATAGCCGATCATCAGGTCACTCGAAGGATAAAGCAGTTGATGCATGTTGCATACATATTGGACTGTATTTTGTACCATATAATCTGTGTGAAATGGTCATTCTTTTGCATGGTGTCATGTTGTCCATAGTCCAAGTGACCAAAAATGTTTTGTTCATAATGCTGTTTAAAAGGAGTGAATGAGTAATGTCAAATCCCCAACCACCAGTGTTTAGAATATTGAGGTTCAATATTTTTTTCCAGTACATTGTCAAAACTAAACGAGTATTCGCCTGAACTTTACAGCTAATGCCATTCATGTGCAAGACCAAAATAAAAACGCCTGTCAAAGCATCAATTGGTTTGCTCTTTTTGCACAGTGTGTAAGATCGGCCCACCTCTACTGGGTCTGTACAATTTGACGTATAGGTCACTGGGCCACTAAACTGGGCTGTTATGTTTCTATTTAGCTTAAATCCAAAATCAGGAAACATTTATTACCAAAATATGCCAAACATACAAGGAATTTGTCTTGGCGGTTGGTGCGCGACAGACAAAAGGAGCAGAAACCACTCCTGCTTTTGCATCGGCGACTCGATCGCCAGTAAACCACTTCACCACGAGGAGAGCATCGGCCAGCGTCAGGAACGACCGCTGCCTGAGTAATGAGTGAAAGACGGCCAATAAGGCAAAACAGTGATGCCATGATCTCTTAAGTCAGATGTTTAAATAACAGTACGTACAAACATTTTGTCATGTGTGTTCAGTCTCGATTACAAATAACAGCAGCCTCGTGTGATGTACATTTGCTGGTGAACTTGATCAGTCAGGTGTCTGAATCTTAAGTAAAACATTTTAAAATTGTGTATTCCCACACAAAGATCTCTTGAAGATAACACATACGCACAGACATCAATCATCAAAGCGAACTGATCGACGGGTATTGATGTCGATGGAGAACTTCTTACTGGCTGGTGCACTGAACCCAAGTCCTGCTGCCTTGTTACTGACATTGATTCTGCGCGACTTAGCGAGTTCAAACTGTCCCAGAAGCCCTTGCTGCAACTGCTGCTGTGCTTCTTTCCCCAGTGCCATGTTTGCTGTGTGGGTGCTCCCCACAGCGGGAGCGGAACCCTTTTTGAAGCCTCCCATCAATCGGAGGAACTTCTGCTGCTGTTCAGAGCTGTTGAACTGGGCCGTGCCCCACTGGCCGACACCCTGAGGAACACAGACAGTGGGAGCGGGAATTGTGAGAGGCTGATGTAACACATCAGGAGTACTACTTGTATAGTAGAAAGCCTGCATTACTGCATTACATTCCAAAGAGGATGCTATCCACTGTCACTATGGCAACCAAAGTGCAGTTTCTATCATTGCACTTTACCAAGGATAGGGATGAGACCAACGGGAAACATCAGAGTTTTATGCTTTTATGTCACTCATACTGACCGTTGGTTTGTCTGATTTCTGAGGTTGAGACGCCTTGTCGATCTCCATTTGTAAAGCCAGTCTTCTTTCCTGGGACCGACCGAAACAGATAAAGCATAAAACATTTTGATGTGAATAAAATACTGATAGTTGTTTCACTATGAGGACAGTTTAACATTTAACATACAGACACGAGACAGACATCAATCTAACACAATATTGTGTTTTAACTCTATAAAGTGTGGGCGCAGTAAAATAAATCGTAACGCTGCGATGGACAGAACATGAGAGGCTCGTTTACCCGGTTTATGGTGACCTCATCCGTGTTTCCAGCTTTCTTCGACAGGAAGACCACGTCGCAGTGGTTTGACCCCTGAAACACAAACACGGTTCACTCCCGAAGTCCAAACTTTAAAAAAAAACAAACATCCGAGTCCAGAGTCGATCCTGTCTAAAAGTAGACACTCACCTCTTGGTGTTCCCCCTCTTCTTTAATCTTCCTCTCTTTTGCACCGGTTGCCGAACTAACATCTTTCATTTTTGTTTCCTCCTTGGTTGAGCCCTTCTTCTTCTTCTTCTTCTCCTTGCTGTGCCTTGTGTCCGGGGCTTCTGTTTCAATACTTTGCTCCTCAACTTCATCACAATTGAGGATTAATTGTTCCTCCTCTCCTCCCTTTGAGTTCTCCACTTTCCTTTTCTTCTTCTTCTTTGGCTCTTTCTCCTTTATTTTGCGAACCTCCACAGAACCCCCCCCTCCCTTTTTGTTTTTCCTAGGCTCCTTCTCTTCTTCATCTATTATTGAAACATCAGTCTTTGTGTGTTTTTCCTTCTTGTTGGGCGTATTGTCGTTCTCCACCTTTTGGCCTGATGTCAATTTCCTCTTTTTGCCTTTCATCTCAGACGCCGCTAATTTTGTTTCATTTTCATTGGCATTGACTTGCTTTTTCATCTTCCTTTTCACTTTTACTTCTTCAACTTGCTCTGGGACTCCATTCTCAGTCACTTTTGAGGATTTTTTCTTTTCTGTTCCTTCGGTGGTTTTCTTTTTCTTCTTTTCTTTAACTTGCTTCTGACTTTTCTCTGTGTTTACAACCAAAGTATTTGTTCCCTTCTTGTTTTTCTTGGGCATTTTATCCTTCCTGATTTGATGTTCTTCCTCCTCCTCATTTTGTTGTTTATTTTGAACAGACTTATTTTTAGTTTTCTTCACCTTCCTCTGACTCTCTTCCACTTCTTCTATTACTGAACTGAGCGGTACAGTCTTTTTTTTCTTCTTCTTGATGACTTCTTTGTCATTTCCATTCTTGACACAAGAACCATTCAATGATTCAGAGACAATTATGCTTTTCTTTTTCTTTTTCTTTGGCTCTTTTTGCTCACCACTTTCGTCCACAGAATCCTCATCTATTACAATTATATCAACCTCCTTGACCTTCTTCTTGTCCCTTTTCCCCTCTGCTAGGTTTCCATCATCAACAGCGACACTTTTCTTTACAGACAGAGATTTCTTCTTCTTTTCCGTCTTCACTTTCTCCATCCCAACTGCAACCGACTGATGGCTTTTCTGGTGAAATGAATAGAATTACTGCACAACAATACCTTCTAATAGATTGAATTGCAAAAACAGGCTTATAGGCCCTATTTGTATGTGCAAGTGTTAGTAACAGGGCAATACACACTAACCAAGAGTTTGGCTAGCTTCGTGGGCTGTGACTGTTGATCAATATCTCGTTGCAGATCCAGTCGCTTCGCCTGCAGGGAACAGAGCAGAGTTCTCCTTAAAAATTACCTTTTTGTTTAAATGCACCAAAATCTGTATGACTCTTCTATCCAACAGCAAAGTTGTTAATACAGATCTTACAATGATACACGAGGCATGCATCAGTCTATTCAAACTCAAAATGGAATTTTCTGCAGGATCTTCTAATTTAGTGACATGTTGTGGACTATTGCTCCCTCACTCATGCTTAGTTACACAGTGAACATTTATGATTCATTCATTCTTTGTCCTTTAATGGGTAGAGCGGTTGTAGCATACAAAGACCTACCTGTATCAGGAATCAGGAATCAGGAAACATTTATTAGCCAAAATATGTCAAACATACAAGGAATTTGTCTTGGCGGTTAGTGCTCGACAGTAGACAGACAAGACAACAGTGCACAAGTAATAAAATAAAGTGGAATGAAATGCTAATGCAATGGGTTAGTAGAATAAGGCTAAGGCTATGGGTTAGTAGCCTGTATTCATGGTTATTAGAAGTACTGACAGGGTTTCAGTCCTGCATTATTCTACTGCCCTACTACACTTTTCAATTGGATAGTACATTTCTTTTTTGATTTTATGTTGGATCTCTGTACCTTGTCAACGGCGATCTTTTTGGATTTAATTGAGGACTTTTCGGAAACAAAGATCACGTCCTCATCGGTTTCCGTCTGAAACATAAAACGGGACAGGATGTCTCACTCGGGTAAACGAACGTGCTTTCAGCCCCGAGGTTCACACACGAGTTAAGACGCGTGTGGCACCTTAAGATGCAACACTTTCAGAGTGTCTCATAACCAAATAGCCATGTTTATTTTCAGCACCATCTGCTTCAACCGTGTTAGCTAGTAACGTTAGCTAACAGCAGCTAACCAGAAAAGCTAAACGCTCAAACCGACGAAGAAACAAACTAGTTAGTTGTTTGGCTACACTGCGACACAAACGGGTCGTAGTTGCTTACTGTTTTACGGACTTGATGAGGGATTTACTTACTTTGAACCCTTTGATGGCTCACGTGGATCCCGCTTGGCTCTCTTCACCCGGAAGTGGTTATTCCAATTTCCTGTTAGCGACAGGAACCCTAGCAACTAGCGTCCTTAGCAACAAGCGCGCGCCGATGAACCTGATAAGAATACACTTTGGAACATAACTTAGTAGACTAAAAATGGTGTCTGTCTTGTGTCCTTTCATTGCGGTACAATGGACACATGCGCAGTCAAACATAGTCCGTACACGCGGAACGAGAGTATCCCACGTGGCGCAACCGGAGAGCACTTATTTCACTCACGCTTTGGTGGAGAAGACGTCTTCATCTTGTTATTTCTAGCGCCGTTTGCGGTGACGCTTCAACGTCGTGTCTCCGGTCGCACTGCGCATGTGCGATACCCAAAGGTGCCACAGGCGTTATGTAGTATTCTTGACTTGTACCTAGTGAACTAACATATGGCTCAAATTCAACAGGTTTAGTAGTTGTTTTAGATTAAGGTATTGTTTTATTTTGGGTGTTTTATGTTGGTTTTGTTTTAACTTTGAAATTGTGTTGTTTTTTTCCTTTAACGGGTAACAAGTAAGTGCTTATTAATGAGTCACTACTCATTATCCAGTTTCAGTGTTCAAAACTAAGATGTTAATGCTAGAACTGGCCCGTTGTTTATTTACCCCTTTATTGAACCAAAATAGTTCCCAGTTGCGCGTGCAGTGAGTCTGCAAAAGTGTGGCACGTTTACAAATAAGTAAATGCACTCAAATAAACAAATAGATAATTTAGTTCAGAACACATCCCTCTTCTCTATGTGTTTGTGGTGGTCGATTGTGTAGCTCCATCTCAATGAACTAATGCAGCCAACTCAGTGGATCCATTAGTGTACATTAAGGACAGGAGGGGGAAGAAAGAGCCGTTCAATCACCAGACACTAATCAACATAAAATATGCACTGATGTATTAGCCACTTTGTGCCGATTACAATACAGACATTCATGTTACGCTGCCCGAAACACACAACCGTGCACAAACAGTGCATCATAGGAGCATCTCAAATGGAAAATACAATTTTTACATTTGGAATATTGACACAATAAAAATTCTCTTATATAGGGTAAATACATACAAATCCTGTGATCAAAAAGTTTTCAATTTACATACCTGGACGCACAATTGTACACAGAAGCAAGTTTTTTAGTTAGCTAAGTCTTACAGCAAGTACAGAATGGTCACAACATTCACATGGTTACTCTGAATTGTATTGTGACTCGATTAAATGTCCTCAAATGAATTCAGAGTTGGTCAGGAAATGAAAACTGCAACCCTGAACTCAAGTATAAAGCTGCCTCAGAGTTCAGTGTCTGCAGAAATGCGTTTCACCGTGGGGCCAAAATTCAAGCAGTATACATGCGTTAGAATGTGTTTCAGGTAAATTCACAGTGATGGATGACTAAAGGTTTTCTCTACAGTGCCGCTTAAAAGTATGTGAACCCCTTGAGCAGTTTAGACTTTTTTCTTATTTTATTTTATTTCCATAGATTTCCATATTTTATCATCACCAGTTTTACGTATATTAAATGTCAGGATTATGTTTATCCATTGCATGTACTCTTTTAGAGGAAATTGGATGAGTAGCCCGAAATGACATGCAACATAGGTTTAGTGTAAGTGAACCAGCTGCGTTGGTAAAGTCAAGAATTTATTAGATTGAGGTAAAAAACATTTGGGTGCTTAATAAGTTAATTAAGCAGACTAATCAAATGAGACATCCTTAGGAATCAGGTTGGGCAACGCAGATTAAAAGAGAGAGGAAACCAAGCAAACTACTGTAGTGCCAAGGTGTACCCACACAGGTCAACAATGCCGAGAGGAAAGGAGATATCCGAGGACATCAGGAAGAAGGTACTGCCAGCCCATCAGCCTGGGGAAATCTATAAGAGCATCTGCAAAAGATTCCAGCTGCATCCATCCAGTGTGAGACAAATCCTTTACAAATGGGCGGCCTTCGACATGACCTCGACTCTGCCTGGAAGCCCATCAACACCACATCACCAAGAAGCACCTAGATCTGAAGCAGGCGGTAAAAGCCACATGTCCCTCCAACCCGTCTCAACAGGCTGAGTTCTGCAAGGAGGAGTGCAAAAATGTCCCCATCACCAGTCAGCGAGAGACTGGTCAGAAGACGATTGGTTGAAGAAATGGCTGCAAAAGGAGGTCCCACAAGCTATTAACTTAAATGGTTTACATACTTTTGCACATTTTCAGTTTTTGTAAGATAAACCACTCTTGTGGAGTAAATGATGAAAATGCATTTGTCTTTGTTTGTGTCCATTATTTGGAAAGTCTGCTTTACAAATTGGTGTTTGGATTTACATTTTAAAAGGTTATTTTACCTTTTTGTTCAAACACAATGAGCCTGTCGGGAGGGTTCACAAACTTTCAAGCAACACTGCATTTTTAACAGAAGTTTAAATTTAAAGGGATCCTGCATGCCAGAATATAATGAGATGTCGCCATATACAAGTATGATCAGTAGCAAGAAAAACAGTCAAACCTCCAAGTCCATTTAGTTGTTGTTCCAGAGCTCTTCAGCTTAGAACTTGGTCTTCCTCTGCAGATTTTGCCCAGTTGATATGGAATTGTAGATGTTTCTGACCACAACAGATGGTTTTGTCATTGTTGTCTCCGATGTCAAGAATGAACTTTGCAACTCTAAAAGTCTATTTCTCTATCATACTATCATATTTATATAAAAATTCTAGAAAACACTCAAAATACAATTCATTTGGACAAAATACATTACTTTTAAACTGCACTAAAGTGTGTCTGAAATTATTGTACATCCCAAATCCATTTAAGGATAAATTGCAAAATTACAACCTTAAACAGCAAAACTTATTGCAGAATAAGTATTTCAGTATTAAATGGGTTCTTATGATGTACAAAAAAATGATTTATCCAACGCATTTTGTATTTCAAACGACCACCCCCAGAATTCTGCACAAGCCATATTAAATGCATGAAATATATATCAATACACAGGGCGAAATGGGCAAAGTAGCACTGGTGAATGGAGACATGGAGGGAATCGCACTGAGGCCTTTTGGGTCTTTCCAGCACGTATTACAGATGGCAAGCAAGCTTTGTGGGCGTTTGCAGGTAATTTACATAAACAACCTAAAGCTTTGTCTTTTCTCTGTCATAGCTTGACGCGAGATAGAAAGGAAAGGAAAGTGTTGTTTCTATGAAGAGAACATCACTGATCAGTAAGTAACAACATTCATTTCGAGCTGCACACACAAAATGTCTACTACGTTCAAATAATCATTGTTACTTTCTCCGGGCCAAAACCACACTGAACACTGGTCTTAGATGTTAACCGTAGACAACATTAACCCTCCTCATAAGCTCCATGTCAGTGCATTTGTTTACATATTGTAATTTCAATTAAATTCAGTAAGCTCTTTTACTTTCTCTTCCCTCCATTGTGTGCACTCACTCTGAGGCGTCACAGAAAACCTAGACAAAAAATACTGTTAAAAGCTGTAAAATTCCTACATTTGTGGGCATTTTTTCAGCTGCAGTCTAACCCATTCTGTGTGATATGTGGTGGCCTTAACATATCCTCCTCCTTCTTCTTCTTCTTCTTCTTCTTAGGCAACCGGAAATTCCACAACCACAAACCCATGTATGGTCCATTATTACCATAACCGTCGTCCAGTGTAGTTGACTGGTGCTGTGGGCATCTACAAGACAGACACAAACATGTAGCCAACAAATGCAATGCTTGTGTGTTTGCTTTTGAAGCAAATGAGGCATACACACATCCATACTTACTGTTCCACCATTCATGACCAGTGCCATCTCAGTGGGTTGGTAGACGTGGCCCCTGAAGGCTACGCCGGGACGCATGCTCCCTTGGCTGCTGTGGTACGTTCCGCTTCGGAGCGCTGACAGAAAAGGGCAGGATGAAGTTAAAGCGCTCTCGCTTTCATCCAATGATTCAAGCTTCAGGATACATGACGGATGCCTGTCACTGAATGATAGAATGTATGGATGCATCAATCTTGAGGTTGGGTATAATTTATAACAGTTATTCGGTAATTCCCTTCATACCCATAGTAAACCCACAAAGGTCCTTTTCTAGTGTTTCGTTGACATCTCTTTGACTCCCCTGTTATCTCACTGCCGAATGAATTACATGCGTACCGTGCTCATCCGCAGACTACATGGACTTTGGTGACCTAATATAAAAGTACTACTAATTTGTTCCATTGGCAAAGTTAAGTGCCTCAGAGATGGAGCCCTTGTGTAATTGAATCAAGAATCTTGCTTAAAAGTGTTAATAAAACTAAAAAACAAATCTACTGAAACTCTGCACAGCTCCACACACCTTTAATCTGAGCAGATGTGTAGAGTAATTTAAACCACGTTTGGGTGCACAGAGGAAGAAAACCTTTATAATTAATTTGTCTCTAGTTTCTCCACAAACAAGAGTAGTTTGAACTATGCTGAACACTTCGTTTAACAATGAAACAAAATATTTGAGAGCAGCTTTTAGCAAATGTATTTCACATTATAAAATGTCAGGAAAAAAAGTGCTGTAGGAATTGATTTCTGATACAGGTTGTGTTAATCTTGCTAAAGAGCGGCCACAACTGGACAGAAGGAGCAATTAGAGAATATTGGCACATCGAATTTGCCAATACAGGTGTATTTGATTGAACCAGTTAAGAAGCCTTTGGCATGAGTTATGTGGCATTATTGTCATTGTTTTCTTTTCCTGCAAACCTAAAATAAAAAGTCAATATTTTTACATCCAGGTGTTGTATCATGGTCATTAGCATTGGTGACATTGTGTAGCAAAATACAGTTAGAGTTAGTTACCGAATAGCAACAGTATGTTTGCTAACAACGGGGTCGTCGTGGTGCAGGGGTTAGAGAAGGTGTGCTGGGAACCACAAGGTTGGTGGTTCGATTCCAGGCTGCCCCATGTTCCATGTCGAAGTGTCCCTGAGCAAGACACCTAACCCCTAATTGCTCCCCAGGCAAAATGTGAAAAGCCACGGGTTTAAAGTGTAATGTAAGTCGCTTTGGATAAAAGCGTCTGCTAAATGATCTGTACGTACGTACGTAACAGCCAATGTAAACTACAATAACTTTAGCAAGCAGTTAACTTGAGTTATATGGCATTATTGTCATTGTTTTCTTTTCCTGCAAACCTAAAATAAAAAGTCAATATTTTTACATCCAGGTGTTGTATCATGGTCATCATTCCTTTCAACAGAAAAGCCAACTGCAGGGAAAGATATATCTCTACAGACTCTACTGTGACTAAAAACACTAACAAATTGTAGCACTTATAATGCCACTTATCCATAGCAAGTTGGAAATCGGCTTATTTAATGAAATTCCACTTTCTTGTTTCTTGTTTTTCTGAGTTTGTATCCTTATGGTTGAAATGCACTTATTGTAAGTCGCTTTGCATAAAAGCAACAGCTAAATTACATGTAATGAATGTAAAACAGACAATCTTTTAACCACAAGGTGAATCCTCTATTGGCCTTCAAGTACTCGTTCTTGCAAAATTCTGTGTGACTTTGCAGCCTCCACTCACTGTTTAACCTGGTTCATTTTGGTTTAGTTCTTTATCTGTGCATTTGGCTTCAGATAAATATGGAGAGCAAGCAGAGTGGAAACGACGCCCACGTTTGCCTGTGAGCCTGTTGGATGAGCAGGCATTTTGTAAGGATCAATGGGATTTTTAGATTGCATACAGGAGCAGACAGTCGGATTGTGCTCCGCACAATGGTAATCCGTAATATGGTCATCTTGATCTGCAGTGTAATAGATTCAATTTACTATGTTTCACGTAGCATCATATGTATTCTTCCTGTTCGATTTTTTTGTTTTTGCTGTGTAGAGACGGATCCATGAGACATGACATCCATCCCTTCTCTCATCCTCACACTTCAGTTGATAGAAACCAAATGTTCTTCCTCAAAGACAATCAAAAGATAGCTGTAAAATGCAGCATTGCCTTTTTTTAAACGTCAGACTGCATAAAAGTTTTTGTTTGTTTTCTAATTTCCATCTTTTTTCAATCCGTTTTTGTTGCCTAGCAACAGTCTTTCCACGACCAACCATTAAATTCTAAAATGCCACAGATATTTGTATTTAACCTTTCATGTTAAAAGAAATCCTAAGGAGTTGAAACAAGCCAGCATTTAACCTGTATTGAAAAAAATGTTTTCCCTTGAAACCGATTCTTTATATTTACATTAGAACATGAGTGACAAACAAATACACCCACACACACACACACACGCACGCACACACCCACACACACGCACGCATTACATAAGCCTACTTGCACCGTGCTCCTCCATAGAAAAAGCCTGGTTTTCAGGGAAGGGTCGGTGTGAGTGTGCTGGGTGCTCATCTCCGAAATGTGGCGGCGCAGACGTGTGACTGGTGTTGAAGAAGTCTTGCGTGTTGGACGGTGGAGGGTTTCGGAGACACAGGTGCGCCTCTGGAATCGCGTGGAGCAGCAGCAGGATCCAGCCCTGAACGACCAACGCCACCGCCAACGCCGGCTCATCCAACCCCTTGGCATCCTTATTTCCTCCTCCTCCTCCTCCTCCTGACCTTTCCCCTTTTCCCTTCCCCCTCAGCGTCTGGCTGCCATAAAGATAAAACCCCAGCCAAGCCACCCACAGCAACGCTGATGCCAGACTGGACAGGAAGAGCCAGACGGCGTTGCACTTCCATCTCCGTTTTTCATCCTCTCCTTCTCTGTCTTCTTCGCTCCCGCCTCCTCCCTCGGCTCCCATCTCTCCTCCACACAGCACCACCCCTAAAGAAAGCCCCATGGCTATGAGGAGCAGCCCCAGGGTGTAGCTGCACGTCAGAGCAAAGTCTAAAGGCGGATATTCGCAGGCCGGGTGACCCTCCCTGACTACAGTCAGCAAGACCCATTCGGCAGAGATGATGCCCTGAACCAAGGCCAAGGCCAAACCCAGCGCAGCCAACGAGCTGCCTGAGGGGCTCGTCTCGCCCGCCACCAGCCTCCTGAGCCTCACGCCCTGCACTAGCAAGCTGGAGAAGCAGAGGGCAAACAGGGGCCCCCAGAAGGCCCTGCGGACCACGCACAGCGCCTGGTTCTTCCCCACCAAGAAGGCCAGAGAGATAGTGAAGAGCCCGAGGAGCGTGCCCAGCAGCAGGAGAAGAGGCCCCGTGCCGGAGCGCCTGGCGGGGTCGGAAATGAAGCGAAGCTTGACCAGCAGGAGGACAGCGATGAACAGAGAAGCCAGGCCGCCGCTGCAGGCCACGGCCTCCAGGACCACGCCCCAGACCGACTCCAGGTCACACAGCACTCTGTACAGAGGGTCCACATCCACGCTGCACCCCCGGGGAGGAGGAGAGGGGTGGGATGAGCCAGAGCCAATCAGCGACACAAAGAGGACGACGACAGGGCTGACGGCCATCTTAGAGACACAGAGCAGAAAATAATGTAGTGACGGGTAGAAAGGGACGGGGAAAGATGTGATACTGGACTGAGGAGGGAGGCAGGAAAGTTAATGACGTGATAAATGACTGTCTATTGGTAAAAACAGTACGTCAACACAGAAAAACACAGCAGTCAATTAATGTCTTTCTCTCGCACACAAAAACACAACTACGCACTCGCTCTCGCACACACTGTCAGAGCACGGAATTGAACTCCTTTTAGCGCTGGGCAATAGTTTCCATGGGAACGGGAAACAGCGTGGGCTGGCTACATCGCATACTGGGCTTTTGAGAAATAGAGTTTCAGCACCCAACAGCACAGATACATTCAGGCGTATGCGCATGTGCTTACTTGTGAGGACCGTTGTTGACGTAATTGCATCCCCCACACCTCACATGAGCTTTCTTTCAACCCTTATGTGGATACCAAGTTAAAACTCTCAAACTATAAATGATAATAATGTTCTCAGTTAAACATTAAACTCTGTATCTCTGGTCTCCAGCAAGGAGAGTAAACACACACACACATAGGAAACACATTGCAATGCAATAAGAAGATTCAACTCACCTCAGATAAATTCGTGACTTGAAGTGTTGGCTATTGACAGTGAAGGGGCATCATCATCCTTTCCTAGTCTCCACACCTTCAATTATGGTCTAATTGTGTTTTTTTAATAGTCCCAGTTAATAAAATCCTTGCAGCAGCAGAAACCAAACCGTTTCCATTTTGTCTCTTGAGTGGCTCACAGCTTCCAATGTTTGTAAGTAGAAAACAGCACACTTTGTGGGACCAATAACGTCCTGCTGCTGCACTGACACGTCCGGCTGCTCCAAGAAGAATCCACAATTATGATGCATGCCTTGGTACTTCACACACCCACACAGTCAAATATATATTTCGTCTCTTACACTCTTCTCTCTCGCTCCCTCTGTCCTCCTCTTTCTATTCATTCGGTCTGCACGTCTGTGTTTCTCTCTCCCTGCTTCACGCTGAATCTGCGGAGGTGTTAACAGAGACGCAATCCCGGGCCCCACCTCCGTTCTCCCACACATGGGAAGTAGGATTCGCTGATGCACCTGTCCAAACAGGAATAAAATATATAAATAAATAAAGTACAGTACACAAGCATTGTAGTTCACAGCGAATCTGGCTTTAGTCACTTGTTTGCACATCCTGGCGTTGCTTCCTGCCTACAGCCCCCCCCCCGGTCCTCCTCAGACCCACAGCTGGAGATTCATCTTTAGTCACCGGATTGGCCCCCGAACGAATGGAGGTCTCGTCAGCGGCGAGGTCCCCGTTGACGGCGTGCGCTGCAGACGGGAGATGGGCTTGGGAAGTGGAGGGGCAGATGGTTAATCTGAACAGACGGCGAGCCCTTTGGCCCAGTAGGGAGTTACATAATACCCTTAAAGATATGATTCAGTCACCCGTCACTCCTTCGGAGTCGAGAATGATCTTCCCATCTGGAGATGGTTTCATGTGGGGTTGGAAAGCGGCGCGATGCAAGGGGAAAAATGACGGCGGCCGTACGGGCCAGCTGAACGAGTCCGTTCGGATCCGGGTGGGAGAGATTGGTGCTGACAGAGTGGCAGATAGAGGCCACACATGGGTGATCGCTGAGGAATGGAGCGATGAATGTGTGTGTTTTTTTTCTAAAACAACCCATCGAACAAGTCAAACAGCTGTCGCTCAATGCTTCCAATCTCTGTGGAAAGTAAGCTGAGCTAATTCAGCATAGAGTGTGTTATCATTCTAACTCACAAGGGCCTCTCCTAAAATGTCAATATTCTCTCAATGGCTCTTTGTCAAACGTTGAAATCCCAGTCCGAAAACGTATCGACACAAAAGGGTGCATTCATCATGTAGCAAAATCAAGCGACTCAAATATGAAACACAGTTGTTTGTTGCAGCTCTGGTATTTGTTTCTCTATAATCCATCATCGACAGCACAGTGAGTCAGATGAAGATCTCAGGAGGGTCCGAGGGTTTTTAATAGATCTGCGTATGAGCCCAACCGTCTGATTTGCTTTCAGAGATAAACTGGATCTCTGCTATTCTCTCACAGACAGAACATTAAATGCATTAAAGAACTTTGGAAAAACATCTCAGCCTCAGGTAGAATTCATTTATGAGAGACAAAAGAAGACTGAGGTGTTAGACAACAAGGCAGAAAGATGATGACTCGGGGTATCAGTGCTAATCTGTGTAATCCAGTCAAATGGGGCCTTATTAAGTATGACACGTGCCATAATCCCATCTATAACCCACTTACGGTCTCTCCTCAAACGGCTACATACAAATCCCAACCAGGGGGAAGTTTACAAAGGGAGGCTTGTTGGTGTCTGCGATTGACGGAACAACTCACTTTACACTAAGCTAAAAGCGTCCACAGCTGGGAGTCCTGCCCAAGGGTGTTATATATTAAGTGGACTTATTATACCATTACAGGCTAGCGTCCATTGAGTTGAGGTCCTTTTGTGGGTGTCGCAGGCTTCTTTTTTCACAGTGTAAAACCAGGCCGCGATGCGCAGATGTGTGAGATAAAGAACTGCCGCTCACAGTCTGTTGGCTCTATCTGCTGTCTATTGGGAGAACTGCAGTAAGCGTCTGTTCTGAGGTCTCAATAAACAAAACAAAAAGTGTTCAACTTTGTCCGGTTTCTGTTTCTCAGCCCAATCGGAATCTGGTTTCTCTGGTTACTCTGGTTTTCCATTGCCCTCCACATGCTGTAAAAAGGAAAAGGAAGATAAAAGAAGATTAAAAACAAAGACAACAGAAGAAAGTAAAACAGGTAGTATATATATATATATATATATATATAGTACAAGTCAATGGTTTTGAAACATTTGTCATTAAATTTAACGAGATCTGTCTCGTTAGTCTTCCTGATGGCACTGGGGTTAGAGCTCCACTTCAGATCCCGGGGGATCCCGTCTCCATTCAAGGAACCTGAAGGTCTCCGCAGCAGACACATTGCTGTTGAGGATGGTGAGAGGGGGCAGCGTTGGGGGGCCCCTCCTAAAGACCAATGCCAATGTCTCCAGCAGATCAGCCTCCCGTCTGTGCCCGATGAGGACGATGTTGTCTGCGAGCTTCAGGAGTTTGACAGCTGGGTCCTCTGAGGTGCAGTTGTTGAGGTGTAGAGGGAGAAGAGCAGTGGGGAGAGCACACATGCAGTGATGTTCTTCAGGTGGGTCAACACCTGCCTCTCAAAGGCTTCACGTCAGGTGACGGACCTGTATATCATTTAATGTTGTGTTTTTTTGGAATCACAGTTTTCCGTTGTGGTGTTATTTATGTTAAATAAATACTTTTATACTGACAGAAATCTTCTTTTGCAGTTCAGAACATTACATTTCGATATAAATATATTATATTCACATTACTGTTGCTCATGTGATAACTGAGTTACATTTTGATCTCAAAATATGATGTCAACTTTCTTTTTTTAATGTATACTTTCTTAATGACAACATTCAGTCATAAAGACAATTAAAACAATGAAAGCTACAATCCAATAGTGATCAATTCCAAATGTTTTAATTGGATTATTTAATGGAACAAGTAGATCAGAATCCAAATCAGCTTTATTTACCATGTTTCCTAAACATGCATGGTACATTTTACCATTGGTATATATGTATATACTTAGGGCTGTCAATAGATTTTAAAAAAGCAACGTATTAATCGTATTAATCGCTCAATCACGGTTAAAAGTAATGAGTAATCACTAGAGATCATGTATTTTAAACACAAAACTACACACATTTGATCATCTTGGAGGGAGAACCCAAACCAATACATTACATTAAATGTCATTTAGCTGACGCTTTTAACCAAAGTGACTTACAATAAGTGCATTTCAACCATAAGGAAAGAAACCCAGAAGAACAAGAAACAAGAGTGCAATTTCATCAAGTAAGCCGATTTACAACTTGCAAAAGATTGCAATAGCCATTATAAGTACAATCTAAGTACTACTATTCGGTTTGTGTTTTTTAGTCAAGGTAGAGTCTGAAAAAGTGTGTCTTTAGTTTGCGGAGGAAGATGTGAAGGCTCTCTGCGGTCCTGACTGATTAACTGAGATGTAAACAAAATCGAACAGAACAAAAAAACCCAGCAGTGGCACCTCTAGGCTGCTCACTGCAGAACCCCTCCAGACAGATGAGTGGGACACTCTGGCTGGACCTGAAGCAAAATTGAATTAAATAAAACCCACAGTACATGTGCCTCTACTTGTAAGCTTCAGCACCGAACCTACACTCAAAATTTGAGTGTAGGTTCGTTGAAGAATTTTCCAGGGCAGACACTGACAGAGTGACTGTGGTGCAAACTAATATGATCAAATTAGAATTATATTGAATAGATAGGATATAAAAAGAACTCCCTTACACATTTGTAGAGCACATAGTAATGTGGCTGAAACCCAATTTTACACAAGTGAGCACTGAGCTTATGAGGACATCGATATGTTTGTACAGAGGTTTTGGTTTGTACAGATATTTATTTAGTCCCAGCCCCTTTGTTGTTGCTTCAGCAGAGTTGTTTCACATGCGTCTATGAACGTGCAGGACGTGGCCACAGCTGGGGCAGGAATGCTCCACATCCTTGCATGAATTCACACAGAAGGGAATGCACATGCAAGGCAAGAACCTGATGTAGAATATGAGAACAATGTTAAAATAATACTTCATCGTACATAAAAAAAATCCTTTTATCTTAAAATATGCAAGTAAACTGAAATCTGGTATAAGAGGTTCAAAATTGTCATGTGAGTTCTTAAATCGTTAAAAACCCACGGAGAAAAGTTGAATTAAGTATAAGCACAAATTCAACATACTTGAGAGACTCAGTTGCAT